TAATCTACAACAGGTTGATATGTGGTTTATCACATTTTCCTATCGAACCACCGAAACCAGTTTTTCCTTGGATCTTCTCATTTACCTTTTAGCTGCTGGCGGGTTTTAGAGCAACACCCTTTATAAAAGTATAAAATTATATTCAAGTGTAATATTTACATGCAAGTTACGTGTTTATTAAATATAAAGCGGTTTTTATCACAAATAATTTTCATTTTACAAGACCATAGCTGGTAGTTGGGAAAGAATGAGTTCATGCTGGGCAATGTTCAAGTGATGAAGGGCTTTCATCTGGATCGTTGGTTGCTGTACATGGCTAGCTGAGCTAATAACATGAAATCAATTTGGTCTGATTTTTCGCTTACCTTTCTAAACACAGTGTAAATAAGACCAGCAAGAAAAGCGGCCCAACCTCCAATAGCTGCACCGTAAAAACCCGCTGAAGCTGCCATTGGAGCTATAACTAAACCACCTCGCATAAGATAATAAAGTACACCGTCTATACTTCCACCTTCCTCTATCCATCCTAAGGGAATGATAGTGTCTCGTATGTTATTGAAACCACGAAGGAATGGAACCTTTTCAACTCGAAGGTTAAACTGAAGGCGACCCTTTGCACTGATGGGTACACCAATGTCAGGTTTAATTAGTAGGTAAAAGGTGTGTTTCTCTGGATCTGGAGATAGTCCATCAACTAGTTTCTGTACTTCAGGTGCTTCCAGAAAATGAGGTTTAGTGACCACAAAGGGTGATCCGGAAAAACCTCCGGTCAAATCGAGAATTCCTTCATATTCACAGCGGGCCTTCTTTTTACCAGTGTGAACACAATAACATGCGTTGTCCGGGTTAACGCTTGGAGGTTGAAAAATTGCTGGATCAAGAATATATTTGTAAGTCTGGATTCCCATATAGTCGTAATCCTCAGCATAAATTAAATCCAATGATCTACGGAAAAAAAGAGTAAATATTGTAAATAAAATCGATTAAATTGTTTAATAATTGGAGAAAAATTTAGTTGACAGAAATGGAATCCCCTCTGAAATTAATTCATCTTATACAGTTATATACACAATACAGTCGTCATTCTCATGTCACGATCTCGAAATGTCAAAGTTACTAACCAAACAGCGTTTTTCGTGCAAGATTTTCACGAAATTTAATCTAATTATAATGAAAATCCAAGGTTGATAAATTTTTTTGCCGATAAGTCAACATGAATTACCAAAGTTTGGTTAATTCGATTATTAATTACGGCAAAATCTTGTGAAAAAAACATTAAAAGGCTATTTTTCGGTGAAATTGTGCGTCAATGGCAATAAGACTGATCTCACGAAGTGACGTTTTGAAGATGACGACTTTAGTAACTCTGGTTCAGTAAGAATGAAGGTTTCTCTACCAATCCAAAGTGGAAATGAATTTCATTTTTTTGGTGCTCAAATGCTCGGACTTACCGATAAATATCACCGGAAAAAATAGTTAGTTTGGTCGTCCTGTTGATTAAAGGTTGAAATTGAATTCCATCGGTTCCTCTCGGTGTATTACATTCCGGTCCAGCCCAACGTTTCATCAATCTGAAGTAATAACAGAAGTCAATAAAATAAAACATCGCAAATGATTTCATCTTAAAAAGTGTGAAATTATTGGAATTGAGAATGAAAAAAATCTTGAAATATAATAACATCTTTCAAATGTCAGAAGGAAAAAAGCGAACAAGACGAAGAAATCGAATTGAAAATTCAATCAATATTTTTTGCGTCAAGATTGTGGCCAAACTTAGCAGCTTCTAAGAAAAAATAACACAGCATGAAAGCGCTAATTCAACCACATCCATGAAAATAGGAAACCTCACCTCAGAATTTAGATCTCTGAGAAATTCATGAAAAAAAAGGATTGGGAGAAATTGCAGAATCTGAATTCAATAACATTGAGTGAAGAAGAAAAACTTTTTTGTTATTCAGGTTGATGGTAAATTGTTGTAACAATATTGCATGTAAAACTTTGCCTTTTGAGTGCAGAGTAAAGCGTTAGTTGAAAAATCTGGTGCCTCGAACTGTACAAAAAAAAGATCAAAGTTTCAATTTCGAAACCAATTTTTCGACGATTTTCCATAAGAGAAACTTTTTCATTGAACAAATTAAATCAGTTTCATGCCCTTCAACCAATAAAGGCTCAAACTCTTAACTCAAAATAAAATTTCTTAAGTGTGCTTAAGGAAAGGCTTTTTCATCTCAAATGAATATAATTAATGTGACAAAAGCTAAAGATTTTAACTTTTGTATTTCTTATTCTGACGATGGGTTTTCCATTAAGATATCGATTGATTGTCGCTACTCAGTGAAAAAACTTGAGTCATGGTCAGTCATTTTTGTGTCAAAATGGTGACAAATAAATTCCACGACCATATGATGGCCTCGATTTGAGTACAGCAAAAAAAGTGCTTGAGCTTTCTAGGAACTCAGATTCTCAAAGACTCCTGTTCAGGGTGTTAGGGAAAAACAATCCGTATTGAATTTAATAATATTATGTAAAATGGATCAGTTTTGAATCTGAAAAATGTCCATCTAACATTGTAAGATGTCAATAAGTTGAAAGAGTTGAAGGGTTGTTGGTTAACAATTGACATTGAATGCATTAATTACTTTTAAATCATCAGCTATTCACGGCATGTCAATGATTATTTATCTAAGACCATGAGCTTTATCATTGTAATCGATTTTCAATCAAACTGACTTATGAAACTGAAAACGAACATATAATTTAAACTAGAATAGTCAATAATAATGGTTGAAATATTATTATTTTGTGATCTCCTGGTTACCCTTGAAATTAAACTTATTTTTTTATCTTTAATCTTATTTCTACGCATCAAGCAAGGTTAGGTAAATGAGTAAGATGAAATGGAAATAAAGGTTCAGGTAAATAATACAAGTCATGATGATGAGTTTGGTGGTGTAAGAAGACACGCTAAGATCGATCAGTGATTGACATTGAAAAATATACAAGTAAAGTAAAAATGAGAAGAGTAGTTTGACTGGGGATAACATTAATGAAACTCTGATGATAATTTAGATATTCATGGTTATAACTATTAATATTAATCTACTGGGTTGACTATTGAAACTGTAATGATGATTGTGTTTAAGGTCAGAGCAAAAGAAAATTAAATAACTTAAACTAATGAGAAGTGATTAAATCAACAATATCAACAAAAATCTTTGTTTTCGCTTTCAATGTTTTCAGTTCATTAGTTAAAGATAGGAATTGCTTTGACTTACTTTTCATTTTTGAAGGCAACAGCGTTAGTGTAAAGCTCTTTGGGCACATCGACTCCAGTATAAACTTCCCATGGACCCATTCGAGTATAATTTTTACCATTGATTAATCCGAAAGTGTTGTTGGGTAAATCATCGGTTGGAATCAAATCTGAAGCTTTAACTCCCAACAATTCTAGGGGTTTAACCAGGGTTGTTACCGTGTCCAACAGGTTGATCCGTTGGCCAACTATCACGTTACGTGGAGTTGTTTTGAGAAAAAAATTTTGACTATGAACAAGTAGAAGAGCACTAACAGTACTGTAAACAAATGGACTAACAGCTAATGGAATGGGAATTAATTGTTCCAATTTATCACCGACTATGGATCCAATTGAAGCCACCATTGGGTTCAGGACGGTTATTTCTTGGTCCCAGGAACCAACACTTAACTCTTCTGCAATTGTATAATTACGCCATTCATAATATTTAACGGTCTTTTCAGTGAATTCAATAACTTCTTTCCATCGGTCTTGTCTGCAAGTGTAAGAGGAATTGGATAAAAAGAATTGAAATCAATATAAAATCAAATTTAAATGGCATTGGATTTGAATGTTGACATTACAGGTCGAGGTCGTTAGATTACTAACAATTTGTAAGAGTAATTTTCATGGGAAAATGGCTAGGTTTGTATGTACATGTAAATACCCAAATAGCAACACCTCATGAACAAGCAAAAAGATACCAGAAAACAGAATAGCAATTAGCATTAACTATTGTTTGGTCTTAAAAGTTGGTGACTGCACTTTAAACAATTTTTAACTTCCATTCAATTCAAAAATCAACGAGAATTTAAATTAATTTAAAGTCAATAGTTTATATTGAGTTTAGAAAGCATTTCCCTTCAAATTTTGAATATAAATCTTGACTGATTGATGGACATGGATTATTTCAGCGCAACTAAACAGTCCAAAATAAATGATCACTGTCTTGTTGACTTGATGGATAAATTTGGCAAATTGAAATCAAATTGGTTATGCTACTTACTTTAATGTGAATGGTCCTAGTTCACGAACCCTTAATTTACCTCCTTTCAAAAATTCACCCGGATTTTCAATGTTAAATAGATGAAATTTAGTAATGATTGGTAATGGTACATGTTCCCAGAACATGTAACCAGGACTTGTTGGGTCAACTTTAATCTGAGATGAGATGGCTTTCTCCATAGCCCATGGTTGTAAAGCGGCAAATAAAGTACCCAAGACACCGGCAATGGCTCCATATCGTATAAATTTAAACCTTAATGGACGCTTTGGTTTACTTTTATCTTTCTTACTTTCCACATCTTTATCCTCTGTATCATTGGCCATTGTTTTTAAATGCGATCACAGCCTGTTGATTGAACCAGTCAGCATTTACCCTTTTGGGAATATGTGGCAACTTTAGCTCGTAAAAATTGTCGTGAGTTCAATAACCAGTCAGCATTTACCAGCGAGTTACTTTGATTTTTTGACAAACGCTTTCTTATTAAACTTTAAGCGCGTCCGATGTGATTCAACAAAAGTTTGTAGCTCTGAATATCGTTTGCCTTGTTGCGTTCAAATAGAGTGTGTTATCCAATATTTTGAATAGGTCGATGGACAATCACAAATGAATCGGCACTGAAATGGTTTTATCAATAACTTGGAGGCTTATTATGGTTAAGGTGTAATGAATGAGTTTAGTGTATTATTGACAGTTGACAGTTAGAGTTTTTGATATAATGTGTTGGGAATCGATAACTAAAATATAATTAACCAGGTAATTTAGTAAATACTTTGGAGATAAACAAAATAAATGTATTTAAAACAATTAACAGTTCCAATGTCAACCCAGAAGCAGTAACAATCAAATTTCGAGTCAACTAAAAGACCAGAGACGAAATCTAAACTTATGGAAAAGTCTCTCTCTTCTTCTCTCTTCTTCTCTCTCCTCATCGTCTCTTTATTTACCAATCGCTTTTTTCATATTTCTTTGTCTTCTTCATCTTCCAAGATCTTCATTCTTCATCTTATAATACCAGTTATTGACAAATAAACTTTTCAATGTTAACTTAACTTGCGCATTGTAAATGTTTATTTAAAGCAATATTTACACTTATCCCTCGGTTTCGGCTGAACACAGCTAAACCCATTAGAGTTAAATCTCAACAAAAAACTTTTAAAAGAGCTATTACAACAAAAACAGCTGAACATTACAATACATTGAGTGTCTGCCCATGGACACTTATTATTTGTCGATCCACAAATTGTTACATATCAACAATCCAACACTTTGTAATGAGAAATACTTCCTTTCTCCTTATTTAGTGTTTCCTTTGATTCTTGACTTTAAACTAGAACTGCCTTTGTAAGGATGATTCCCCTAAATCCTAATAAGATTTATGGCCTATTCCTGCTCGATCATTCCTTTTATGCTTAACGTTCCAACACAGGACTTGAGGGAAAATAAACTTTCTGGTTTTAAGAAGTTTAACCCAATTCTCAGGCTGATAAAGTTTATCCGAGTAGATAGGTTAAATCATTTTGATGGTAAAGGGTCAAAACAGCGAAAGTAAAATAGCGAAAGCCAAAACAGAGAAGGTCTAAACAGAGAAAGGCGAAATAGCGAAAGGTAAAAATAAGAAGCTAGATAATTAAACTGATTAAAATTTTTTTTCTGAAAATTAAACACAATGCTTTGATTGTCATAAACTGAATTGGCTTAACTATTTCATTTTGTTTGCATTTTTTTATTCTTTCATTCAAATCTATACCAATCGAATTGTTCGGCTTTTCGTTCTAGTGATTTTTAATCGCATTATCCGTTCTTCCAGGTAACAACTTGGCGATTTTAGCCCATTGGTTACCCCATGTACGATGAGCTTCAATTATTGTCCTTTCTTTCTCATCCGTCCAAGAAGATTTAATTATCTGTGGGTTTAAATGATTGTGCCACCTTTCTCGACATTGCTTTCCAATTCTGCCTTTGAGTTCTCGAGCAATCACAGTCCATTTTTTGGGACCATACTTTCCACAGGTTGTAGTACTTAGGCGAAAATCAATTTTGCTAAACTCTTTTGGCGAAAGCCCTTTAAGCAAATTCTGGAAAATGAAATTTAATCTGGTTAATAAAATGAAGAGCTTTTAAACACAAAATTTGTCAAACTTTTTCATTTAAAACTCAATCATTGAACTTCATTTTTTGCATTTCCTCAAATTTTACCTAAATGTGTGAACAAAATTTTCGTGGTACTTTTAAAAGTGTACCAAAACTTTTTCACTCGCTTTACACTCTCCACGTCATGAAAAGTGGAATGATGATTCCTATCGTTTACGATCTACTGCCGAATGCAACTACTCAAACTTACATCTTAATGCTACGAATTATTCAAGATTTGTGTTTCAATTGTGGATTACAGTGATCACTCAGAAAATGCACCACTGTGGAAATAGCTTATTCTCACTATTTACCGAGTAGTCAATTTCATGATTTTCAATCTCACTTAATAGAACTAGTTTTAGTCAGATTTTTATTTTAAATTGAACCCTGGAGTTTTTTGATTAAAATTTCACGAACAAAAGTTGAATTAAGCTAATTAAAAACGAGATAAATTGAAATTAAATTTGACCAAATCGAAACTAAATTAAACCCCTCCTCAGAAGGGACCATTGAAAAATTTATGTGCAGTTTCTGAGTGGTGCATTTTCTGAGTGATCACTGTAACATGGAATCCGACAAAGTTCACGACAGATTTTGAGCTCGCCACTATCAAAGCTATCAAAACTGTTTTCCCTTCTTGTGAGATAAAATCGTGCTTGTTTCATTTCTGCCAAAGCATCTGGCGCAATACAGTTAAGAATAATTTGGCTGACCGCTACAAGTGTTCTGACGATGACCCGTTTAAAATAGCAATCAAGTAAATCGCAGCCTTGCTGTTTCTCAAAATCGATGATGTTTTATCAACTTTTGACCTAATTATGTTAATAGCCCAAAAGACGAAAACTCTTCAGCATGATAGAGTTCGTTTTCTAACTTGTATCTCACAGTAAAATTTTTACCACGAATTGCTGTGCACAACTTTATTTTGACCTCTAGAGATGCGCAATTTTTTTCTCAGCATTGACATAAAGGCCAATTTTGTATTTAAAACACATAAACCAATAAAAAATTAAATTGATAAATTATCAAAAAATCTACAGAACTTTTGATTTAACATTGCTATCTCAAGAGCCATCTATTGATAAAAAGCTACTTAGCCTTAGATGGCGATATTCGGGACGCAGACCCAAGGCGAATCACCAATTCATCTTCCTGAAAATTCAAAGATTGAACAAAAAAGGATTAATGTCAAGCGCGCAAATAGATAAATATGTTGCCAAAACTGAGATTCGTTCTGTAACAATATGTCACTCGGAAAGAAATTTTCTTACCTCTTTGGTCCATCGATTCATTGGTCTGCCAGATTGATTGTGATCCGGCTTCATTGTACGAGAAAGAATTTCACCAGGTTGCGAGTCTTCACCTGAATATAACCTTCTACATTTACTCTGAATTTACTCACCCACATTTTATTTAAAAAAATACCAAAAAAATTACTTTCAAATTTTGTTAACAATTTTACTAATAGTTAACTAGTAAGAACTGACTCGACTTGTGAGCTAGATGTTGATTGACATTGTTCAATTGACTGGAAGTGGAGTGAAACATGCTCTGCATCTCTGGCCATTTTTTTGTCTGTATTGCCCTTAAGAACTTTTTTGCATTCAAATTATTTATACCATTACACTGGAAAATTTCGGCCGCTGTTTGATTGAAGATTTTCTTAAAAACCAAAATACAAAGACATTCAGCTATCGAAACGACTTTGAATAAACAAAGACTAACCAAAGATACAAATTCAAAGGTAAATATACCGTTTAGTGCAAAACACGATATCGGAGCGATTTTGCCGATCAATCGTCTGATCTAGTTAAAAAACCAATGTGTAGCTAGATCTTAGAATATCATTCAACTAAAATTCATCTAAATCCTCTTGTTCGTTATTTAATTATTAAGCCTCAAAGTTTGTGGCTCAACTTTTGTTTCACCCTTTATTTGGTACATTTTTAGCTGGCACAGGAATTCAGGTACTGAGGAACTATTTGGCGAACTATTTGCACTCGGTGCATCGGGCACCGACTTAAATAGTTCAAGAAAAAATCGTAAAAAATACATGCAATACTGGACGTTTTTTATCTTTGGAGGTCGTTTGTAATAATAACTTTTCAACCATGAGTCAGATCTTTATGATATTTAGTCAGTATAATTGCCAACATTGAAGGACCATGAATCTGGACTCTCAATGACATTAAAGGTTATCCAGTTATTTGACCTCTAATTAACCTTTGTCCTCATTTCGTTTTCTGAAAGCTGAAACTTTTTCAGATCGATCGATGTTTCTCAAATGCTGATAGCCCATGTTGATAAAAAGATACGAGTGTTTATGTACCTTTCGTTTAATGAATGCTTTTTGGTGAAAATTCTCTCATCTTCACAACGGTTAAAGTTACTAACATGTGACAAATATCAATTGATCTTAAAAAGTTTCAGCTTTCAGAAAACGTTAAAGGTCAATTAGAGGTCAAATAACTGAATGACCTTGAATTTCTTTTAATGTCATTGAGAGTCGGGATATATGGTTCTTCAATGTTGGCAATTATACTGACTAAGTATCATAAAGATCTGACTTTTGATTTAGAAGTTATTACAAACGACCGTCAAGGATAAAAAACGCCCAGTATTAACAGTATGTTTGAGAGGGCTTGGGATTTAGTTAGCGTAACTGAGTCAACCCGGTAATGGGTCAAAACTGCAAAAGTCAAAATAGCAAAGGACAAGACAACAAAAGCAAATGAACACAAAGACAAAATTGAAAATTGGCTTCTGATATTGATGTAAATCAATTGAAAGGTTTAATGATAAAATTGGTTTAAACCGAGTAAGGAGTTAGTTTGGGCATACATTGGACAAGTTGAAAAATTTTATGTTCGATGATTTTCGGTAAAACCAGGTTCGCATTGAAACTTCGACAGATTTTTTGCAGTTATGGGTAAATAAAGAGAAGAAAGTGCATGATTACCAGTTTAATCGGTAAAATGAACTTGAACTCTTCGATAAATTGTAAGAAAAGTGTGAATGTTATTGATATTAACTTTTGGCTATTTGTCTTTTTCCTTATTCGCTTTTGCTGTTTTGAACGCAAACCGAGTCAAAACATTAGAAACTCGGAACTGAACTCTGTTATTAATGAATCAGATCTCTTTTAAATAAAGATAAAGTCACCCTTCTGAAACTGCACTTGTTTTTTCAATGGTCTTTATTTAGGTGGAGTTGGATCTACTTTCGCAGTTCGTTGAATTTTGATTCGACTTCTTCAATTACCAATTGACTTAACTCTATTTTTTCTCGTGAAATACATCAATGTACCGTGTATCAATCTAAACCTCGCAAAATCAGATTAAAATGGCATTACATTACATTAAGTTGAATTTCTTCCATTAAGAAAGATTGAAAATTATGAATAATGATACCAGACCAACAGTGTAATTGAGCTATTTCGCGAGAGGAGCAGTTTCAGAAAGGTGACTGTAATCCAAGGGGCAAGTCGAGAGATAAATCTTTATTAGGATTTAGGGGAATCATCCTTACAAAGGCAGTTCTAGTTTAAAGTCAAGAATCAAAGGAAACACTAAATAAGGAGAAAGGAAGTATTTCTCATTACAAAGTGTTGGATTGTTGATATGTAACAATTTGTGGATCGACAAATAATAAGTGTCCATGGGCAGACACTCAATGTATTGTAATGTTCAGCTGTTTTTGTTGTAATAGCTCTTTTAAAAGTTTTTTGTTGAGCTTTAGCTCTAATGGGTTTAGCTGTGTTCAGCCGAAACCGAGGGATAAGTGTAAATATTGCTTTAAATAAACATTTACAATGCGCAAGTTAAGTTAACATTGAAAAGTTTATTTGTCAATAACTGGTATTATAAGATGAAGAATGAAGATCTTGGAAGATGAAGAAGACAAAGAAATATGAAAAAAGCGATTGGTAAATAAAGAGACGATGAGGAGAGAGAAGAAGAGAGAAGAAGAGAGAGACTTTTCCATAAGTTTAGATTTCGTCTCTGATCTTTTAGTTGACTCGAAATTTGATTGTTACTGCTTCTGGGTTGACATTGGAACTGTTGATTGTTTTAAATACATTTATTTTGTTTATCTCCAAAGTATTTACTAAATTACCTGGTTAATTGTATTTTACTTATCGATTCCCAACACATTATATTCACAACTCTAACTGTCAACTATCAATAACACACTAAACTCATTCATTACACCTTTACTATTTTACTTTGATCTTGAATAACCATAATAAGCCTCCAAGCTATTGATACTAGTATAACCATTTCAGTGCTGATTTATTTGTGATTGTCCATCGACCTATTCAAAATATTGGATAACACACTCTATTTGAACGCAACAAGGCAAACGATATTCAGAGAAACAAAACTTTTGTTGAATCACATCGGACGCGCTTAAAGTTTAATAACAAAGCGTTTGTCAAAAAATCAAAGTGTAAAGTAACTCGCTGGTAAATGCTAACTGGTTATTGAATTTAAGACAATTGTTACGAAGATTTCGAGCTAAAGTTCCCAAAGAAGTCTCAGAGGGTTTTAATCAAGTTTGTGGACTTGTGAACTTGACGTCAATTTAATTCAGTTAAGGCGTTCAGACTAATTTGTTGACAATCATGGAATGAAATTTGATCAAATTAGCATTCTTTGATTTCGAAATTCGACTTGTTTCTGTGTGGAGAAATGATGATAAAATAACTTCCCTTTTTGAGCAAGCATTTTATATTGATGGATCAATAAGAAGTTTTCAGACAAAATTAGCAAATTAAGTGAGGTTGAAAACCCAGAATGCATGAGTGATGATTTGAGAAGTAATTTGATTGAACACTAATTGTGAAGTGAAATAGTTTATTTAAATAAAAGTATAGCGTAAACAAAGATAATAAAGGAAGCCATTTGGATTTTAATTTGACATTTAGTATCTAACATGATCAAATTTTTGACTTGAGTTTGATTCAAAGTCCATGCAAAGTTCATGCATTTTACCTTGAAAACTTTATTATGCTAATAGACATTAAGTTGAAAATGAATAGACAGCGATTTTTTCGTTTCTCATAAAACATTATTTTTCGCGTTTAATCATTCCAGATCTGACCAGGATTTGCGGGAAAATTTCTTTGGTTAAAAAACTATGAGTGTACTGAAAGAGATGATGAGATCTTGAAAAATTATTTGGCGAGTTGATGATTCCGTCATTCGTAGCACTTACACGAATCAGGCCACAGTGCTTCGCAATACTAATGTAACTTTATGAGAAGCGAAATATGTGTTGTCCAATCATTTTTAATATTCGTTTTTTGTGAAGAAAAATGTTTTTGTTTTGCAAATAATAAGGAATAAATACAAAGAATGTAAAACAGAAAAACAAAATTCGTGGAGAAAAAATGAAATAAAATTTGGCGAAGTAAACAATGAAGCAGTAAAGATGGAAAGTGAAAGGTGACTACATCAAAATCCTTTTGCTTGCCAACTGGTACTTTGTTTGAAGGTGGTTTCTCTGGTAGAAAAGTTCTGTTGAATGTTAAAAAGTACAAATTTTCGTCCATCTCAGAAAAAGAGGCACAAACCGAAAAGACTTGCTATTGATCAGGAAAATTTTTTGGCTTGGTAGGCTTTGGCTGGAACAAATAGGCTTCGAGTTAATGCTCTATACTTTGAGAGCAGTAAGAAAGAAATGATGGGTTTCTTTTTGTTCATATCAAAATATAAAAAACTTTGGTAATGTTCGCAATCCATCATCAAAGCAATATCACTATGCGATGCATCGTACATTAAATAATTTTGCCTAATATTTTGCATCATATGGCTTAGTATTGTTGATTATGCTAGATTCATTTGTGAAAAAATCTGCCCACAGTCTGTAATGAAGAAAAAAGATAAGACAAAGATAAATAAAATAAATTGTCAATCAGCTTCTTGCGAATAAGACTTTAACTCACTTTTGTAACATCCAAACCGGTGACAGCATGAACAGCAGCAGGTATTTCACTTGCCAATTGTGAGATTGTGCCAGTTATTGCATTGTTTCCACCCAATAAAACTATTTCATCTGTTTTGGCTAAAGGAGCAGCAACTTCAGCAGCAAACTGAAATTATGAAAAAAAAAACAATTAGAGCATTTAAATATCGCACAGTTATACTATTGATCATTACCTTAGGAAGAGCTTCAAGGGCAAGTGACAGAAGAGCTGCGTCGCCATATTGTTTATAAGCGGCTGCTTTCATTCTCATCCTTTCAGCTTCAGCCTTGCCGATAGCTTCGATTGCTGATGCTTCAGCTGATCCGATCAGTTTTGTCTTTTCAGATTCACCTTTTGCCGCTTCCAGTGTTTCAGTTTTGTATGCTAAAATGATAAAAAGTAGACAAGAAAATTATTAGAATCTCCAAAAAATATTACATTATTAAATTGGTAAAGAAGAGAAAATGTCATTTTGAAAATGGAGCTGAGCAAAAGTAAGGTAAAGACGATTACAATAAGATAATGATGAGAGTTAGAAAGATTCATCCAGATTCAATTAAATGTCAAAAATAGAGGAGTTGAGTCTGGTGATGGCAGATTCGTGACATTAGATCGATTGAATATACACCTACTAAATATAAATCTCTTTTAGGTTAGAAAATTGTCGTGAGCGTGTCATTTCCATGTTCAAGCTAATTATGAAGTTGAAAAGACTAACCGATTCTGCTTATGAAATCAACAATTTTTGATATTACCCACTAATGTAGTCATAAAACCACAAAAGACTCGAGTTGATATTGAATCTCTGTAAAATATTTATAGCTAATCATTATCTATAATATCATTATTCAGAAATAAAAAAAGATAATCATGTTAGATAATAAAATAAAAGTTAAGCACAAGGAAGAAATGATTGACTCAATTTAAATTGATTTCTACCTAATAGAGAATGGAAGGTATTGAATGGAGCGAAAATTGGACATAGGATCTTAAGAAGAAAACTGAATCTCGACCAGATCAAAAAGTTGATGAAGACTGGAAAATCAATAAAATTATCATGAGGAAAAAGATTCCAATTTGTTTTCTCAACCTTATTGAATGCAACAAATAGAAAATTTAATGATAAACTATTAAAAAATTAGTCAATGAAATTACTTACCATTGGCAAGAGTTTCTAATTTGTATGCTTCAGCATCTGCAGGTAATCTGATAGTTGATTGAAGTTCTTTCTCTTTTCTGATGACTTCCTTTTCTTCAATAGAAATTAGTTTTCGTTTTTCAGTAACATTTATCTCCATTTCTTCTCTTCTGATGAGCTGTTGCATTTTGGCTGATTGTAATTCATAAGCTAGTTGAGCTTCAGCCTTTTTTGTATTGACTTCTTGGTCAAATTGAGACTTTTGCAATTGGTAAATTCGATGTGAATCTTCAATTTTGGTATCGGCCCCGTATTTTACATCTAGAGCTGCTTTTTTACACTCAGCTTCTCTAATTCCAGCATCTCTTTCAGCTTGGGCAACTCCTATGGTTGCATCTCTTTTAACTGCAGCTATTCTGGCTTTACCCAGAGACGCTAAATACTCTACTTGATCAAAAACATCTTTGATTGTAAAGCTTAGAACTTCAATTCCCATACGACCAACATCGGGTGTTGCTACTTCTCGAACTAAAGACGCAAATTGATCTCGGTCTCGATATACTTCTTCAACTGTCAAAGTTCCTGTTAGCAAAATATAAAAATGTATTGAAGGCGTCAATCACAGCAATTTTTCAGCAATCTTGACCAAGTTAACTCACCTAAAATGGCTCTCAAATGTCCTTCTAAAGTTTGAAGAATGACAGATTTAATATGATTGACATCTTTACCAAGAAATTGTTCTGCTGCTATAGTTAAAAATTCTTTCTCTTTCATGACTTTACACTGAGCGACACCAGTCACAGTTAACGGTACTCCTTGAGAGGTTTCAACATTTTCACACTTTGGAGTCAATGTCATAACTTCCAAAGATAATCTGCCAAAAAAATAATTTAATTAGTAAATAATGAAAACAAATATTCATAAATATAGATGTAAATTACCTTTGAACATCGGTCAGCAGACACCAAGACCAAGCCCAGCCACCGACAACCATGGTTTTGTTAGCAGAACCACAACAACCACCTTTTAAATTGAAAATTTGGGTTGAAAATGAATGAGTAAAAGTATAAATGAAATGGAGGGATTAAGGTAAAGCTTGTAGATTAGAAAAATGATCTTACCTGAGACGATAAGAGCCTCATTTGGACCAACTGTGTTAATATTACCCATTTTATTGAGAATTATAATCTTGAAACTTTATCAGGCATGTTAGGTAATTGTATAGTAAACCACTGAATCTAGACTCACTTAATTTGAAAACAGAAAAACACGTGAAATAAACAGCATTTAACAAACGTTAGATTTCAATCATAAATCGATGGGAAATGGTCAAATTAAATTAAAAACAATTCTGGAAGAATTCAGAATTGGAATGAAAATGCACTTAACAGAATCATTTAAAAGACAAATGCTATGGATAGTCAATTTTACCTAGGCAAAAGGCCCAATGGTTACACATGCACATAGGCAAAAATAAACCTCACAATAACAACAATAATACCGATACATTAATAGAATAGAAGGGAAGACAGAAATTGGATGTAAAATGAATCGAGTAATTAATAGTGCATATAAAAAGATTAATAGAACTTACTTTGACAGTTGAAATGAGATTTTGCATTAATGGCATGAAATTTAAAAAGAGATGATCAGTAAAAAACACTGCAATGATTATATGAAAATATTAAGATATTTCGACCAATTTTTTTTTTATTGTCACAATGTTGAAAAATTCAAATTGTTAATAAAAATACAGCATTTATTTATAATAACAGTGGAGAGATTCCCAGTAATGTCTTAAATTGATAAAATAACACGAGCAAAAAGTTCAACTTGAATCGGCGAAGCGGTTACAATGCTCAACTAGAATTTTTTCATGCGTCTGCGTCAAATCATCCGCCTAATTTGAACCTGGAAAATTAATGCAAGTAAAATATTAATAATTCCTCTCCTCTAATCAAACACTAATCTATGACTAATTGTAAAATAAAAACCAACCTGATTCGCTTTAGTATTTTGCTCCAGTGCGAGCTAAACCGTCCAATAATTATAATAACAATTTGAAAAATACAGTTCCATCAGCTTTGAAATGAATAAAGTGAAAGTGAATCCATTTTGCTAATGTTTATTTAATAACTATCATTTACAAGAGTGTTTCATACATTCAGCATCATGTTTAATACATATTTTAATGTGTAGGGCGAATTAAAACGTGAAAAGCTGGCTTAATTGAGAAATCAATCTAAAGTATAAAAAATTTTGAATGCATTTTGTTGAATGAAAATAGACAATACTCAAGAGTTGAGCATAACAATTTTTCGAAGTTCATGAGATGTTGTGTTTGAAGAGCATTTACAATTGATGATAATCGATAATTGTGGAAATAATTGATGACATTTATCGATAGTCGGCAAATTAAATAAATTTTTCAAGATCTGTGTTGTAAAATATGCACCATACTATTGATACGCTGTTATTGTGTGACATAAATGAGGAAATTGTTTAGGAATTCAAGTTGTCAACTGAGAAGCCAACGACAAAATTGAAAACTAATTTTGAACAAAGCTGATTTCGGTTGAACAGGCCTCTACAATTAGATATGTTGATGACAATTGTTCAAGGAAGATTAGATAGAGAAAACTTGTCTAAATAACTATAGCACACATTTACACGGATGTTTCTCAGTACAGCTAAGGTAATAAATTATTTGAAAATCTATCATAATAATTCCAAATCTTTAACCTTCTACGTATTTGTTGTACGTATTTTTTATATTTTAATTTGATCTCATTTATACTTTAAACATTATTGAGTTTTATGGCTTGATTATTGTTGCTTTTGTAGAGAAATAAAACAATTGTAACACACTCGAACAGGTTTCTTTGTCTTCAATCGCTTGACTTCAGCTTCATATTTGGAGCATCTGTAAAAATAAGAAAATAAAAATGTTAGATTGAAATTTGTTCAATTCATTTCCAAAGTAAACTTACTTTGAACAAAAGACAAGGCCACAATTACGACAGTGATGCTTACGTCCGGAAAATGTGAATTTTACATTACATTGAGCACAATATTCAACAATTTCATCCTTAACCCAATGATCACCTAAGCCTCTTCCTTCCGATACACTCCAACTGAATATACGACCTCTTGCATCACCAACAAAAATAGTTTTATTATCTTTCGATATTGCTAAAGCAGTAATAGCTGCAGGCTCAGCATTATCTTTACGTTCAAATGCTGTGTGCATTGTAAGTTTTGAGCGGAAAACAAGTTTTCTTTGCCATTTATAACCGGGTTTCAATATGGAGCCAATCATATTTCCGCCTGATAATGCTGAATCTATCAATGAAGTATCTGACTTGGAAGCGCGAATTTTTGGTATCTCTAATGGAGCTGGAATTTTCTTTTTATGAAAATTAGGTTTACTTGTACTTTGACCATCAGGTTGATCATTATTTTTACGAAAATCATTGGCATTGTCAATGTCCCGCTCTTCAGTTCCATCTTCATGGATAATATTTACTAATGGAAGATCAGAAGCAATAGATCTAGAATGTGTTATCACTGGAATAGGTGCAGCGCCATTAGATATTTTGAAATTACCATCAGTTTTGACATTGATATTTTCATTCAAAAATTTAGCCTCTTGTTTAGGATCGGATGGTGACTCGTGTACAACTGGCGTTTCGCGATCTTCTGCTTGCGAATCATCGCTAGAAGCTTCTTCGTCTTTGTTGATTTCTTCCGCAATAACTGATGCCAAGCTCATTCTACGAACAATCTCATCACGATCGGGACATGTATTGAGATGAGGATCATCGGATTCACGTGGTGTTGAAACTTTGGATGAGTCGGATGAAGATGAGATGATTGACCCATTATTAACATCGTCATCATCAATGGGAACTTGAACGTATTGAAGCGACCATAAACGGACAACTCCATCGCTGGAACCAGTCATGATAACATTATCAAGATCCCATTCATTGTAAAGTGAAAAAGCAGCGCATAAAATTTGGGTTGATGGTGCAGGAAAACTTTGATTGCTTAAAGTAGGATTCATGTCAACTTGACTAATTGAAAGAGTATTCACCGATGCCAAGAGATCACCGTTTATTGACCAAAAGAAAAGCCAGCTTCCAGAGCAAGTGGCAATGTCACCAGTCAAATCATTGATGGAAACTGCAGCGATTGGAGAAGGATGAATTAAATCATTCTCACTGCTACCACCAAGTTGTCTGACAAACAGTAATCTATTTAAATCCCAAACTATACAGGTTCGATCACGACTTCCACTGACAATGATACCATAAGCTGCTGATGATGTTAAACAAGTTATGGCTTCTTTGTGACCAAAGAGGTTGGTGAGTAACTGAAGAGAATGATTTTTCCCCTTGAATCGCCAAACAGTAATAACAGAGCTTGTATTTGCAGTTATTAGTAATCTTGAATTGGGTACAGTTCCACACAATATTTCACCATTGGGTGGAAGAAAGTCTGACTCAAATATGTATAATGCGCGATCACTTTCATAAGGTCCTATGCGAAGAGAGTGATCAGCAAATCCCCAAGCAACATAACGATTGTATGTTGGTGGAATAAGTACTTTATTTTGTTCGACAGCAAGTAAAGTCTTTTCTTGTTGAATTATCTGACCAACAGCTCCTTTCAATTCTTTGATAGGGTGCAGGGAAGGTCTCAAACTTTCAAGATTATGGATAACCACTTTGTCTTGTCCTTGGTCTCCACTTAATAAAACATTGTTAAGTCCAACTGACGGTAAAATTGGAGTTAACGGAGCTCCATTCCCTGTATGGACCTTTTTCACTGGATGTGGCTTTTTGAATAATTGTTTGGGAATTTGACCAAAATTGTTGATGAAACCAATCGTAGCATTTTTCTTTAATGGATCTTCAATTGAATAAATATCAACATTGCCCTCGTAAAATAGATGATGGAATACATTAATTGCTTCAACAGCAGCAGGACCTAGAGTAGATATATTGTTAATTAACAATCATACATGTAATAATTATTAGCAGTAATTGTGTTACCTTGTTGCTTATATCCAAAAATAAGATCAATCCATTCATGTAAATGAGCAGATACATAATCACATTCAAGAGCAGCTCTATGCATACGGATGAATTCACGAGCATCACCTGAAATTATTGAAATGTAAAAAGAGAGGCTTATTATATTTATTTTTTGTATAGAATAATTAAAGATGATTAGAAACGGAATGAACCAACCTTTGGCCCAAGGAGGTAAAATAACATCTCCTAAACGGACACCATTTTGTTTAACTCCAAGATCATAAGCATTGTGGTTAACGAGAAATTCAGGTAAATTAAAGAACTCGGGAATTAGTTCTTTAACATCAGCCATGTTATTTTTAGCTGCAGACATATAAGCATCACCAACCGAGTGAAACATTCGATCGGCAAGATCAAAATGACCTCCTTGAAGACGAAGAAAATTTTGGGTAAAAGGTTCCATACGAACAAGGTAGGAGGCAACAATCATTGCCGATGAATAAAAGGTACCATAATGATAGGGAGGTGTTTCACCATGCAAGTCATCCCATTCATTGTAACGTTTCCTAAATTGTTCCAGTCTGTCAGTAGTTTGAGCACCCATGGGTTTTGAAAGATCACGAAAAGAAAGAGGATCATTTAAATCGAGTTCCGGAGAAGAGTAGTCAGCCAGAATCCATGGGAAAACTGGATATTGCATAAGATCATTATAAGATCTACCAGCAAGTGTATTAAGATGCATAAGATACTGCAAGTTGCTAATTTCACCTCTCTAATGAGACAAGAGAAAATTGAAAAGTCATGAAAATTATTGAATCTTTTATATTCATGGGAAAATAAAAAAGTAAAATTGACTTACCGCCCATCGCTGTGTAACTGAAGTATCTCCAATCAAGCTGCTCAATAGACCAGTTCCACTTTCAACATTGACGTTTCTTTTTTGCCCTGACAGTGAATCGTGTGCATTATCAATGATATGGGTCGCAACTGACATGAAACGAGAGAAAACCTTGTTTCGAAGTTTACGAGGAAAGACGAGTAGAGAATTGCGCCCGTCCATAGAGAAAATCTCTAAAGCAATTGGTTGTAACAAGTAACGCCGTTTGTGAACCTCTTTGATGTCTTCATAAGCAAATTTCATGCAAATCTTTTTGGTTGAACTTTTTCCAACCGATGAAACACTTTCTCTGGGTGATGCAGTTGTTGGTACGATTGAATCATGCATATCGGGAGGTAATGAATCGATATCTCGTATTTCTCTAGTTTTAAGAAGCGTGAAACCATCAATAAGGTAAAAGTGTTCTTTACCAAAAAGAAGTAACCCTTCAAATGTATCCAAACCAAGGATTCGAGCACATCTAAACATATGAGATATTTTTTCATTATCTTCAAGAAGTCGAAGAACCGTTTGTGCTTCAACCTGTTCCCAGCTATTGCTTTCAATAACACCATCACCAACATGAGCAGAAGAGTCTGCAGTCAAGTCAACATACGAGTCATCTTGATCAGTTGATGGAGTTTTAACAGGTAAAAAGGCTGATGTTTTGATTCCTTCGAAAGAATTTTCTCGCTCCTCTGAAGTGGTGTTTCCGCTAAAAATTTCATCATCTGTGGTTTTGTCAGGGTCAGTATCAAAACTGGTGTCTCGTTCAAGAAGTATATGAGCTTCAGAGCGGAAACGTTTAAAGTAGTCACGAGAATCGAAACTAATTGGAGGATTGTATTTCCCTTTTTTTCGTCCAATTGTTTTGGAAGAATCAACTTCTGGTCGGTAAGGATAATGAACATAGAACAATTCATTTTTAACCATCTTTCGTCTCATCCGATGCGGACCTTCGGTCATATCAAGTTTCCATTTATCTAAATTCTTTGAACCATGTTCGGGTCCCCAAATAGCCTTTTCACGAGTAAGTAATTCATTTTCGCATGCAATCCATTCATCGTAAACATATTTCAACAAGTGAACATCGCTTTGAATTTTTTGCTTCAGTTGCGAGTCAACTAGCTCTGATATTAACGAGATATGATCATATGTGCAGGCAGCTACTTCACTGGGTGACATTGAATTCCAAACGGCAACAGTTCCTTTTGTTAAATTGGCATCTGTTGCGATTGAGGATTTGAAAATTTCCTTTTTTATTGTAGACCCTACAGCGTTACTTAGGGCTCCACTAACAGCGCCTGTTGTTCCACCGACAATTTTAGACATTAGACCACCTCCGCTGTTAACCACTTGTGTCAGTTTGTTGATGTTGCCAAGTTTCTCTGAAATTAAAGCTGTTGGTCCTGGTGATGACGGAGAATCAATTGAAAGGTTAGACAGACCAGTTTTAACTCTTTTTTGCCTCAATTGTTCAGATTCTTGATAATTAATCCAAAATTTATGAGTAATATCTGTTAATGAGTCACGTAGAGAGCCCAAATCTGGAATCTCAGATACTATTCCAAAACTTGAGGGATTAGGGACCAAATTTATTTTCAATGCTTCTTCAAGCACTGATTTTTTGCTCAAATAAATTTCATTCCAAATTTTTCTCGATACTGAAGCAATCAATAAAGCTCCTTCATCTGGTTGAACTATAGACTCTGATTCACCTTCAGTTGAATGCCATTGGGTTCGCGTTTTATTCATTAAACGATTTTTCTCTTCATCAATTAGTTGAAGTAAACAGTAAGTTAGACAGGCGAAAAAAGAAGAATCACTATTGTTTGGAGCAACAAGAATAATCCTTCGATAGTTATGGACACGCTGAAGAGATTCTAACATTGTCATGCGGTCTGGAATTGTTTCGACTGGACGAGACAAAAGAAACAAAACAGTACGGTTAATGGAACGATAAAGCAATGCCAATTCATTGTTATTAACTCCGCGTGCATTTTTGTTGCCTGATTGGTTAGAAAAGACAAGCTTGGTTACAAGATTCAACTGAAAGCCAAGAATTTCTTTTCGATCACGAAGGTAGCATTCTTGCCAAATTTTGTCTGATAAAATTGTTGAGAAAAGTACAATGTTGGAAATTGTTTGTTGATGAAGATGATTTTGTTGATTATCTCCAGTTGTTTCAAAGTGTTGCTGCTGTGATATAACTGCTGTCAATGAATCAAGGTGGTCCATTAAGGATTTAAGTAGTTCAGTTTGAGCTAATTTAGAGTTACTGAAAGACGAGAGAAATGCTTCAATAACCGCTGAAGCTTTACTGACAGGTCCAGGAGCACAAATCATTGAATCAACAATAATAAGACGAATAAAATCCATAACATGTTTACGAGCTTCGTGAGTAGTGAGAATATTATTGGTGCCTTTGTCTTTATCTGACACAATGACTCGACATAGAGCAACGACAAACTCAATGTTGGTATGGCAATAAGTTTGAAAATCTTTACGATTGTGATAAAGGAGAACCAGAAATTGAACTAAAATAACTGCATAGGATGAAGCAGCAGGAGATACATTTTCATCCCATATTAAAGAGTGAATCATTGATAAAATGGTCAGTGTGAGATCAGGACAGATTAAATTACTTTCACTTGATTGATATGAACGTCTGTGATGATCAAACAAAAAATTCCAAAGATTATCCAGGGATAGTTCATCAAATGATTCAATGGCACAAATAACAGAAGCTGAAAGTTGAACAAATTGCCCAACTAAACCTTGGAATAGTATGAGGTAGACTTGAGGTTTATCTAAATGGCAATTCATTAGCCAAGAAAGATGCTGGAAACCAGGAATAGTGAAAATATCTTCTCGAATAATTTTATGGCCAGTTGGTTGTTTGATACCAGATGAAAATGCGGGAAATGAAGGAGAAGAGATGGGTGGAGTGGGTGAAGGAGATGGCATGTTAAAACCAAGAAGTTGAAAACGTGAACGATTCCGAAAGTTTGTCTCAGCATCTTTAATCCAACCTCCATTGGATGAACCTTCCTTAAACCGTACGTAATTGGCAGGATTACTAATCAGTACCATCAAGTTTACCATCCCAATGGCAACAGTGTCTTTGTTTAGTCCCTTGCCTTGAAGGAAAAGGAGAAACCAATCAAAACCCAGTGTACGAACAATTTCTTCTTGGAATGCATGATTGGCTTGAACTTTTGGAATACGAGTCATTAATTTGAGAACAATTTTCAACAATGCATTTCTTAACTCGATTATTTCAGGTGGTCTTTCTGTTTCATCAGTAGAGGGTAATAATGAGGCTAAGTATTGACCAAAATACAGAAGATCTGTGGGTCTAGGAGTTTGATTGAGAAGAGCTGTGATTAAAATTCCCGTAATTTGCATTATTTTTGGGTCCAAAGATTTGTGGGTCCATAAAAGTTGAAGAAGACGAGAAAGTAAACCCAAATCTCTTAGAATGCGCAAATTTTTGAAACGATTTTCTGCTTGAGGATAATTACCATGACTAGATTCAAGTAAAAGTTCATTAAAATGTTCCAACAGTGATTTGAGTAGATCGTTTTGTGCCCAAAGGTCAATTTGATCACACAACAAGTCCTTGAATGCTTTGGCTTGTTGAATTTCTAAAGAGCTATTTTCATTTTTACGATAAACATCAACAGTACCAACAAGGTTAAAGGTTAAATGTAAAACGTGCGAATTGAGATGGTGTCTTTTCTTTCTTAAAATCATTGCCAGTGTCTGATATCCTTTGATTCTTTCCATTTCACAAACCATTTCTTTATTTACTTTGAGAACACAAACCAATGCTTTAATTGAGGCATATAAACTTTCGACATCTTGCGAATTGGCAACTAGACCAAGAAGAATGGCACAACCACCAATGTCTTGTAAAGTAACACTAACAGGTCGCGGAATAAAACACCGAGCACCAATGTAACCAATTAAAATTGCTCCTAAACTACGACTGGGACCACAAAGATGACCTGCACTATTGTGTAAAACATAAATAGGAGTAGCATTTTCATGGAGAGATAAGCCAATGATTTTGCTAATCTGTCGACAATCAAATCGTGAGTAAACTCTTTTCATTTTGGCTAGAGTCATTATAGATATGGCACGAGCAGATAATCCAAAGACAACTTTATCTTCAGGTATTTGTTGTAAACTAGAGCTTAGTGATGTCATCTCTTGAATTAACGAAGTTCCTTGAAAACTTCCAATATAATTGTGACCCAATGAATGAATATACATTACATGATTAACAGTGAGAGGTTCTTCAAGAAAATGACATGGACCTTGTTTCCAAATGAGGCGAGATTGTTTTCGCCATTGAGGTGGTGTTCCAATGAAGCCATTAACAAAAGATTGGTTGTTGTTTAAAACAGTTCCACTTGACGCAGTGTTGATGTAATGTAACTTTTGACTGGAGATCAGATGACCATCAACATAAATAGTAGCCGAACTGTTTTTAAGGAGAGCTCGGTTGAGTACAACAACAACTTGGTGCCATTGATTTTCACGCAGCAACTCGGGTGACCAAACGCGTAAATTATAATCTATTTCAAGATTAAAATGGTCAGGTGAAAAGGAGCTTTCATCATCTCCAAAAATTGGAATCTCTTGAGTTGAAATGAGCAGTGCTCGGTCTCGAGCTGAAATTTGTAACTGAAAACATGCATATTCTTGACCAGAGGTGACTCCTCGAGTGACAGTGAATAATCTTATATTGTGAATTTCATCTTCATAGGTTGGAAATTTTTCAACACATATCCATGTGAGAAAGGTGAGTCCTGCTTGAGGAGGAAATGATCTTTCACCGGTTCCAATACCACCATTGACACCACCATTACAAGTTGATGATTGTTTATTGCTATCAGTTGAGCCAGTTATTGTTCCAGTAAAGATGTTAGTGGCTGAAGAGGAACCACTTCCAGAGGAAAAGGGTGCAATCGAGGGAAGAAATAAACAGCTGAATCCTTCCTGGCTCATGTCAAATTCAACAAAAGGAGGTTCTAATAAATTAGCAACACCAGTATCTCTTGGGGTGGTCATTGAAACCAATGTTTTAACACGAGATAAAGCAATTGGTCCGCCAGGTTTTCGGTTTTCTTCTCGCATTTCTTTCTTTTTGGTAACTTCATCATATGTTAAACAATTGAGAGGATTTCCAAGACGAAGAAAACTACGAAGTTCTTTGGGTGAAATACTTTGGGCTGAAAGTCGTTCTAAAATATACTGCATTGTAAAATGTAGATAATGAGATTCATTAAGAAGAGAAATGTTCAATTTATCACTCAAAATTTCATTAAGTAAATTGGCTTCACACATAACTTGCTGATTGCGCTCTGATTTCATCAGTGGACGTAAAGCTTGTGTCAAAAATAATTGAAGAGATTCACAGGGTATCGAAGGAATTAGGTGAAACATGACAATGATAACGCTTGAATGAACTATAACAGGCGGTTCATTGGCTGGATTATTTACACTCAAAGGCAATTGTGGTGGTCGTTTATTTTGGTTTGTTTGGTTAGTTGATTTATTACCAACATCTAGGTTTTCGTTTGATTCTCTTTGATGATTAACAGCCAATGGATGGTTTTTAGGTGTTTTATCAATCAAATCTAACGCCATATCCAAAAGTAGTCTCATTATGAGAGCACAGGATTCAAGAAAAGTCATACTTTGTTTAGGAGGCAATGTTGTTAAAGAACAGTAAAATATATCTCGATAGTTGGAAAGTAAATCAGTATCTTCACGGGAATGCGTTGTATTTGATTGTAACTGTTTATCATGAGTAAAGCATCCTAAGAGACGCAAAGAATCGGTTAAACTAACTGGGCATATCTATTGTGAAAAAGAAAATAAATTTTAGAGTTAATAAATATGTTCTTAATATTCCAAAGGAACTCGCAATTTAAAGAAAAATAAATACCTCATTCGCGAAAAACCTCGCATTAGCTGGTTCGAATCTCATTGCTGCAGCTAATGTGGTGAAAACATATTTAAGTAGATTCCAAATCTTTTTCTTTTCGATTGTGCACCATTGAGAGTAGTGACGACGATCGACAGGTAATTTGGCTTTGAACTCATCAGGTATCTCTTCATCAGCAAGACAACCTTCCATACCAACTAAAACTGACATTACATAAATAAAACCGCCAACCTTTCTGAATAGTGCACGACAACGATGACTTTCTCGAACCACTTGAAGTAAACCTTTAAGGATACTTAATTTGAGACTTATTTCTTGAATTAGAGTTAACTTTGGTTTCTCTATGTTGGAAATACTATCAACAGGTCCTGAAGTGTGCAACATGGAAAGAAGATTAGCCAGAGTTTCATCTCCATTATTTGATAAAATTAATTGGTGGATTATGAGAAAACAAAGTTTCCGAGTTTGTTTGCTTATTCTAGAGCTTGTAAGAGGAAGAAAGTTGAAAATATGTTTAGGGCCTTGAGCTTCGTTGAAAAGAGCACAATTTTGATTATTTGGACCCATAAGCATGTTATAAATAATTTCCATAGTAATCTCGAGAAGTTGGAGTTCAGTCGCGTCAACATTTGTTGCTGCCATGATTGCTTGACCTCGTTCAATCAATAAACTAGTAATAATTTCTAAAAGTCCGACTTCACGGAAAACATCGGGAAATATAGAGTTGAATTTAATGATAGTTAATAAACTTTTTAAGCTCAACAATTCACTTTGGGTTGGTCTGTGAAAGAGTAAAAAATATTTCAAATTAATTTTCAAGATCATACAATTTATTATTATGAAGACATGAATACTTACAGCTTTGATTTTATCATTAGACTGGCACTGATTAGCTCTTTACACGGAACATATTTGATTTCAAAGATGATATACTCTAAAATAGTGAAAAATTTTTCCTGTAAAAAGAAAAAATCGATTCAATCTCATATTTCCAAAGACATAAGAATTAAAAAAATGTCTGTTTCTAGCTCACCTGAATTGATACACTTCTAAGGTGGAGTTTTTCTGCAAATTGTGATAGTGTGTTTTGCGAATCAAGAATAAAATAATTAGCTCGATCATCACGATAAAGGGTGAATAGTCCAGCAAGAATTAATTCTTGTACAAGTGTTGACTTTGCTTTAAACCATAAAGATTGAAGAACAGTAATAGCGTTAAGATTTTTGACGGAATGCTTAGGATTTGGTTTAGGACAAGTAAAATCAGACATGATAAATAATTGATTAACACTAAGTGGCCTAGGTTTAAGTTCCGAAGTTCCAATTTTGGTTAAAGATGTAACCAATGAAAGAACTTTCCTGATGATATTGGCATGAGTTGTTGTATCACGTTCCAGTTTAAGTACAAAATCAACAATAAAATGGTAACCTAAATTAGTCTTGAAATCGTCTAGTAAAATACCAACAGATGGTGGATGAGCATAATATACTTCGGTGATAAAATTTATCATGACTGATAACATTTCATATATTTCATCTTCAGAAGCTTTGGATAGTTCATACATCCGTGAAATATTTTCAATGGAAACTGATATACATGACTTGTCATGAAGATATGAGGTTTTGATACAGTTACACTTTGCCATAATCAAAATAACATCAGCCGCACTTTGACGCCAGATACAGTTATGGGGAACACACCAAGAAGTAACAGCGTTAAAGAGAAGAGCTAAATCATCTTTCCTGGTTAATTCATGGAGAGAAGCTTGATGAGCACACAAACGAGTTAATAGTTGAGTAAAAATTCTGTGCAACAAAAGTCTCCTTTCGATTGGATTTGAATATTCAATATTTTCAGCATAGTTGGATACTCCTTTAGCTGAGAAGCGTAATTTTCCCAATTTTTTTGCCGCAGATTCAACGGTTGTCTGTTGATCAGAAGAATCGGCCTGAGTGGCTGGTGGAGGAAGGTCGAAAAAAAGATATAGGCACCTAACTAGAGTCGAGGGAAGAGAATTGGCAGCCATTACTGGAATCAATGATTCATTTCCATGACAAACAACAAGATTCAATGTACACAGTACAATCCAGCCTTTTTGTTCATACTTTGAGTCATTATTGCTTGAATCGGATCTTGTCCCTTGTCGACTAACAGAGGATAAATTAAATGCTGAATTTGTTGGGGTTACAGTTGTTGAAACTTGTTCCTGTGAGATCTCTAAAAAATTAACAATTGCTTCACTTGCTTCCTGTGTTGTTTTATTGCTTGCTCTACGCCTGATTTCTGTAACCATCAACCTGGAAACAATATTAGTTAATGTATGAAGATCGGAGAAGTTATCAAATAGTTCACCAGATGTTTTAGTCGGTGGTGACCCCGGAGTAGAAGCTGATGGACCATATACCTATAAATTAGATGAGATAAAAATTAATTAAAATGGAAACATGGGAAACAAAACATGTTGTTTATGGTCAAATTTACCTTAAGGAATAAAGGTAATAAACGGTAGATCTTGGATTCATACTCGTTGATGGCTTCATGTGCATGGATGTCATATTTTGAAGGTCCACCAACATCACGGAAAGCATATTGACTGGTTTTGATTTCATTAAAAAGCTTGTTTAGATGAGCTAAATATAATTGTTGATCACTGGACTGCATCACATGGAAAGAGACAAAACCGCTATTTCATAAAACACAGAGATTAGTCTCTTATTTCTCCGGCGCCAGTGCATTCAAAAATCCAAAACAGGGAATAAAATTTTTAAAGTTGCATGCCAGGTGATGTTTGTTTGCCGAAGGTTGATATGGCCACCAATAAACAAACAAAGAAATAACCGAGAAACAGTTTGCAGAAAAGGCAAAAGGTACTTGGAATATTGTACTTCGAGATCATTTTAATACAAGCTATCCTGAAATGAGAAAGAAAAAAATTAGACTTTAATAATGCAAATTGATTTACGGGATGACAAAGTCGAGAGATCTTAGATGAAATAACCAGCAATACCTTAGATTCATTTGCAAATTATTCAATCAAAAAAATACTCGATTCTGCAAATGAAATTTTCACCAGTAAAGATCAAAAACGAAAAAAAGAAACACTTTCCAAAGATGACTAAAATCACAGTCAGAGAAAGTGTATTGTCAGAAATAAGCAGAAAATTCAATTTATTAAGATTTCAGATAATAGATGATTCAAGGGCGAGTTAATCAGCTGCACGAATGGTAATTACACCACATTTTTAAACAATCAAATAACTGTGATTTACTCCGCGGAAAGATGCTGTGTTTCAATATCTTTGCCTAACAAGTGTTTGCACATCTGATCAAATCATCAGTAACATCCACAGGAATGGGGTTCATATTCATGATCGGTCTGAAAAAGTGAAAAATGTTTGAGCATAACATATCAAAGAAGAAACACAAATTACTAAAATCGATTCCAGTGGATAAAGGTAAACATAACTGGAAAAGTCCTGTTGAACAAATGAAAACATGCATCTTTGTATCTTATTTTGAGACAATCCCTTTTGACAAGTTTTCATTTGTTTACATCAATCAAAGTTTTGTTAATCTTTGACAATTCGGACAAAACGATATTGTAGTCTTTTATCGATTTGGTTGAAACTGAACTCTTAATACAATGTAAGAATAGGATGCAAAATAGAAAAGGATGAATTTAAAATGAATATCTAGGTTAAAATAGGATGTGATGAAGAACTCAAATGAATTGAAAACTCGACTGGATGACTCATACCTCTCCAATAATGATAAATTCTGAATGATCTAACAGAATATACAATAGAATCAGGATATAATAAATATAATAATTGTGTGGATTAAGGCTACACTTTTATGAATTGCGTTAATTGTATCTAGAAGATTTTATAATAACATTAAGATAATAGGGAAAACTCTGTTATAAGCGAATGATTCCAAATTATTAACTAGAATTTGATTTTTTGCAAATTAGATTGAAATAAGATAAAATCAATTTTTTAAACTGTTGAATATAATGATGCATTGACTCGAAAAATATAAACAAAGATAAAATTGTTGAAAGACTATTGAGCAGCATATGAAGATCGACAACAAATGGACGGTAATTTGATAACAAGGGAGTTTATCCTTTAGCATTAAATGTAGAAAGACTATTACGACTTACTTTCAGATAATTGAAATAAAATTCAGCAGAAATAACATGAAGTAAACAAGAGCTTGTCAGCGGAAAAAGATCGAAGTGGAAATATTAAGGAAATGCCAAAAGCTTCGGTTCATGTTTACATCAGAATAGTTCGAAAGAATACTTAATTTATCGATTCTTACATTAGATTTATTGCCAGCGTTCAGTTAAATAATGGGTTGATGTTGTCACCAATGATAAAATAACACGAACAAAACAAAAGGTAAATTTGAACATTGGTTATTAGGAATAACTTATTACATTCTGTTCGGCGAAGCGGTTGCAGAGCTAAACTAGACTTTTGTCATGCGTCTAACACAACTCAATTCTGATTGATCAGTAGCAACATCGCCTAATTTGAAAAATACATTTTTACCCATTTTCAAATAAATAGAGACAATTGAATACATTTTGCTAATATTTATTTATTAATCATCATTTACAAATGTCTTACATACATTCAGCATCTTGTATATTACATATTTTAATGTATGGAGCGAATTAAAATGTGAAAAGCTGGCTTAATTGAGAAATCAATCTACAGTATAAAATTTTGAATGCAAGATAGCACCATTGATGTAAAATAGACAATAATCAAGAGTTGAGCATAACAAGTTTTACTGTATCCAGGAATAACAAAATCGTTGAGGTCAATAATCATTTACAATTGTAAGTAAACGATAATTGTAAAAGCGTTGTCCGTTTTCACATAATAAAATGAATCGATTAACACAAAATTGAATAAATTTTTTTGAGAATCTATGTTTTAAAGTTTGCACCACGCTATCGATAGTTCACTAGTGTATGAAATAAATTAGAAAATCATTTAGAAATTTAAATTGACAGCTGAGAAATTATCGATTAAAATTGAAACCTTATTTTCAAATAAAAAAAGGATGGTAACAATGTTGAAAAGTTAACATGATGTGACAAAAAAGGGAAGTCTGATGATAATGGAAAGAGATATTGATTTGATTTGATTTGGTATATTTTGTTTCCAAGACTTATATAAAAAAATTGCGGCAACGATTATTTCTTTAAACTTGTTCAGCCTCTGTCATTATAACAGGAGGTGGCTTATAAAGTATGCTTAATGGTCGAGATCGACGATGAGTGGGTTGAAATTGTTGAGGATGATTATGAGCATGATGATTATGCTGATGGATCATATTTGAGCCTTGAACTTGCATTTGCATTTGCATCTGCAATTGATGTTGATGTTGTTGTTGTTGTTGCTGCTGCTGTTGGTGATGTTGTTGTTGTTGTTGCAACTGGTGAGAAGAGTAAATGTAATTGTTTTGATTATGGTTAGCATATAAACTTTGCTGTTCGATGACTTGTTGCCTCTGTTGTAGAGATGGACGAGGTGGAGGTAAGGGTGGACCACATTTCTGTGTTTTTGGAGCCAAATCAAATTCAACTGACTTTCTTCGACCAACGCCTCGCTCTTTGGCAATCACACTTGTATAATCACGAATTAATTGAGCTATTTGTAGAGCCTAAGAATCAAAGAAAAAGATTAATTTTTGTAATTATTTAATTTGAATTATAACGAAGAAGGAAATTCAAGTAAACTCACCTGTTGAGTCAAGAAGATGTACTTTTTGCCCATTGCGACAATCATTAAGCTATTGTTTGATGGTGTGTAATCAACCATATGCAGATAATCACAACTTGCGAGCACATTCTGTGGAAAGAAAGGAAGAAAACATTTTAAAATCAGATTGTTCAAATGATTAAATCAAATTACTAATCATACCCTAGTTTTCAGTTCAAGAAGATGCATTCCAGTTTGGTCAATAGCCAACCAAAGACTTCTAGGCCATGATGAAGTGTATGTTTGAGTGACTTCAAATAGAGTTGCTCGATGAAGTGGCCAAGACTGAATTAGATTAAAGAAAGATTGTTTAGCAGTTTCGGCATCCATTCCTTTCATTGTTTGATGCTGGGTTACAACAGCTTCTGGAGAAATTTGTAATAGAAGGCGAGATGGAAGACAACGTGGAATGTTTTGTCGATAATCTGTCAGAGCATCATCAAAATCGCCCAATTCCAATTGAGCTTTAAGAGCACATAACATTATAGCTTCTTGTTCAGTAATTGGGAAACGATCGTGTCTAATATTATGGACAACTTGATGGAAGAGAAGTTCCTTTTCGACAGGATCCTTAAGATCAATATAGGAATCAAGGAAAAGATGTTTTTTGAAGACAAAAAAGTGTTGAGCTTTACGAGTAACCATTTTACTCTGCTCTTCATGCCAGCGTTCCCAAAACGCCAAAGCGTCACCAACTTTTTCTTCAGGCTGTAAAGCTTGTTCACTGGTTCCACCAAGACTTTGATAGAGAGCATAACCTGGACAACGAGATCGAAGACCTATTTTTATTTGTATTTGCTCAATAACTTCGGATATGGTTGCACAAGCATCAAATTCAACTGCTTGAAATTGACCATCAAGGAAATGTATCCTGGCATAAATACGTCGACAAGCAATGGTACTTATTATTTCAGATCGAGAAGGAGTTACTTTTCTACCTCTCGTTTCCAAAGTACCCTGAAGATTTTTCAATGAAAATTGAGCAAATTGTCCTTCCTCTGTAACTTCATCCAATGAGCATTTCCTGAGATGAGCATGAAGATAACCCAATATGCGTCGATCAGTGGGATAAGTTACACTACAAGCAAGAGCCATCAATTGCCAATGTCTAATATTGACTTTGCTGTTTGGATCTGGATGATCTGTAGTTTGTTTAATGAGTTGAAGGAAAAATTCATTCTTAAAAATATCAGATGAATCTTTACGAGTACATCGATCAATTATACTTTGGGCCAGTCGAATGTGATCCTTCTCTTTGACTCTTGGCCACTCATTTTCATCTGTTTGACTAGAATCATCTTCCTGAGGACGATTAGCTGATAAATCTTGAGCAAGAGCTAGACCAGTGTAGGCAAGGATGGCATTAAAGTTGTTGATTGATGTTGATTCCAAATCAGGATCAGAGATAACAAGGATACTATTTTGAATAGTTGATTTAGAGTAGGCCCAAAACGAATGAGGAAAATTTTTGAAGCATTCAGATTCAAATTCAGCACCATATTCCAGTTTCATTTTGTCCATTCTAGCCTTATTAAATTTACGCAATGTATTGCGAACAAAGCCAAGATTACCTTCAGGAGGTTTACGAAGAATACCCGATTCAATCAGGACTTTGCGACAATTCATCACCTCTTGATGATATTTCATTCGATCTTCAAGGGACATTTTCAAGAGTCGACGAGCTGGAATGTGAGTTGCATTGGTGCTATTGTTGATTTGATTTTTAGTTTCCACTATTTGACGATTATTATTCACAAAATTACCCCCTTTACGTAACCAACTACTTAAAGAGGGGCAATAACTGGTAACAAGAGCAGCAATCTCATCCTTTTGTTTTGTTTCAAATGTAAAAAACTTGTGAGTATCTGATAATTTTGAAGATAACTGGAATGTGATGAAGTTATCTTGACCTTGATAAACGCTCATTGATTCAATGTTTGAGTATAGGTAAGCTTTCATTATTGCCTTTTCAGCTGGATTAACCAACAAAATTCCTTGGCTGTTTACTCCAAGTAAAATATTATGACCATAAGAGAGGTAACCTTTATAAGATACTTGGAATAATGTTGTACCATACAATGGATATTGCATTACTACAGATAAGTACCAAACTTTAGCAATGAGATCAGGTTTTCCTTTACCATAACGCTGATGACTTTCGAGTATTTTCATTGACCATTCCTTGTTGCTTCGATTGGGACACGCTTTACGTACCCTTGCGCAAAGATAATTATCAATATCTTCATACTTTTCAATAGGTTGGCGATCTTGAAAATCACCAAGCGATATTTGAGCTTGAAGACCAGCTAACTGTAATGCGATTCGTTCTGAGACGGGAAATTCGTCCTTTTTAACTACACTATGAACTGCCTGAGCATACAACAAATTGACTTCAACTGGATCATGAGGAATCTCTCGACTGTTGCGAATTAAACGTTTCTTGAAAACAAATCGATAATCGCTTTTAAATGCATTAGAAGAACTTTTTCCAATACTTCCATATTTGGTGCCATAGATTGAATTTTTTTGATTTGATTCCCATTGGGACAAAATATCAGCAATATAATCAAAGCTTCGGATAACCTGAGGAAAAATAAAAACAAATGTAACAGTTAAAAAGATTTATTCATCCAAATTCATTTTCCTTTTACCAACCTTTTCATAATCAGGAGTTTGCTCATAAATGGCCCAACCATCAAGGTTTTTAAGACCAATTTTTCCTGCTAAATGCATCATTGCATCGGAAGCTGTATAACATGGATGAATATCGATAGCTTTAACTCGACCATCAAGAAAATGAAAACGGCAAACAAGAGAAGATAAACTTTTAACTGCATTAATCTCAAGACTGGAAGGCGGCATTCGTCTGGAAGTTTGAACAGAACTTTTTGGATGAAGATTATCCAAGCAAAATTGGGCATAACAAGAGATAGCAGCATCTTTACGTAAATTTTTTCGCAGAAAACTTTGCAAATATTTTGTGAAAACCTTTCCTGGTTGAAAAGCAGCACTGGTTAAACCAAGAAGTACCCAAGCCTTAAGAGTTTCCTCTCGAGAAGGATTATTAGTAGATTGGCGAATGAGTTGAACAAATATCTCATCTCGAAGCTCTTCTCTTTCAATGCCTTTAACTACAATAGATTGGATCAACCTGACCTCTGATTCACTCTTTAAATCTTGTGAAAGGTATTTGTGAAGCTCTTTAAATAAGGTACAGGCTAAAATTGCATTCTCTGGATCATGCATGTGAATATGGCTTGTTGGTATGGTATTCATTGGATTCCATACCAACATGTCTTGCTTTGTTAATACTTCAACATCATCTCCAGCCTTTTTACGTCGAGTAAGTGTCCTCATCACTGAGGAACCATACGTTGAATCACGTGTATGAGTGTTGAAGTATTTTGTGGCAAACTCTAGAATATCAAAAGCTCGATTGTTAACATTATCTTCTTCTTCAATATCAATTGACCCTCGATTTCGATCAACTGATTTCAATTGTTGTTGTTGCTGTTCTTCTTGTAATTGTATCATTAGTCGATCAACCCGCTGTTTACGCCTTTCTTCCATATTTGATTGTTGATCACTTGTTTCAGAGATAGATTGTTGTTGTTGGAATTGATGTTGATAATTTCCTTGTGACTGCTGTAAGCCAGGACTCATGTTTGGACAACCATTTATCTTTCGCATTGATTCCTTTGGATAACCTAAAGGTATTCCATTGGGTAAAGGTGCATAAATTTGTTGATCATCAATCGATTGACTTTTTTCCTCAGGCACTCCATTAGCCAAAAGCGGTTCAACCTCTTGAGTTGGCTTTGAATTTGATGGTTGTTGATCACAATGATAAACGGGTATTGGCGGGGGAGGTGGTGGTATTGGTGGTGGTGGTGGTAAATCGCATCCTTTATCAATCTTGAGTTTATCAATTTCTGTGATCTGAGCTTCAGCAGTTTCAATTAATTTGTCAAATTGCCTATTTATTTCATCGGCGCTTGGTTTACCATCTTTTTCCGTTAATTCAGTCAAGAATACAAACATTTTATCCAAGTCAACATAATTTGATTCAGATCCGTTTGAGCTTAAATTTCCACTTGATATTGACTTTATTGACGATTCAACAATTGATTGATCAGTACAAGAATTTCTATTAAGTAAGCCACTTCGTTCCATCATTTGAGTTATTTTTTCAATCTCATTTTGTGCCAATCTAAATGTGAAATGAAATAGCAAAAGTAGAGATTAATTGAATTGTTCAAAAATAGAAATCAAAAATGGTCAAAACATGAAATAACAACAACATGCTGAGTAAAATAATCCAAAGCATTGAATTTGAATCAACAACCAATGAATATTACTAATATATTGTAATACAAACATCAAATTAGATATCATAGATTCCAATCAATATAATCAGATTGAGTAAATTCCTAAACCAATTTCAAGATTGATTAATTGTCTACAGTTTCCGTAAGCTTTTATCCGAGTAAAACAAAACTGAATATCTAATGAAAATATTCCTATTAATCAATGAAAACCTTTCAGATGAAAACTGAAAGTTAATAAACAAGTTTACCTGACAATTAGCTCGTACTAATCAATTTTACTCAACAACAACTTTATAATAATGTATAATATTAACAATTATTCTGATAAGGTGAAAAAGTAATGAAGATAAAAATATGCGCAAACAAAATCACAATTACAATCACTTGATTATCTATTTAATCATTCAATCAAGTTATCTTTAATAGAATAGATATTTAATAATATTCTGATATTACTAACAATTAATAAATTGTTCAAAGTAAAAAGACTTAATTGTAATAATATGCTTTTCATTTTGTTCATTTCATTGTTTGCGCCATTGTTTATGCTTTTATGCTTGTAAAAACGTTAAAAGGCATAAAAACAATGGCGAGTAAAGAAAAAGCATAACTTAAACAAACAGAATTATTTCCATTGTTTTAGTTATGTTTAATTTTTCCATCATTCAATAACAATCAAATCAACTAATTAACTAATTTATTTTCTCGAAAATATCAAGATATTAACTTCCCTTTTAATCTGTTCATCTGATAATAGTGAAAACCAGTAAATTGCAGCGTAATTAAGTTAACAACAACAATCACAACCAAAAAAGATAAACCAAACATTCTCATCTCTATCAATCTTTTCAATCTAATACAGTAAATCAAATTAACTTCGGTGAAATTAATGAGTGAGATGGGTGAGTTAATTGATCAATGAGAGAGTCAATGTCCCTGGATCTGATTTATAGATTAAAAACAGTTTATAAATTGTGATTGTCGCCCGAAATCTCATCACAGCAACAAGTCTTTCAAATCTACTTTTCAGCTCAAAAGTGCCAATCAATTCAACTATTCAAATTTACCAATTATCACAATCCAAGTTATTAACTAATCGTCTTAATTTGTTCTTCACTCATTAATTCAGTCTATTCCTTCCAAATTATCAAATTATCTTCAAACTCTTCAATCTTTTCACACCATTTTCAACACTAGTGTGATACAATAAAGCGCTACAATATGAAAGCTTCAACAGTTTTTGTAAATCTCTTGATTTTCATCACAATCCTTTTGATGACCATCCAATCAATGTCCTGTAAACCAGCACCAACCAAAATCGAGATCGGTGGAAACAAATATACAATCGATGGAGATAGATTGGTTTGGCGTAATCAAATGTGTGATTATCTATGCAATCATGGTGATGGCGGAGACTTATGTAAATGTGATTTCATGCCTTTTCACCCAGAAATATCTGAATAATCAACCAACTTACATTTTTTTACTCATTGCTATTCATTGTTCAATCCTTTAAAAGTAATAGTAATAATATCTGTCAATAAATTAATTGATGACACTACTGTAATTATAACGCTATCATCATAATTTATCAAAATTTACTTTACTGTTTTTTTTCATCCCAAAAATTGACAATAACTGTGATAACATTTAAATAAAATCATAACTTTTCATCAAAATTGTACTCCTTTCACTTTGTTCACTTCAATTGTTGATCAATCGGTTACTAGGTAAAACGATATAACAAAAAATTACCTTTTTTGGTTTTTTATGAATTTCATTGATAATCAGAGAGGGTAACAATTTTGCATATAATTATCGGTAAATTTCTAGATTATTCCTGAATCACTGACAAATCACCGATTTCAGAATAATCCAACCATTAATTAGCATATATTTTGAATAGGCGTTGATTAGAAAGACTTTAATCCTTAATATCAAGTAAAATAATAATTGTCTAATCATTTGCAATATTTTCCTTGAAACTGAATTTATTAACTGATTTTTTGCTAAAATTTTGCTTCAGTTAACCAATCAAAACTAATAAACGAGCTTATTTTCTGATTAAAATAAATCGCCCACCAATTAGTAATGATTAGCTGAATATGCAACCATTACGATCATCTTCTCAATCCATGATTCTTCTTGTGGTAGCAATAAAATCTTGTCCAATGTTCAACTCATTGTGATAGCATTTTGGCTTTCAACCAAATGTGAGCCCCAAAGCAGGACCATTATGAACTGAGATTGATTATCAAACAATACAAATCAAATGGTATATTGTCATAATGAATGAAGACCCACATTCATGATTTTACTGATTTGCTATTTCGATAGTGAATCTTGTAAATTTCGTGCTATCTAGAAATTCATTGAATTGTTTATTTTAACACGATTTTTTCATGAAAATTAGGAACCATTAAATGTCTGACTAATGACTGATATATCAATGACTAGTGTTTTGGTTTATCTCAAACCCAATTTTTACTATTGAAGCCAACAGTAGAAATAGCGAAAGATTTCATTAAATGATTGCTGCAAGTGTTTTCCTGGGATAACTTAAAATCAAAGCTAAAATCGCAAAATAACAGCCAATTCGTAAATTAAATAAATTACTTTGATAGATAATTAGCTGAACTGATTGAAAACAAAAGCTGAGTTGAAAAACAATTCATTAACTTTCATGGCAAGTTTGTTGAAACTTGTGAGTGAATAAACTTGTGAGGAAAGGATAAGGTTATACAATACTCAAAAAGAGAAGTAAAAATTATCAGTAAATGATAGGTAAGTGTTGATGAATGAAAAATATTTGGTAAACATGAACTCAGAAGGATTTCCATGAGAAAATGTAATTTTTCAATTGATTGAAATACATTTTTGATGAGTTATTTAAAGCAAGTCGCAAAAATATTGAAAGTTGAATTGAAAACAGGATTGAACACAAAAATATTACCAAATTGAAATATCTTGTGCCTTAATAGGATAAGTGTTATTGTAATATCAATTATGATATTAATTGTGATGAAAGATACAACATGCTTTTAATAGCCATGAACATGGTAAATAATAAGGAGGAAATGGCGCAATCAATATCAGCTTTAATTAATCAAGAGTGATCAACGGAAGCTTAGGTTAAGATTAATGGTAAAGCTTATTATTGATCAAAGGGATGCAAGATTATAATCAACCTTCAGAATCATGTTGATAATATCGTATTGATTCGTTTAGTGTTTGATTGTTTTTACCCTGAACGAGCAGTTTTAACCAGTTCTTGCTCCAAGAAACTTGTTAACTTGTTATAAACAGATAGCAACTCATCATTATAATAATAATAAAAACATGATTTAATTTGAACAATGGCAAGCTTTTCAGCCCATTTTTAAGTCTATTCATGTTCAAGACATTTGATTGATTTTTCAAGGTAAGAAAAGCCAAACCTGCGAGTAAGAAAAGGTTATAAAAGGTTCCAAAAAATTAACAAACAACATCAAAATATATTTGATATTACTTAAGGATAATCAATAGTACTGAAGCAATATTGTTACTAACTTCTGCATAACATTACAGATTTTGTTGATTAGGCAACGGATTGAGTTGGATTAGGCAAAATAATCAAATAAGGTAAAAGTGAATCTGTAGAGATTGTTGAGTGAAATTATTGATTCCGGATTCTGTTCAATTTTTCCTGGATAACCTAAATTACTGTTTATTAACTTAGGTGATCGGAAGTTTTGCACTAAATATGGTTGTTTACCAATCGCTATTTTACAGTAAATTATCCAAACATTGAGTAGAGTATAATTTACTCTCGCAACTTCATCTTAATAGATGAACATTGAAAGGAATTGATTGGTTGATTAAAATCATAAAAAGAATAAACAAAGACCTGGTCATTAAATTGACCAAGCTATAGAGAAGGAGAAAAGTCAAGCAATATTGAACTCTTATACTTTCATGATTATCTGATTTCATCGACACAACTTATCAAATAAAATGCACTCTTACCCATATCGTTCCTCCAATAATTTGCTGCATTTATTGAGATAAATGCAAAAAGTGAAAAATTAGCAAAAAAATAAACATTTAAAGTTGGTACTTACAATAAAGATTCATCTAAATCAGCCTTTTGAGTCAGTTGTTTATCATCGTTGGTTTCATTTGTTTGATCTATTCCATTTGAGTAATCATCTTGATTAGATTCGTCGTTTTCATTATTTTCTTTGAGGAGTTTCTTTTGCTCAAATAGTTTCTTTTCTTGCTCTTCAATCTCTTTCTCTCTCATATCTTCTTCTACCCTTTTCATTTGTCTCAAAGCAGAAGCAACTTCACGATCAAACATTCCTCTGACATATGATTGAATGGTGATGGCAGCTCGTTTTTTCCTCATGAACGCCAAGAATGTACGATGTCCACGGAAATAACGTTGAATGGTAATTGCTGAATCCCTCATGAGATTATATTGTTTACTTTCTCTATATCTTTTCCAGCAGGCTTGAATTTTAACAATCATTTCATTGAGAATGAAGGTTCGCTGCTCCTCTAACAGCTCATATACTGAAGCTTTCAGAAAAATACGAGTAATTCCAATTTGCCATTCATTCTCAGGTAAATTTAAACCTTTTAATATTTCAACACAGGCTTTAGATTTTTCTCCATTAAATTTGAGTTTCTTCAGGATACACTTATACCGGGTAACAAAATCTTCAAAAGTAAAATGAATTGGATAACCTTCACGTCTTATCCTTATAACGTCTAACATTCCAAGATATTGAAGTTGAGTTAAAACTTGTTCATTATCATAACAACTGGCCGATTTTTTCATATTTGGTTTTATACATCGGACATACCAAGGATTAGTTGAGTGAAGAAGATCAACTAAAGCAGTTAGCTGTAAACGAAATGCATCGGCAACAGTGGGACGACCTTTAGTGATAGTTGCAGTTTGTTGACTACTAGGCCTAGTTAAAGTTGATCCACTTGATCCTATTCTTGAGGTTGTTATACCAATTAAATCCTGCATTCAAAAAAAAGGGAAATTCGTTGTAATATTGTAATATTTATGTTTGTAATTGATGTTATTAAGGTTGAAATTAAAACAAAAAGCAAATCTTTCATCCAGTCTTTAATAATAAAGAAATATAATTACCTGAAATTGGACCAAATCTTTAATGAAAACATTTTTTGATTCAGCCATAAGCACAAAAAGCTGATCTTGCTGAGCATCTTTGTTTTTATCCAAAAACCCACCAACTTTATAAATAACTTGACCAGCATAGTGTTTAATCCCAAATTGTAAATCCCAATCTCGACGATCCTCGCCTCGTGCATAACAAGGGTGAGATTCAAATTCATTGTGCAATTTATTAACATAACTGGTATCACTTCCTTTAGGAATACGACATTCTTCAGTTAATAAACGGAATATACATTTCGGTGGTTTCTCGAGTAATTCCAGGCAAGGAGTATTATCAGTGAAATTTATGTGAGAAAAATTGATTCCTTCTTGGCGATACTGAAAACACACAAAAAGATAAAAATCAAATAAATATTTATTAGAATAAAAAAGAAAACAAAAAATTACCATTTCTTGTTCCAAAGCAAAAATGTAATGATTGAAGAAACGATGAAGCTTTTCATTGGCATAATTGATACACAATTGCTCAAAACTATTGGTGGCAAAATTTTCAAAGCCAAAAATATCGAGCACACCAAGGAACCGAGTTTGACTATCTTTTCCAGGAGATGTACAAGTATTAATATAATTGACAATCCAAGAGAAGGTTCTTGAATAGAGTGCTTTAGCCATGGCATGTCGATTTTCCCGGGCTTCATGAATCTTGAAAGGTATTTCGGTTACAACACCACGAACATTGATTTGACGTTGAAGTGTTGCTTGAGTTAGACGGACAGCATCCAAGCCAAGGAGAGTGGCAACAGTTGCCAAAATTTCCTCGTCATCTTGCTTCAATTTACATCTTTCACCATCTTGGTAATCTTCAAAAACAATGTTACCCAGCCAAAGGATTGCACTTAGAACCGAAAATATACCGTCACACATCTCGGTTGGCATGTTTAAAACGGACATGGCTAAGCGTAATGATTCAAAAGCTGCATTATCATCGACACCATCAATCCGATAACAACCACTTTGACTTAGATAAGCATAATTTTCCGCTTTTTCGACTAGAAATTGGTTGCGAATATCAGCATTATTTGCAGCTGCAGTTACCAATTGGTAGAAGACGTGATAATTTCTTTCTCCTTTTGATTGGAAATTTAATCTCGACTGTTCCAATAAATAATCTTGAATGATACAGCCTTTAATTTGGCATCGTCGATCAAAACAGACTTGAATAAATTTTCCAAACCGACTAGAGTTGTCATTGCGAACAGTCTTGGCATTACCAAAGGCTTCCAAAATTGTGTTTGCCTCAAGTATTTGATGTTCCATCCATGTAGATGAATTAGATGTTACAGTACAAAGATATTGCAGGATAAATTTGGTTGATTCAGTTTTACCAGCTCCCGATTCACCACTGATTACACAAGCTTGATCAATATTGTCCGTTTGTAGACTACTGTAAGCTGCCTCTGCAATGGCAAATATATGAGGCTCTTGGGTTGACATTTTTTGTCCTTGTCCATTGTAAAGGAAAACCCAATCCTAGTGAAGAGAGAAAAAAAATCGAAATACTTTTAGTGTAAATAATCAATCTTGGATATGAAATTTGATAGTTGAGGAAATAAAATAATGATATAAATTTGATAGACTTACAGTCTCATAAATAGGCAGTTCTTTATAAGGATTTACAGCAACTAAGATGGTTCCAGTATAAGTCTAGAAGATTTGTAAGTAAATAAAAAAGGAAATATGAGAATTAAGTAAATATTATACAATAATATTTCATATTTGATAATATCATGACAAAATCTGGAAGAAATGAATGTCATTTTCGAAACTTGAAAATGATTCACTTAATAGATTTGAATTTTTCAAAATTCATCTGAAATTAAAAGTTTACTTACGTAGATTCGATCCTTTTCATATCTAACTCGAAGATTTGTATTGATCCCATGCTCATCGATGTTGGACAGAGCAGTTAAATCTTGAACACCATCCATAGCAGACATTTTTCAATGAAGATTAAATCAAATTGCAAGTTCACCAAATCACATTTTATTATTAAAGTTTCAAGATTTTATCTTAAATTTGTTGAAATTTGTATTTAGATCCTTCCTTTCCGGTTCATAATCTGAGTAAATCAAAGCACCAAAACAAACTGGCAAAAAAAGAGATGAAAGATGGATTACAATTTAGTTTCAAAACACTGAAAAGCAGGTTATGATTGGTAGGAGTTGCATCTTCAATTTGAAAATAGTGTTGCAAAGATGTTAAGCAATTGGAAATGGTATAAGTTTGGTGGATTACATTTAATTTTCTTGAAAAACATTTCACTCCCAAAAACCCGATTTCAATTGTAGATATTAATGACAGTCAAGTTGCGTCAAATCAGTAAACTGATAAGCAAATTAGTCTATTAAAAAGTTTTCTGATGACAGCAAAAGTCGAAATTCATGATTGAACCAAACTCGTAAAATTTCAACTTAACTTTGACAACGCAAGAGCAGATATCATGTGCTGTTTAGTTTTCAGGCTCATTCAGAATAATATGGAATAGGATAAACAGGGTTGGGCAGGTGGAAAAGGAAACTCTTTAGTTGCTCGTTTATGTATTAGATTAAAGATTGGCACCCATTTCCTAGAAACTTTTCAACATTCACACACTTTGACTATTTGACGAGAAATTTATTATAGAGTCAACTTTAAATTGAATATTGAAATGGAATCAGCAAGCATGATTAGAAAAGATATTTGGTTACTTCGAGTTTTACAATTGAATTGAGTTAACATGAAACTGACTTGATGATTTCTTTATTTGGACTTCATTTTAAGTAAAATGGCTCAAAAAGAAACAAGCATTTGAGTAAATAACCAAAATAATTGACCTAAAAATACATTTGACACTTACAGCTAACAGGACTTTTGGACTATAAGTCACACCCATATTCACCTCATGCCAAAGCTACTGGTTAAAGTAGACTAGAGTTGACATTAATTGATTAACACAGGAATCAAATGATCAATGATGGCAAGAAATGGTCAACTTTACTTACCTCAAGACAATTAAAATGGCAGAAAATTGATTCACGTTTCACAAATCAATTGATATATCAATTATGGCACAAAAATAAATGGAAAGCTTGTCAGCAGATAAACACAACAAAAAAAAGTCAAGCTGGAAGCATTAAAGTATCTCGAAGAAGTTTGCTTGTTTAAAAGATACAAATTGTTAATTGTATCCCAATGTCCATAGATAATTCCATTTATTTATTAGCACTGACTTGATAATCCAAAGTGATGACAGTTTGTTAAAAAGAGTTCGAGCAAAACAAAAGGTAAACTGTACATTACATTTATTGATCGGCGAAGCGGTTACATAGCTTTAGCTTTAAACCAGATTGTCATGCGTCTTACTCGATTCAATCGAATCTGATTGATCAGAGTTCGACTCGCCCAAACTTGGACTTGTTAATATAAATAAAACACAAGAGTTGTAAAATTAATTAAACTGAATCAAAAAAACAGTAACACAATTGATCATTTTAAAGACCATCACAGCTGCAAGAAAACATAACAAGTAAAAAAGCGGTTTTTTCTTTAAAATGGGATAAATAAGATTCAAAATAAGTTTTTAAACTTTCTCGATGTTTGAAGATGATTGATTGCGAGATTAGTCGACTACACAAGTATTCAGTAATTCATTTTGATAATTTCATTTAAATAGATGTTTCATTTCCTAATAATAATAATTTATTTTAATTAGGAAGAAACTGTTAAAAGATTGCTTTACTTGGGAAAAGCTTTCAAACCAGCCCGCCAGTTTCAAATATTCATCTTGATCATATGTTTTGCTTTGATTTTGTCATGTTTTGATTTTTATTTTTGAATTTATTTCCATTTTTTGTTTGTTCATATAATATTTATTCATCATTTTTTTAATGGAAGGTTTCATCAATGTATCACCCAATGAATTGAACTTATCACTGACACTTGTTTGTGGCCAGTGCTTCAGATGGAAGAGACGTAAACAAGACGATAATGTCTGGTTCGGGGTAATTCTTGATAAAGTATTTGAATTGAACCAAAAAATTCTGAAAACTGGCTCTAAACCAGAAAGTCGCATTCATTGGAAATTACTAAATCCTAGTTTTGCTGGTGGTTCCAAAACTAAACGCCGTAAGCTGTCTTCAAATGATGTTACAGACTTATTGAGTGATTATTTCCAGTTAAAAGTGCCATTGGTCGATTATTACTCCAAATGGTCTAGCATCGATGATAATTTTAGCTCAAAAGGATCTCAACTGCCAGGTATTAGGATATTACGACAAGATCCAGTTGAAAATTTGTTTTCTTTCATCTGTTCTTCCAATAACAATATTCCGCGGATCTCAATGATGGTTGAAGCTTTGTGTTCTACTTATGGCCAGCAATTATTTGAAGATTCCGAATATGGTCCTATTTATGGATTCCCGACAATTAATGCTCTTGCTGTTGATGCTGTGGAAAGTAAACTAAGGTCTCTCAATTTTGGGTATAGAGCAAAGTTCATAAGTCAGACCGCTAAATCAATAGTGTCGTATAGTAAGATTTATAAAAATTTAGTTTCATAATTTTATACTAATTATTCCTAATTTCTGTTTTATAGATAAAAGCGAGCCATCTAAATGGTTGTATGATTTAAGAAATGAAAGCTATGAAGATGCTCATAGTAAACTGATGACTCTTCCTGGCGTTGGTGCTAAAGTCGCAGACTGTGTCTGTCTCATGTCTTTGGATAAACATGATGCCATTCCTGGTAAGCTCAATTTTATTGATTTTAATCTTAATTGGCGCATTCTAAGTTATGATCGTTAATTTCGTTTTTTTTTATTTCTATAGTAGATACTCATGTTTGGAAGATCGCAATCAATGATTATATGCCCCATATGAAGAAAAACAAGACAATGACAGATAAAGCTTACAAAGAAGTTGGAAATTTTTTTCGTTCTCATTTTGGACCTTATTCTGGATGGGCTCACTCAGTTTTGTTTACTGCTGATTTGAGTAAATTCAAAAAGCTCATAAAATAAAAGTCATCTCACCTATCAGAGTTTCATCTATTACTCTCATTTTCGTTATTATGTATTTAGATATTCTGAATGTTTAATGAAGAAAGTCTTTCGAACTGAGTTCAATTCTTTATGTTTCTAAACATCTTGTGTATTTTATTCATTGAGATTCATCTTACAAATCGTATGCAAGCATTGTCTGGATATTTTAAGTTTTGGAAAATCGTTTAATTTAGTTTTTAAATTTCTTGTTTTCAATTTCAATGGAACCAATTGATGGACGATTTGTATTTTTTCACATGTTGAACAAATCTTAAATAGCGAGCCAGAATCGCATCACTATAGTAACAGAGATGCTTAGTTCTAATTGGCTCAACTCATTTGCTTGTTTTTGATTTTTCTTGGTGCAATAAATCATCAAGAATCTTTATTCTAATTAGGTTCATTTAAACAAAAATTTCTCTTTTGAAATGCTGGCAATTATTTAATTATTGTGAATATTTATAACTTCATCAAAATCACGCTATGTTTTAGTATAGTACTATTGGTAAGTTGACTTCTTATCGAGTTGTTTCTCTGTGTACATAAGCCGGTTAAACTTGACAAAAATCATTATTTTGTTGCTTTTTAATTTCATCTTTGAATCATCTCTTTCTTTAGGTTGGTTTTTCTATCCCTGTTGATTTTCTTTTGCCGTTCAAACCAATAAATACATTATCTTAGCTTCTGGAAGTACTTTGAGTAACGAAACATGAAACTGGTATGCTTTGTTTATGTCTATACCTTACACTTTAATTTGACAATTTTATTCTACTTTCTTAACTCTAGATAAGCTTAAGTGACAATGTAAATAAACCATGTAATCTGGTCCAGTTTAAGGATACCTTGATGATGTTTGACTGCGGATTAGATGCCCTGTCAACATTAGGATTTATCCCATTACCTTTAGTTACTAGCAATCATTTCTCTTCTCTACCAAATTGGACCGCTAGTAACAATCAAGATACACAACTAGAATCTGTAAGACAAAATGAATTGCTAATTTTTAATCAATAACTTTCAAATTGTATTTGCTTTTAATTTCAGGAACTAAAAGAATGTGATGGCAAAGTATTTGTCGATAGTGCACCGGAGTTTTGTTGTCCTGAGGTAAAGTAGTTCTGTCCAGAATATCTTTTTTCATTTTGTCTTGCATTATATTAATTTTTTTTTCTTTCCCAGTTCTCGACTATTAACTTCAAACATGTCGATGTTATATTCGTATCTAATTATCTTTGCATGTTGGGGTTGCCTTACATAACTGAAAGAACCGATTTTGAAGGTGTTGTGTATGCTACCGAACCTACGATTCAAATAGGTCGTCAGTTTATGGAAGAAATAATATATCACATCGAGAGAACACCCAAAATAAAACTTGCATCAAAGTGGAAAGATAAATCTGTTTACCAAAATCTTCCTCTGCCGGTTAATTTATCTTCCTTACCACCTCATTTATGGAGACAAATATTTACCAGCAAAGAATTAAATAGTAGTTTCTCTAAAGTCAAAGTGATTGGCTATGGTGAGAAAATCGACATTTTTGGTGCCTTTCAGATCAGTGCTCATTCATCTGGCTATTGCATAGGGTCATGCAATTGGCTTATTGAGACAGCTCACGAAAAAATTGTTTACCTTTCAAGCACCTCAACATTAACTACACATCCAAAACCAATTGATTATGGACCGTTCAGGAAAGCTGATGTTATGATAATTACCAACCTCACTCAAACTCCAATTTGTAATCCTGACAATATGTTAGCTGAGCTTTGTTCTCGTGTTACAGCAGCCTTAGCCAGTGGAGGAAATGTTTTGATTCCCTGCTACCCATCTGGAGTAATCTATGATCTATTTGAATGTCTCATTCCTCATCTTGACAATTCTGGGTTTAGTACCACACCAGTTTACTTTGTATCACCTGTTGCAGATCAATCTCTTGCCTATTCTAATATTCTCGCTGAGTGGCTTACAACTAATAAACAAACCAGAGTGTATCTTCCAGAAGAACCTTTTGGACACTCTTATTTAGTACGATCTGGTCGTCTTAAACACTATCAAGGAATACACGTTGAAGCTTTCAGTAATGATTATAAAAGTCCTTGCGTAGTGTTCACTGGTCATCCATCACTTAGATTCGGGGATGTAGTTCATTTTATTGAATTATGGAAATCATCTCCAAATAATCTAATAGTTTTCACTGAACCAGATTTCCCTTACAAGGATGCCTTGGCGCCTTATCAGCCTGTTGCAATGAAAGCCATTCACTGTCCGATAGACACTTCACTAAATTTCTTTCAAGTGAATAAACTCATCAGGGAAGTCAAACCCAGTAACGTTGTTATTTCAGAAAAATACACTTCACCTCCTCCAATGTTTGATCTTAAAACAGATCTTATTGTCGATCCTGGTCCAGGTTCGGAACTAATTACTTATAAACGTAATGAGACGATTAGAATCAAATTGAATCGCAAATACGAAAGAGCTGCTATTGATAGCGAATTAGCCTCAAGTTTGGTTCCTGTGGAATTAAAATCTGGTGTTTCAGTGGCAACGGTTACAGGAACATTAATCGCAAAGGATAATAAATTTAAGTTGGAAACATTAACAGCAAACGAAATTAATGAAATTCGACGGAATAAACAAGGACAGGCAATCCCACCTCAATTTTATACTTATGGCACTCTTAATTTACCCATGTTCATGCAGTTACTCGGTAAAGCTGGTATTTACGATGCTACGATTGAGCAAACACCTAACGGTTGCATTGTCCACCTTGTAAGTATCACTTTGATATTGTTTTATTATTAATTTGAATTTTTTCTCATATCTTTCTTTTTTATTTTACAGAGAAGCGAAGATGCATTTGTAACAATAGACGATTCCTTGACTCACATTGTCTGTGATGCTAACGATTCACTAAGAATTTTACTTAAAGATTTAGTTTATCAATGTTTGAAAAAGATTTAACCAAATAACAGGGTGATCTTTTTTAGAATGTGTAAAATTAATAGTGTATCTATACATCTACATCTTCATCTACATTTATCTATACATATATATATTATTAATATATAATCAATTTGTTTATTTTAAAAGTTAATTTTCACGCGAACCAATAAGGTGAAATGTCCATTAAAGACGCGTTTTGAAGAAATAATGAAACATTTACCAAAAAGAAATCTTTCTCACTCTTCATTTTGATTTGTTTTGAAAATTGGCAAAAAAGAAAGAAAAATTGTTAATTATTTCAATTAAGAGACAAAATAATATCGGAAACATGTAATTTTACAGAATTTGTTTTTTATTCAATGAATTTTGCTGTGATATTCGGAGGAGCCATGATCTTTGGTTATAAATTGTAAAGTTGAACATTATAGCAATTTTCCGGATTTCAAATAAAATGGCTAAGAGTAAATTTGACGGATAGAAATGACCTCTGAAGAATTATTGCACACTGGTCAAAATAACTTAACAATCGATGAATGATAGTTTGTATAATTATGTATTATAAAGTCGTAACAAGTGTTATATTTTAAATGGCGACTAGAATTTACTATTTAATCTGTTTTAATATCACAGTCAAATAATTGAGCAAAAGAATCTAGAAACAAAGGAATTGTCTTGTCGATTGAAAAATCTTGACCAATTTCTTTGGATATAGAAGTGACTTCTTTGCCTTGAATACCGCAAGGTATAATATGATCGAACCAGGATAAATCATTATTGCAATTAAGACATGTTCCGTGAGTTGTTACATGCCGTTTGCCATGAACCCCAATGGCAGCAATTTTTCGTTCATCTTGAACCCAAACACCGGGGTATTCTGAAATTGTTGATACTTTTTGATTTTTTGGTAAAACCTTCTTAACTGTTTGTATTAAAGTTTCCTCTAAACGATGCACATAACATTTAATTGACTTGTTGTTAAAGAAACATCCTAAGTAGAGAACAGGATAAATGGTTAACTGACCGTATCCATGAAAGGTTATTAAACCTCCTCGATCTGTTGAAACAAAATCAGCTCCGAGTGACTTTAGTGAATTGATTAGCTGCATATCATAAGGAGCTCGTCTAACTCCAGTAGTATAAACAGGCTCATGTTCAACCAAGAGTAGTTTATTCTCATAGTGATTAACCTCTAATGGCAACGATGACGGTGATTCTTGGTTCAATTGTTTAATCAATTTGTCCCTGGCAAGACATTGAGCCTTATAGGCAGCAGCATAATTCAACCTTCCCAAATTAATCACTTGAACAACAGGCTTGGACATATTTCTCTTTCACCATAATTGAATTAATTCAATTTAATAAAAGATTGAGAGTATTTACTTCAAAAGAAAAAATAACAATTAATAAACAATTGAGAAACACAAACAGATTTCATAGCCGTATGAAAAAAATACAAGTACCATGTGACAATCATATGGTAATTTCACTCCACCAACACATTTCGATACATTATCAGAATGAAGGAAAAGCTGAGATTTAAACATGAAATAATTAGCAAAAAACATCATTCAATACCACTAGCAATTGAAAAAATCATTCCATGGTTAATTAAACCAATGAATAGCAATCAAGTAATGAAGCTGTAAAGCATATCTAAACTTCAAGATTCTTATTGACTGCTTTTTCCACCAGAACTTTGTTAATGATCCTGTTTAACACAGGTTCTTAATGGGAAATGATGCATTGAGGTTCTGACTTTGTGAAGACACTTGACCTCGGAGGATTACGACCCTCAGGTGACTGATCCCATCCCAATCAATTAATTTAAGTTACTCCCTTTAGCTAATTAGAGGTGTAAGATAATTGAAAAAAGATGCCACTAAAAGCTTCGATGTTGCTCAGATAACTCGTCAGGGATCGTGTTTTAGATTGAGCTAACGAGTTGATTATCAGAAAAAAAGTTGACTTACAATGAATTGTTAATCCTGACGCTACAAAAAATAAAGTAATTCTTGAAATCACGAACAAAGTGGAACAAAAATGAGAACAGTTTCGATAATTAGCTTGATTTTATCAGAAGCGAAATGAAGATTTGTTAATATTTGAATTGTATATTAGCAAAAATAGCACAATTTATCTGATAGTAATTGTTATCCAAATTAAACCGTTCAGTGAAGTACCAAAATGGTTTTAGTTTCGAGTACTTTTTTGATTTGGTTATTTTGATGCTGACTTGATCATGTGATTAGAAACTTTGTTTTGTTCCCGTTCTTCTGTTCTTAACTGCGATTTTTTCATTACTGAACAATGGAACAAAACAAAGAGCAATTGTTCCAAGTCCTGAAAACATGAACAAATATTAGGTTAAAACCTGCCTAATGAACAATTCAACTCATTTAAAATTCTCGGTCTCTTGGACATTAGTCTATTGTAATCAATGTCTGTTTTGAATAATTGTTTCATAGTAATGGGTAAACCTTGGAACAGAGTTTCAAATCCACCCTCACGTGGATTTCCTGTGTGTTCAATTTAATTGTTTTCTTTATTATTCAACATAATTAGACAGCATTATTAAACATTGGTGAAGCATGATCCTGAAAGGTATGCGATTTAAAACTTCATTACTTGCATTAGATCTAGATTATATCTTAAATGACGTTGAAACAGAAGGATAATCTTCATGGAATCGGATAAAATTTTGTTTCTAGTATTTTATGGCTTAATTATTTGATCTTCAATCTCTTATAATGGTGAAATTGAACTAATAAAATGATGTTTCCAGCCTATGATAACTTCAGAGACTTCAATGATTATATCAAATGTATTTACATATCTTTTGTACATTTCATCTTGAGATAACCAGTTATTGCAAAATTAACCTTTTAATAACATTCACGATCTATTTAGGACAAATTGAGTTCCAATAATCGATATGTCAAAATCATTTAATGAAATATTTGATCAGATGTATGTTATGTAAACAAGCAAGAATAATTTTCTGTTGAAATCATTGGATTGTCAACAAGTTAATTCATGATTACAGTAATCATTACGGACAACATTTTTAAAATGGTCAAAAATAAAAAAAGCAAATAAATGAAAAAGTGAGCTTAAAAAATAATACATTTGTTTCGATTACATGATCGGTTGATCAGTCAATTAGATTGGGTATCATTAAAAAGGTATACGAATGCACAACATATTCTGATTGTATGATATTCAGATTCAAAATTAGATTCTCACAGAAAAGATTGTCATCTTCTTGGAATAGTTGATTCTTAAATTTTTGATTGTAATGATGGCGATTTAAGATGATTAAGAAGTAAAAAACATCACAACATAATTTTTTGATGACTTTTCATTTGATCCATTCAAAAAGTCAACAGCAAGTCATCAAAGTCAAGGTACACGACGTGATACAATCAGATTTGTTTTGATCAATTTTCAGCTCAGCTCAATGTTGGTTCTTTTGATTTGTAAGAAACTGGAGCAATTTGAAATGAATCATTAATTTTCCGTTCTTTGCTATTCCGAATCCCATAGAAAAGGTAAATTGATAATCCTGTTGATAGAAATAAAAATTAAATTAACACAATTTAAATCAACGGCGTCCTCATTAACTGGCTCATTAACACTTATTAAATTCCAGAATACAAATGGATGCAAAATCAATGGATTATCATCAATGTTAACCTTAATGGTAGTTAAATTTAGACAATTAATATACTGGTTTTGAATGTGTTACAAGGAATGAGGAGAAAAATTTCCAAGAAACTAACCTATGAGCAACCAAACCGCGAAACGAATCCAGGTTATGAATGTAAGCTTCATCATGAGATAGATGTTTATGAATATTGAAATTATCGGAATAAATGGAACCCAAGGTACCTGTGAAAAGACAAAAAAAGCTCAATGTGAAACAATAAATCTTGAATTTCTGTCACCATTATTTTGAGATTAACATAAATGGTATCAGCATTATGAAGGTTAGTACATAAATTGTAAATTGTAACAGTGTCATTCGTCTTTTTGCTTTCATTCGTCCTTTTCCACCTGAGACGTTTCTTCGGGGATTTTTTTTATTTTATATTTCTTTTTTACCTGAAATGAGATGCTGGCGTTGGCCTGAGGTTGTCGGTAGAGAGCAATAACCAGGCTAATCAAGTACGCCAATGATGCACCAACTACAATCAGCGATATTTTATCTAATTGACTTAGATTCTTTTCAAGAGTGACGAGTAATAAATCCAATAGAGTTATGTTTCCACCTGAAAGTACAGAAGATGAAAAAAATTAATTATTAGGGAAATACAGATCATTTTACTCGTAAAGGAGTAACTGTTAATTTATACTAACATATGATGGTGATTAAAAATTTAGATATAAGTGATGTTTCACGATTAGGTAAGGTGATCTCTGCTGAATTGAAGACTCTCATTCTGAATTTATTGATGACTGGTAAGAAACCAGGATTGTTTGTTAATGGAGTTGGCGATTCCGGCCCAGAATCTGATTCGGGACTAATTGCTCTTTCACTATCATCACATGGTTCCTTTTCAACGTCGTATCTGTAAGGTAAGTTAAAAATATAAAAATGTTAGACTTGGTTAATGATCATTATAGAAGGTGATTAATAAATGTGACTCCTGTTATTAAACAGTAGAAATTATAATTACAAAAACAAACACGGAAGAGAAAAACAAATAAACAAAAACATGGAATGGATGAAACAATCGCAAAGCTTAAAACTAGCAAAAATGAAAAAATAGAAAGGTAAATAATCGATTGGGAAATTTACAAAAAAATTGGTTAATTGATAGGTGATTACATGTACAGTAGTTAGCTGGTTAACTCACAAATCGAATTGACTTGTTGATTGGGTTAGTGGCTCGCATTCAGAAGCAATAAGAGAATCACTTTTACTTGAGAAACGGCGGTTAAAATGTGATTTCATCGATACGATTGAAGGTTCGTATCTGCATGTTAGTTGGGTAATCAAATTTGGACATTGTTAGTTAGAAAGGCCCGATATTAATGGTGATGAGAGAGAAAAGATAATTAATTGTTAGTAGAGAGGAGGGAATTGTTTTCAGACTTGATAGTTCGTTTGGTTTTACCTGAGAATCAAAATTGAAACTGAAACTAAAGTATAAGCAAGAAGAGTTCCAATAGACATCATGTCGGCTAGTTCCCCGACATTGAAAAACACTGCCATAAGACCAGCAAATAGTCCTGTAGTGAGAGTAGCAACCAGTGGACTTTGAGTTCGAGGATGAATATGAGCAAAGAAACGGAAAATAAGTCCATCAGATGCCATTGAGTAAAGAACTCGAGGCATTGGAAACATGGCACCAAGTAGACTGGCAGAGAGTCCAGCAAGAACACCAATGGTGATGAACCATCGAGCAAATGAAAGACCAGCTATTTCAAAAGCCAAAGGCAGAGGAGCGTCATCGGTCAGCAAATAATAGGGACAAATTAATGTCTGTATTGCCGAGACACCGAAATAAGCCAAGAATGAAACTAACAATGAGAGGACAATGGCTATTGGAATCGATTTTTGAGGATTATTGGCTTCTTCTCCGGTTGTCGCAATAACGTCAAACCCAACAAAACTGAAAAAACAGGTGGACGCTCCACTCATCATTCCTGAAAAACCAAAGGGAAAGAAACCACCGGTTCCAGCGGATTTTGGAAGATTGTCTTTGCCTGGCTCAAGAGCCCAATTGTTAAAGTCAATTTTAAATGATCCACAGATGACAACAAAAGTCACAATGGAAAGGTTAATGGTGGTGAATATTCCATTGAATCTTGTTGATTCTTTCACTCCAGCAGCAAGCATAACTGATAAAAAAGAGCAAAAATCACCAATAAATGATGTAAAATGTGATTCAACAACTTACTGGATAGCCCAATTGTCAAGACAAAAGCAAACAGATCGGGATATTCCGACATATGTGGCACATCCATTGGCATCCATTTTCTAAAATGAGAGGACATTGTTTTGTTGAACAACACATCCAAATAATTACTATAACCTCGGGCAACTGTTGCAGCTCCTGAAAAATGATATAAAAATCAAAATAGAGAAATGCATGGAATCGAAAAATGTTTGCTTGTAGTATCCACATAGACGAATGAGTGAAACGATAAATAAATTGTAAACGGTCTTATGCAAATAGAACGAGAGATTGAATTGAAATGTCTTACCAATTACATACTCAAGAAGCATATTCCAACCAATGACGAATGCAATAAACTCTCCAACAGTAACATAACTGTAAATATAAGCGGAGCCAGCTTTTGGGACTCTAGCTCCAAACTCGGCGTAACAAAAACCAGCAAGTACCGAGGCAATGGCAGCAAAGAGGAATGAAAAAACAACCGCTGGACCAGCAGTATTACCTGCAACATTACCAGATATAACGTACATGCCAAGCCCTAGAGTACTTCCAATTCCTATGAAGATTAGATGAAAAAGTCAAGTTGTGTTGAAGAAACCAAAAGTTTAAAAAATAACAAAACAAAATATTGCAATAAACGTAAAGTAAACTTACCAAGAGCCGTTAAATCAAAAGTGGTCAAACATCGATTTAAAGCACTCGAAGAGGGACTAGTGTCAATTTTTTTGCGTCTCACAAGAGCTTTACCAAAAGATTTTAAATTCATTTTAGTTGAATAACAAAGCAGACGAATAAAAGATGATTCAAAAGTTAACTCTTTGTTTCTTTAGTTACTAATGTTGCTGTTGATTTTGATGGTGGTGTTACTGGTTGCAATCGTGCAACTATGGCTGAAGCTTCTGGTCGAAACGATGTAATCACTGGAAACGTTGAACAATCAAAGAAGAGCTGGAAACAACAGAATCAACAAATGGCCCTTTTGTCTCAAGGTAGGTTAGTATACAAGAAATACAAAATTGTGAAGCTCATCAGGAAAGAGAAGAGGTTTGACTGAAAAGAGAAGAAATACAAAATGAAAAAGGGAGCTTCAAAAAGATGATGATGATAATGATGATGATGATGATGGTGGTGGTGGTAAATAGAAATGTGAGTGAGATTGAGAAAGGGAGGGATGTGAAGAACGTTAATTTAACAAAAATGAGTAGTTATAATGATCATCAGAGAAAGGAGAAACATAATAACAATAATTATACTGGATAGACTCACACAGAGGTAAATAAAAAATTGGTTGAAAGAGCAACATAGGTTGACTAAATTTGATAATACACTTACGTTTAGTAAATCGAAGATGATTAAGGCTACGTTATTGTTCAAATATCACCATTACCATCATCATTGTTATCATCACCATGTATTTAATCAACATAATCACCAATATTACAAGAAACGTCTTAAAGGAGTCTTGGTGTGTCTGTTGTATTCAACACTGGCGTGTTATTAGTTAACAGATTCATTATCTTGCAAAGTTAAAGTGTATTATTCCATATTTTATAAGGTAAATTGACAGGGAAAGAGAGACACATGAATACTATAATTAAGATAGTTATTAACCAACTATTTGTACAATCAATGTAATCAACAACGAAGGTCAGTCTAAAAAAATACAATCAACTTGTTGTATCTATTTGGATTCCCTTTCTTTTACTGTTACTCAGTTTACCAGTGTTTCCCTCTTAAATATAAACACTGCTTAATTTTGAAATTACTTCAATTTGATTTTTGTAATTCATGTTTAGTTATACACGAGCGAGACAGAGGATAAACATGGAGATGATTTTGGGTGTATTTGGTGTTAAAGCTGGAAAGAGGACAACAACCGGATAGATTCATCATTGTCAACATGATCATTTTCTTACCATATGGAAGCAGTTAACACAATGAAAATCACTTATAAAACCATGGGAAACTTGAGTTGATTATTTTGGTTTGAAGTTTTATTTCAGATTATCCAATTTGATTATTTTTAGGAAAATATCTGGATTTAACTAGACAAGTTGATTGGTTTGATATCTTGACAGGACACATTTAACTAAACATTTTGACTGTTTCAATATCCACTCAAAGTCAATTCAAATGAGCATAAATTCAGATGAATAAATATACCATGTATACATCATCATATTGTTTACTTGTTAGAGTTTCTCTTCAAATTATGGCTTCAATTAAATTAATCTTTTTTTCTAGGTACAATTAGATGTAGTAATTAAAAGCATTTCGCCTGATTACAAAAAGACTCTAGGCCTTTAGGCTAAGGTAAATTTTGATTGTTTCAATGTAATTATGAACAATATGGTGTCATTTGACGATTCTTGGGCTCTCCCAGACTTTTGTCTGTTTCAGATCAAATATTAATTATAATAACAATAATGAAAGAGTTGGTTAAGAGCTAACAATTAGAAAGGTAATAATAAATGAAAAACGATTAAGAAAACTCTAGGAAATATAAAAATGATAAGCTTACATCAAAACATCAACACAGTAGATTAACCGTCCAATGTAACGAGGATAACACCATCAGACTTTAATGACTTTGAACGAACATCAACGGAATTTTGAATTTGACCAATTTTTAGGTTAATGGATATAATAAAGACAAGGAAGTCTGATTTTCTTTGTTACATGGGCTCAATATTGGCCAGGAGAAGCAAAGAGAATTGAAAACAACACAGAATTGAGTTGGAGTAAATGGAGACACATTTCTCAATGGAAAGCAAATTTTACTGGAAATCCTTTTGACAGCAAATGAGTGATGATCTTTGGTAATAATGATGGTAATTTAGCATATCTTTCATTAAGCAACAGATTGGTTTCATTGTAATGAAAAATTACATGCATTACCTCATTTCATGATTTCATCTCTCACCACAGGTAATCAATCAGGTTTGTATTCATACTCGCTGTTGTGCACTTTTCAACAAATTTTATCATGTTATAAAATCAAGCAACATTTTGACGCATTTAAAACCTGAATTAGGTGATTACAAAACAACAATATGTAAATAATTAAATTTATGAAGCGAAATGTGATACTTTGAATGATTGTTACTTTAAACATTTAGGCATAAAGTTATGGATCGAATGCATCTAAATTGGTTCTGTTTATTCAATTAAACTAGCTTTAAATACGCGAATCAATTGAATCTCAAGACATTGAACTCAAGATTCACAAAATGCTTACATTAACCGACAAAATAAGAAATGGATTCATGATTAACCGTTTTTTTGACATCACCATAGCAAATGGTTGATTAATGATGAAGTTAAAAAATGTCACAATAGATTAATTAAACACGTTATTAAAAGGATGGAAAATTGGAAGATAAACAAAATTGAAATGATTTATTAGTCGAAAAATTGTTTTGATGAGAAGGCACTCAGAGGCCCTTACAAAAGGATTTAATTTTTCGAGAAAAACATTTAAGTCAAAATGCAAAGTGAATAAAGTTAAAATTAATAAAATTCTGTGCTTACATGAAAGTAAGCAATGTTATGATATAATTATAATCATATAATTACTTAACAGGTATAAATGCAGCAAGAATTTCAGAGATGCAGCTAAAAGTGCGAGAAAATATTAACTATTTTATCATTTCCTATCAATGATATAATTTAAGAAATGAGTTCAATTTAAAATAGTCTTCAAGTAGATAAATGAGAATAAAAGAATTGAGATGGTTGAGATTAAGATTCACTGTTTAACAGCCAATCGGAATTTTGATTAGATCTTCGCAGTTTGGACCAGGTTTTTTTATTCAGGGGTAATCGAGCAGGTCGCAGCTCAAATGCAAATGAGTTTACCTGAGGTGCCTGCTTTGGCGGTTGACTATTAGGCTGCCCATTAGAGTTGCCATTTAGAGTGCCATTTAAAGCCGTACTTTTTTCCTTTACACGATTTAGTCGGTCTTTCCAATGAGCCTTCAATATTCGTTCAATTTTGTTCCTTACATTATCACAATCTTCTTTGAAATGGTTATCACAGCAATTCATCATAACGTTAGTATAATGTTTAATCAATGAGTGATTAGAACAAGAGGAAGATAATGAAGATGACGACGAGCAGCGAGTCATTGGACCAATACTGTCACGAACTCCATCCCAATCATCATCATCATCATCCATTTGTCTTATGAGTCCATCACCATTTTGGTTGCCTTTTTCTAAGGCATTATTCACAGGAATTACATCTTTAGATGTTTTCGTCTTATGATCAGATCTTTTCTTTGTTAATTTTCGCTTAATAGTAATGACATCATTACTTGCATCACTAGCATTCTTATCACCATTGATTTCCCCATTACCTTTCCCGCCATTTTCATGTTTACCATTTAACCGTTTTTGGTCATTAGAGTTGCTTGAATGGTCACTCGGGGACTTAAGATTTCTTCTCTTCCTCCTGGTTCGACCAGCATCGACATTAGTCACATCTTTCTTGTCCTGATTATCAACGCTAAGAGATGGTTCTAGATTATCCTGCGCAATTAAAAAGATATGAAGATTCACCCATGTTATAGATATCAGAATAAATTAGCAGTTTAGACTTACATTTGACAATCCATTAGTACCAGTTTTCTCTGATACTGAGCTAGCTACAAGAATAGAAGGTAAAATTATCGAAACAATTAAAAGACAATAGATCTTATAATCAAAAATTGTAATTTAATAATTACCATTATTTGGTTGTTGCTCCGTTTGACTAGCGCCATTACTGTTAGTATCAGATCTTTCCGGAGGTCTCCAGATCACTCGAACTTTCTGAATTCGCTTATTTCGATTTACAAAGAGACCTTTACCAGGCCAAAATGACATATTTACATAGAATTTGATTGACACGCAGAAATAAAAATATAATTAATCAAGATATCAAAACTCATTACAGGAGAAACACAAACTAACAAAAGAAAGGACTCGATCTAAAGATACAGTATATCTACAAGAAAGATCCGATAGTTATGAGTCCCTTCAAAACAGTTGTGAGTAACGTTGAAATACAGCAAAGATTTGATGATCTCTTCTGAATAAATAAATAAATTCTGTTCATCTATTGTTTATATTTACAATAATCTTCTGTTTTTACATTATTTGGATCTCACCTCTTTTAAGTCCGGTAAGTTCATTATCATTTCATTGCAGTGAAACTCTATTTAACCTTATCCATCTCTTGTTTTTCTTTCTTTTTGCTCAGGACAATTGTTGAAATGGCTAATATTGACATCCATAATTCGTTTCGAGAATTAAGAAATGGGAAAAAGATACCGATTAGACGGAAGGAGCCAGATTTGAAAAAAAGGAAAAAAGTTGAACAGGAAGCGCAAATTAGTGATGAAGTAGAAGAAATTAATGAAGATAGTGACAACTTAAACGAGGAACCAGAAGAAAAAGATGACTCTGAAAATGATGATGAAGAATCGGATAACAACGATTATAACAAAGGATATTACGCTGATGTCACTGATGAATTAAATAAAATGAAGAATGATCTTTCCTTTGAAAAATCGAGTGATGTACAGGTATTGTTAAAAAAAGTTTGTTAATCATTCAAATTTGCTAATCTGTTATCTTCGTTTGTTCTTTCATATTCAGGATATTCATTTGAGAAAATTAGATACCAAACCATCATCAGGCAACTGTGCAAAATATACCATTTGGATCTCTATTTTAATTGCTATTGTTGGTATTCTTGCTGTTTGTCTAAATAATGGACTGATGGCAAACCGTGATCGTGATAATCAAAGTGATAAATTAGTGTTATGGAAAAAAGCTTTTACTAATTTACTAGATAAATATGGAGACGCTCTACCTGAAATAAGCCAAAAAGTGATAAATAAAAGTGTTCAAAGTGTTTTAAAGAGACAAGTTCCTTCTGAAAAGTTCAACAATTGTGAACCTGCGGTAATTCTGTTGATCGGATCGAAGCATAACATGCAAGCGGTTAAATGTATTTTTCTAGAGTTGTCTCGTTCAGTTGCCAAAATTTTTGGGGAAAAGCAATCTCCAGTTCTTAATGCTGAAAAAATGACAAGAATCGACCTGGATAATCAATTTCACGATATTTTAGGGCATCAATCTTTGCATTCAATTGCACTGGATGGAATTGAACGGTTGAAAGGAGATGATGCTCTCTCATTACATCCTTTTACTGATCATGACAAAGCTCCTTACCTTGATGTTATCATTATTTTGACTGCATACTCTAATTCCCGTTTCACCAATTCAAGTCTGCAAATTCAACAAATTGATAGTATTGCCAATAACATCTTGGAACTTTCTTGGGGCCAAATTCTTCCGTCAGAACAAGTTGCAGGATTATTAAGCAGAATAACTCCAAGTGTTGCCATTGTATCAGATACAAACGAAAGCCAGAATTGGCATTGTGAATAGATTATTCCAAACTTTTAATCAATTTTACTTTTTCAAACACTTTTCAAAAGTGCTTCCAAATACTTAGCAATTTGTGCTTGGTTAATAACAAAACTATGTTCTAATTTTGATTAAAATTTATCGCATTTTAACTCAGAATTTTAAACTTCAAGTTTTATGAAATTGTCTCCTGACTAATTTATTTAAATCGGTTTTAGGAATTCTTCCTCAATCCTTTTCATTTAAAAATGTTATTTTACATGACAAAAACAATTATTTATCGATAAACTATCGAAAAGATATCGATAACTTTCTTCCTTGTTATCGATGTGTCTAAACCGTATTTCTTCAAAGTGGAAAGTTGAAAAACTCAGCTGATGTTTATTTTTGCCAACGATTAATTATGAAATGAAGTTGTTTTAATCGATAAAATAAATTGTTTGGAAACATCAAGAGTAACCTCTAATAGATATATCCTCAAAAGGTAAGTTGTATCCTGTTTTCAATCTCTTAGAATCTTATTTTGGTTTATTATCTTATTTTTTAGATGGCATCAAACTCTACTGATGATGCAATCAGCAATCGTGAACCTATCAACAAATTATTGTTAACTTGGCTTTTAGCATGGAAAAATGACTGTGCTCGCATCGGATCCAAAATGGAATTTGTATATCTTAGAGCAATTAAATCGTTACAAAGTCACAAGGAAAATTTATATTCTGGCGCGGATTGTAATGCGTTGAAATATTTTGGAGATAAGATTTGCGCGCGTATTGACAAAAAGATTGCTGAACATTTCAATCTACCCTCTGAAACTGGCCAATCAACTAATAATGTACCATCTTCCCAAGATTTACCCATGAGCCAGCTGGAAATAGATGAACCAGGTCCATCATCTCAGTCGAGTCAAATTTCATCTCAGCTGTCTCAAAGTTCACCAACAAAGAAAAAAACAACAAAAAAGAAGACAGACAGAAAATATGTCCCAAGATATAGATCGGGAGGATATGCTATCCTTATGGCCCTGTATAGAGCTGAGTTAGAGCACGATCTTGACATGTTACCAAAAAATGAGATTCTCCAGAGAGCTCAGCCTTATTCCGACGAACCGATGATCAATCCCAATGGAATTGGATACTCTTCATGGTCATCAATGAATACTCTTATCAAACATGGATATGTCGAAGTTAAAAAACATCGCTATTCGACTTATCGCTTAACTGACGCAGGTCGTGAAATCGCTGGTAGATTGGTTTCCACTGAAGAAGAGCTGAATGAAGATTTTGTTCCCATTAATGGCCGTATTGTTCTAGAACCAGGAACCTTTGACATATATCTTATCATCGATTCAAGAGAGCAATATTCTGGAGGTGGATCTGATATGAGAAAAACTGGAATTATTACTGAATTTATGAATCGTGAGATCAAATGCCAAATGGCCAAACTTCCAGTTGGTGATTTTGCTTGGGTAGCAAGAGAACGGCTTGACAATGATTTACGATTAGCTACTCAACCTTATAGAAAAGAATTGTTATTGGACTACGTTATTGAAAGAAAACGTTATGATGATTTAGCGTCAAGTATCAAAACAGGACGATTAGGTGAACAAAAATATCGTCTACTTCACTGTGGGGTTAGACGGCCTATGTATCTGATAGAAGATTTTGGTTATCATCGTCGAAATGAAAGTTTATATCAGGCAATGTACCAAACAATTATGGACACAATGGTTATTGATGAATGCCTAGTCAAACAAACTCGAAGTTATTCAGAGACAATCGATTATCTAGCCATGATGACTAAATATTTGACTTCCATGTATTCTTGTAGAAAGCTTTATTCTTGCTCCAAAGACGAAATGATTTCAGGAAATATGAGTGCCAACCATTTTATGACTCTAAATGAATTTAATCTCTGTGCCGAGAAAATAACCAACTTTACCAGCCAAGAAATGTTTATCAAGCATTTACTTAAATTCAAAGGACTCTCAGTGCCAAAGGCTAAAGCCATTGTGAATTATTATCCAACAGTTACAGCTCTATTAGAAGCATACGAGTTATGTGAGACCGAAAAAGAGAAAGAATTTCTATTATCGGAAATCACTTATGGCAACTTCGAGAGAAAACTTGGACCCAACCTTAGTCGAAAAATTTATCGTTTTTACAATATAAAGTTAACTAATTCATCTGATTCTTCAAATCTATCACAGGATACCGTATAAATCAGCTTCCATCATCAACAACCAATCTATTAAAGAGTTTATCACAATTTTATTTTTTTCCCTTTCAATTGTAAATAATCATTTCTTGTTTACTGATTTCAAATTAAACAAATTGTTCAATTTTGACGGGAATACGTTTTCTTTTGATTAAATTGAGATTTATTTTGCTCACCACATCCATCACTTCCCCACTCCATTTCAGATAAGGTCAACTTTATCTTCTCGGTCATTAAGAGTTGCATTCAAAAAATGGACGATTTGGATACGAGTGGCTGAACAAAGTCCCTTTAATAAGTGGTGGATATGACGGAATAAAATCAACCCCGTTAATTTCATTAAAGTCTTTACTGATATTGATACAGTTATGAATTACAATTCTCTGTTTTAATCTTGTTACATAATTAATCTATGATGATTATTCTGTATATTTACCCAGATAGTCTGATTTATTATTTTATATTGATCAGATCAGTCTGATCTCGTGATGACATTGAAAAATTGGGGTGTTTCATGAATGATATTACAAAAACTAAAGGTGCTTGTAACTTTCAAGTGTAAATTGAACATTTAAGTTCACCATTCAGTGTTTAAATGAGATCGCAAGGGTTTAATTTGTGTTCATTCAGATGTCATCAAACGTTGAATTACTTTTTCTCTAGTTTAATTCAGCACCAGTTCTAGTCATATTTTTTCATGTGAGTTAATCATAAGTTGAACCTTTAGCAACTATCATATCTTCGATATCAGCATAAATAATTAATTTTGATATAATAAATAATTTTCTTTTCATCTTGTGCTGAATATTATATTTCCATGTCTTGTTGATCTGAAAGCAAAGAGTTGGGCCCAAGCTAACAATAAAACATCCAAATAAAAGTTGTGATCAAAACAAAACAATCAAATTTAAGAAGCCAATAGTTTGATTCAAGACAAGTGCAAAACTTATATTCAAAATGGATAGTATTTCGTTTTACAAATATCTAAATTTGATGAAATTTGATTTTTGTTTACTCATCTTTGCCATTTCAACCATGTTACAAAATGTTGTTACAACTCAGTTAATGGAGGATAAATTGTGCCTAAACCAATTAAAGTTGGGCGATTCCTTTTGTTCAACCTTTGCATCGCACCCAAACACAACTGAAACCCAAAAGATCCTTCAAGGAGCCAATTCCTTTAAAAACTGGCAATTCGTCATAGTAAATGCGCCCGCTTTACTGTTTTCAATTTTCATTGGCTATTGGCTCGGAAATTATCCTCGTTATTTTAAACTAATGTTGACAGCACCTATGATCGGATCACTTTGTTTGCTGTCAGGCTTGTTGGTTAACACATTTATCTTTGAAGCTCGTGAGTACATTCAATATTGAGATTGAATTACAAATTAAACTTGTCTCCAGTTTCACGAAATAACATTTTCCTTTTTCATCTTCAGATTGGTGGTTTATGCTCTTGGCCCATATACCATACGCTTTAAGTGGCGGAGTATTTTTGATTTTCAGTGCTGTCTATTCGTCCATTCCATGGGGAACCCCAATTCATTTAGTTATTGTTCGCTTTGCTGTGATTGAGTTTTTCGTTAAAATATGTGAGTAAACAATTAACACATAATACATAATAATTTACATTTGATTTGTAATATTAGCAATGATGAGTTCCAGCTATGCGAGTGGTAAGCTTCTCGATATGAATCCATGGTTCCATGGTCAACGTAAAAACTATGCTGGAGTTTTCATTGTTTCATTGGTACTAAACTTTTTGGCTCTGTTGCTTGCACTTTTGATGAAGACCAGTTTTCCCATACCAAAGGAACCAGAAAAGGATAGCAAGAATTTGTTCCAAGTTGTTAATGATGTTTTCCGTTTATCTCGAGTTAACGAATTAGCAGCCATATTTGTTAAAAAAAGGCCAAACCATAAAAGATCCCAATTGGCACTTTTGATTTCTTCAGTGGCTATTTGTACTGCTGCACTCAACAATGAAGACAGCATTGCCTATCAATTTGCTCAGCGTGTTTATGGGTTAACAGAGGAAGCATACACTTCAATGTTGACTCTGGTTTACATACCACCAACCATTGTCACTTCACTTGGACCTGCAATCTTGAAATCCTTTTTTGGTCTTTACGATTCGTCTATAGCCATAATTGGATCTACATCATTGGCGTTGTTTTTTGTCATTAGAGGAGTATTTTTATCGATAAAAGGTTACATTACTGGATATGTTGTTGGTTCCTTTGCTCGAGTATCAAGTGTAGCTCTTCGTAGTGTAATAGTGGCAACAGTTGAACCAGCGGAATGTGCTCAAATCTTTACTCTGACCACAGCTTTAGAAACCTTTGTTGGCTTAGGAGCGACTTTTTTGTACACTTCAGTGTTTAGCTTTACCATTGACAAACAGCCTGGAATTATTATGATTTTAATTGGATGCATATCGTCATATCCATTGTTTGTCAGCTGTTGGGTTAGAGTAGTCCAGTACAAATTTAGAAGGATGAAAAAAGGTTCAATTGACAATGAAAAGAATCGATTGATTTTTTTGAATGAAACGTCCAATGAAGGATGAATTTAGAGTTTCTTATGGAACAACGAATCTGAAAGTTTGATCTTTCTGAAACCCTTTTAAACAATGAATTTGTTATTTTGATCATTTTGCTTCTTGTTCGGTGATACAACATGTAAAGGTTATAGCATCCATACACTGTTAAATCTATGTACATAAATAAAATATTTAAATCTGAACCCAACTCTTAAAGATATTTTATGCTACAATGTTTAAGTCACTGAAAACTTTTCTCAGTCAATGCAAAACTATTCCAACTTGAGCGAAAATTTCTTAATTTTTTATTTGTAATTGGCAAAAGAATATGAATGATTGAGAAATAAATGAATTTTTTTCGAAATTAATATAGATGCTCTATTGTTTAAGATAAATGGAACTGGTTAAGAATAAACTAAATCTTAAGCTTGATAATTATCGTTAGGGAATCACGACCAACAATTCAAACAAATCCAGTTATCTACCTTGGATCATCCGGTGAGATCTGTAAAAATTAAAATGTGGAATTAAGTGTTTTGAATCAATTTTGTTACGATTGAATAACAATAAGTTAATTCACTCATAACTTATCATGCTTTTTTCGAGTAATTTAGACCCATTAAAGCTGCGAAGCATTGCTTGCTATTAACTATGAAAAGGTTTTGCTGAGAAACGCCAACAGTTAAATTCACTTTTTCCATTTCTATTACATTTCTATTTCTAATACATTGAATACAATTCTTAAAATGGATTAGAAAACAAAATGATATTATTTAAAGTCCAGGTCGGGATGACAATTGAATAGACTACGTAAGTTACTGTTTTGTAAATTGTTATTATACATGTTATTATATTTATCTACACAATATATAAAGTCAATGTATCAAATTTTTGTGTCAAGATTGTGGCCAAACTGCGCGGGTTCTAAGAAAAAAAATTACATAGCATGAAAGCCCGAATTCAACTACATCCACGAAAAATAGGAAACCTCACTTCAGAATTCAGATCTCTGAGAAATTCATAAAAATACAGGCTGGGGGAAAAACTGTAGAATCCGTATTCAATAACATTGAGTGAGGGGGAAAAACTTTCTTGTTGTTCAGGTTTATGGTTCATTGTTAGACCAGGATTTTATGTAAAACTTTTGTTTTTTAAGTAAAGAGTAAAGAGGTGACCGGCTTTTTTCCTCCACCTTTTTTGCCGTATTGTCCACCACCAAATCTAACACATCCGCCAGATCAACCAACTCATCCACTATTAAACACCATCATATCTTAAAAATTTGGTGGATTTGGGTGGTGGATAAGCTTATAGAAAAATTGTTTGAAAAGTGGTGGCAAAAGCCAAAGCGGCGAATGAAAGTTGGACAATTTGGTGGACAAAAAGTGATGTTTGATTTGGTTTATCTGGCGGATGTGTTAGATTTGGTGGTGGAAAATACCGTGAAAAGAAGCTTAGCATGGTTAGCATGGGTGGTTAAAAGAAACTTGCGATCAGCCATGATCGCAGCAGTTTCTTGTATCAGTAATATCAATGTTAAAACATTTATTGCTAATTTTCATAAGTTATTTATTCTCATTTAATCACTAGACCATTGAAAATGCATTTTTCATTGTTATCAATCATTACACATTTGTATATTTAGCGATACATTCTGTTATATTGTTTTGTTTTTCAATAGCAATTCTGGTATAATTTCACAGTAAATTTAATGATTAAAAAATAGTATGAAACAAAACAATATATAATAACAGAATATAAATTGAAAACAAATTTTGTAAAAGTTCCAGAAATTTTTGTATCCTTATCACCGAAGTCAAGAAGTTAAAATGATCGCTAAATATACAAATTTTTAATGATATATAATAATGAAAAATTAATTTTCAACAGTCTAGTGATTAAATGAAAATAAACATCTTTTTTGCAGATTTTCTAGAGATCTGTTGAATTATAAATTGTCATTTGAAAAGTAAAACGATTCTCATTTCATTTCACACTTTATTTGTAATTTTGTCTTCTCGTCAAATCCAGAGAATTGTAGTTAAAATGCAAAAATTCAATTTAACTGTCCAACAATCCAAGATATCCACGAGTCAAGATGATCGGTAAATCTTAAAAATGAAATTCTAATGATTAATAACAATGATGAATATATTTTAATATATTTTCAATGGTCTAGTGATTGAATGAGGATAAACACTTTTAGGATAAAATGTTATTTGCGAAGTATTAAAATAAGTAATAAAACGACCCTTATTTCACTTTTCACACTGAATTTATTCTTAGTTTTGTTTTGTCGAATTGTGAGAATTGTATTTAAAATGCAAAAATTCAATGCAACTGTTGGTGCTTTTTCAGTGAGTAATGAAACTGTTTGGGTGCATCTTTCGTTTAATAACATAATAATTGATATTGAAGGTACCATTTGTTGAACAATTTGCTGAAAAAGACGGTCAAATAATTCCTAGATTGGCGTCTCTTAAACGATTTCAAGTGATTCTTTCTAATTCTGGTCAGTTCAAGTAAGAAATTTGGATTTATTAATAAAAGTACGAACTATTCAGATGGATTAATAAATTGTCCTCTTAGTCTGAAATTCATTTTACCCGAGGAAGGACAATTGGGAGTGCTAACAGAAACTGGTTATCATGATGGAGTTTTGGGTTTATTACAAGAAGGGGTAAGTAATGTAAATGTATAACTAATTAATAACTGTAATTATACTAACCATATGTTAATTAAAATTATGACACCAATAACTTGACCAAGCAAATGAAAAAATAGCTAAATGCAATTTTTTGATTAAATATTGATTTTTAGTTATAATATACATTTTGTATGGTGTAACATGGTCATTTTAATTATGATTCATGGTTCATAAAAATTAACTTAAATTATACAGAAGCAAATTGTAAATTTTATTTTATTGGGTAGATCAGAAACCTGGAAAAATACGAAAATTGCTTTTGAAAAAATCTAACTCATACTTTCATAATAATCTTTTTACTTTGCAATTATAATAGAAAGCTGATTTCTGCTTCTTGCCATTACCTTTGGATACCCAAAAGGCTCCTGGTCATTTCACTTCTGTCATATCAGAAGAAGACTTCTATATATTTAGCACACGAAACTTGAATCTTGACAGTTCAGCAGTTGTTTCAAGTCTAACATCAGTCACCGCGGTTCCTTTATTATTGGCTGCTCTGGCCATATTAATAATGCAATTGATTGCTGTCAAAAGTTGCAAAATTGATGCATTATCGACAGCAATTTTTCGATCATTCGACCAGAATTCATCTCACCCTTCATCATGGCGTTGCTTGATTCAAATGCTAATCTTAATGTTTCCTGTGTTCATCTTCAATTCTGCATTCAGTACTCAAACTCTTGTGGGCAGTGCAGATTACAAAATTGATACATTAAAGGATGTTATCAATCGGGGAAAGATACCATGTTTCTTTGAAGGCATTTCAATGCACGATTTCTTTAAAGCCAAAGTGACCAAAGAATATGATGACATTTATGAACGTAGCGTTTCTGAAGGATTCGGGGAAACCTTTCCATTGGGACCTATCCCAGTGTTGGAAAAGAGCGAATCGATGGTTACTTTCTTATCGAGTGTTGGCAGAAAACTAGCTCCATTGGTGAGTTCAGTATCTGGTTATGGCAAAGTCAATCAAGAACATTACTTCTCAGCAAAGCCTTTTCATAAATCTTTGCGAGCTATACTTTACAGCCATAATATATCTAAGCCCATCAGAAAAAGTGCTGATAAACTGTGAGTGAATTTACTTTATTTTTCTTCAATAATTCTTTATTTAATTCCAAATATGCAACTTTGTTCATGCAGGGCTGGTCGGGCAATACAAAGTGGAATCGTCCCAAAACTAGAAGGAGATATTTATATTGAGTTTGTACTTTCTTGCTATCCAACTACCTTATTCGAGTTTCACAAATCGGAATTTCCTCGTAAAATAAATGACTTCAGTTGGAAACCATTAAGTTTTCGTGGATTCTATAAGATATTCTAGATTTATTTCTTAATATTGATACTGATAACACTTGTTGCACTCATTGAAATCACCATTGGTTTTATGTACTCATAAAATGAAATAAAAACTCCTTGTGATGTAAATTTTCTCGATAAATGCGAACATCGGAGCTGACAAAATTGAGTTGTTTAATGATTTAAACATTGATTTGAATTGTGTTGTGATTAATTAATGTTAATCGTTCTAAAATTTTTAGATCAAGTGACTGAAGTTCGTTACAGGCCTCAAGGTACCACGAATCACATTGTCACGTATCTGATTACTAAATGACGAAATCTTTTGATAAACTGGTCAATGGGACCTTGTATGTCGATTTGGTTGATGAACCATTCGCGTGATTGAAAATTTTTACTTATACTTTTTACTTAATTGCCATATTGTTCCTTATTTCAAACACAGGGATAGGCCGTAATGAGAAGGGTTCCTCTAACGATGAATACTGGAAACAATAGAATAAGCATTTGTATTAATCAAATCAAATAAAATTATCAATAAAAACTGGGTTCAATCGTGTAATGTTTGATAAAGAACTGGCCACTTTTCCTTGTTGGATAAAAATTTTCAATAAATGATCATGTTAATAATTCTTGACAATAATGATCAAATTAATTTATTATTGATAATTTATGCTCAGTACAACTCAAACCCCTTGAAAATGATATTTACTAATAGCAATCAATAGAATGCAATTTTCATTTATTAGACAATAGAAAGTATAATACTTGGATAATTCAGAGTAGCTTCAGTTCAGACAAAATATTTTATTGATAATGATACAAATGAGGAACCATATGAAATTATTTCCAGATGTTTCAGTCAATGGTTTGCTCTTATCAAAGTTCATCATTACCATTACCTGAACCGATTTTAATCTAAAGTGCATTCACTTTAAGCAATCGTCTATTCGATAGAGTGAATCAGATATTAGAACCGGTACTTATTCTCCACCGAATGATATTGAAATGTCAAAATCCAAGTTACGGTTTACTAGTTATCAACGCAATGCTAAGCGCACTTAGCAGAACAGTAAATATCAACAGGAGTATGAATAAAGAATAATTGAAAGGATTTACTGTAATTTAATGATTCTCAATTGAGATCTTCTTCTCGAAGAACTTCACTTTTGTAAAATTCATATAAGGTTGTTGATAAAAAGTCAGTAGAAGGTCAATGTGAATATCGCCTCCAATTTTGTGAAAATGCCACTTTTGAACAATCGACGAAATCTATGAGGATTGAGGAATTGAAAGTAAAACAGTGAGAAGTCAATTTTAGAGTAACTTATAACAAATGTCTGATATATTCTGTCTGATAACGTCTTTCAATGTATCGGTTCTATTATTCTGTCTCTAACAATGAACATTGAGTACTGAATGCAGCATGGCAGATGATTACTGGAAACATTAGGATGAGCATTTATATAAAGCAGAGCCATGATGAACAACTAGTATAATGCTGTTGCAACTAAACACCAAAAGATTCGTAGATAGCTGCAAACAATTCAACTTCGAAGTGTTAACAGCAATTAACTCCAAGGACTATTAGGACGGAAAGAACGGACAATAACAGGCTGATTGATCCTAGACTTGAAACAACTATCAGGATTCGAAATACGCGTACCAACTATGTAGAACTTTTCTTCTCATATAATTGAAGTAAAATAACCAGGAGTCTTTTGAGTATCCAACAACAATAGCAAAAAGTCCATAATAGCCTGTAATAAACCAAAACTCCATCGGTAACCAATTTAGTAAAGTCTATTAGTAAACCCAATGGTCTTTGCTCGAGTTGAACGAATTTCAAACTAAAAAACACAAATCACAATCAATCGACAGCTAAATTGTAAGTAGAGATGCAGTTGAAAGGACCATAATCCGAGAGAATGGCTGCAAATCGTTTAAGAGACTTCAAATGAGGAACAACTCGATCATCGCCTTCAAAAAATCCTTCAGCAAAGGCACCTTCAATAACATTAAGATAAAGATGCAACCGAGAGTTCAATTGCTTACCGAAAAAGCACCAACAGTTAAATTGACTTTTGCATTTCGAATGCAATTCTTGCAATAGTACACAACTTTCTTTTCCAATTCTGAAGCACCTAAGAAATAAAGTTACTGTTTTGTTATTTTCTAACATATTTTATTATTCGTGGTCTCTGCTACATTTCTTGGCAATTTCTTGTAACTTAATTCATGATACTAGACTAAACTATGGAAAATCTATTTTTTTAATATGTATCAATAAAACTTAATTTTATTCTGCTATTGATCATTTTGACTCCACATTTATATCACAATAGCCTCTCATCGCGCAAATGCCTACCAACGCCTTCTAATGCCTTCGAATTTTTCAAATGCTTCTAAATTTGCCCTAAACATTGTTTGAGGAGTTACTAGACTAATTTGCCTGTATTAATTGGTTCCGAACACAAGTCCTGTAAATTATCTGCATATACTTTGAAACTCAGGGGATTATAAAATATTTTAATAGAAAGAAATTCATGAACTCAATGAGAATTACAAGACTTGAAAGCTAACGCTTGGAAAAGTGTATTCAGAACTTCAGCATTTTAGCTGACTGAAACACAAGTGATTTATAGAAAAATCTAATAAACTAATCAAGCTATTTTGCTGAAATTTGACTTGAATAGAGATAACACCATTATAATCATTTCTTGAAAATTTCAAATCCCTTGAACAAACAATTTCGGAGAAAAAAGATTAACTAACTTGTACCAAACTTTTTCCGAGCAGTTAATGTTAGGTAAATGTCTTAATCTTGAAACGATTCTTCATCTATTGTATTGCAAATGGTGAATAACGCAATGCTGAGCTCGATTAGTTGAACAGTTAATATCAGAATCACTAAAAGAGCATAAATAACGAATAATTGATAGAATCCACTGCAATTCAATGGTTTCCAACTGAGATCAACCACTTTTCGAGAAACTTCAGACTTGTGAAATTCATAAAAGGTTGTTGGATAAAAAGACAATAGAAAGTCAACGTAAATGTCGGTTTTTAGTTTTGGTAAAATTCCAATCTGAATAATCCGACGAGACCTGTTACATGTACCTGTAAGATGGAGGAATCGCAAGTTAAACATTGGCTAGTAAAGTTTAGATGAATTTAAAACAAAAAGTATAATTGATTTACTCACAAAGTATCAGACCTTCTTCTAATGGACTCGGAGGCATTATTATATAACTGAAAAACAAAGCCTTTAATGAATTATGAAAAGGTTTTGCTGAGAAATATTGTTTTTGATTAGCTTTAAGTACATGGGATACATCAGCTGACAACGAAGCAATTTCCTACCAATACCAGAAACGTAAGTGACCATCTTGTCTTATCTATATTTATCGGCATACGGTCCTAATGCATTGGTTCCTCAAATTCTTTGGCAACGGCCAGTTCATAAATATCAGAATAATCTTTATTGACTTTGCGTTTCAAAAGTCATACATTGAAATGCCTTCAAAGAAACATGGTATCTTTCCCTGTTCAATAACATATTGTAATTTATCAACTTTGTAATTCTTACAATCGTTTGTAAGCTGAATGCAAAATTGAAGATGGATACTGAAAACATTAAGATTATTAGATTATTTGAATGAAGCCATGATGAATGGTGCGATGAAATGAGTGACTTGCATTGCTAAATTTTACATCGCTTTTTACATCGACTGCACTTACACCTTCCTGCATTAAAACCAAAACTCCATCGTGATAACCCATATCAATAGAATGAACTTCAGACTAAGAAGATAATCAATCGAAAACTAAATTGCAAGTAGAGACAAAACTTCTTACTTGAAAGGACCATGATCCGAGATGGCTGCAAATCGTTTAAGAGACTTCAATTTAGGAACAATTTGATTATTTTCTTCGGCAAATCCTTCAGCAAATGGTGCCTTCAATATCAAAGATGTAACTAGAGAGTTTAATTGCTAACCAAAAGAACACCAATAGTTAAATTCACTTTTTCCATTTCTATATTGCATACAATTCTTGAAATTGGATTAGAAAACAAAATGATATTAATTAAAAGTCCAGGTCTGGATGATATAGACTACGCACGTTACTGTTGTTTAAATTGTTATTATATTTTATTATATATCAGTAATATCAATGTTGAAACATTTCTTGCTAATTTTCAAAAGTTTTTTATTTTCATTTAATCACTAGACCATTGAAAATGTACTTACGCATTTTGACTTCTTGACTTTGGGGATGAGGATACAGCAATTACTGGAACAATTACGAAATCTGTTTTCAATTGATATTCTGTAATATTGTTTTGTTTCATACTAGCAATTCTGGTATAATTTCACAGTAAATTTAATGATTAAAAAATAGTATGAAACAAAACAATATCGATTTCGTAATTGCTCCAGTAATTTTTGTATCACCGAAGTCAAGAAGTCAAAACGATCGGTAAATATACAAATGTTTAATGGTTAATAACAATGAAAAATATATTTTCAACGGTCTAGTGATTAAATGAAAATAAACATCTTTTTTGCAGATTTTCTAGAGATCTGTTGAATTATAAATTGTCATTTGAAAAGTAAAACGATTCTCATTTCATTTTCAGAATTTATTTGTAATTTTGTCTTCTCGTCGAATCCAGAAAATTGTTGTTGAAATGCAAAAGTTCAATTTAACTGTTGGTGCTTTTTCGGTGAGTAATGAAACTGTTTGGGTGCATCTTTCGTCTAATAACATAATAATTGATATTGAAGGTACCATTTGTTGAGCTATTTTCTGAAAAAGATGGTCAAATAATTCCTAGGTTGGCGTCTCTTAAACGTTTTCAATGGATCCTTTCTAATTCTGGTCAGTTCAAGTAAGAAATTTGGATTTTAATAATAAAAGTGCGAACTATTCAGATGGATTAATAAGTTGTCTTCTTAGTCTGAAATTCATTTTACCCGAGGAAGGACAATTGGGAGTGCTAACAGAAACTGGTTATCATGATGGAGTTTTGGGTTTATTACAAGAAGGGGTAAGCTATGTAACTCTACTAACCATATGCTAATTAAAATTACGACACCAATAACTTGACCAAGTAAATGAAAAAATAGCTAAATGCAATTTTTTGATTAAATATTGATTTTTAGTTATAATATACATTTTGTATGGTGTAACATGATCATTTTGATCATGATTCATGATTCATAAAAATTAACTTAAATTATATACAGAAGCAAATTGTAAATTTTATTTTATTGGGTAGATCAGAAACCTGGAAAAATACGAAAATTGCTTAATGACCGCTCAATGGTTTATGTCTGGTATTTTCGGCCAGTGCTGCGCAACTAGTACAATACGAATTAAGGCTTTTTGTTGCATTTTTACTTTGCAATTATAATAGAAAGCTGATTTCTGCTTCTTGGCATTACCTTTGGATACCCAAAAGGCTCCAGGTTATTTCACTTCAGTTATATCAGAAGAAGACTTCTATATATTTAGCACACGAAACTTGAATCTTGAGACTTCAGCGGTTGTTTCAAGTCTAACATCAGTCACAGTGACTCCTTTATTATTGGCTATTCTGGCCATATTGATATTGGAACTGATTGCTGTCAAAAGTTTCAAAATTGATGCATTGCTAACAGCCATCTTTAGATCCTTCGGTATCTCATTTTACCAAGAATTACCTAACACTTCATCCTGGCTCTGCTTGATTCAAATGCTTATCCTAATGTTTCCCGTGTTCATCTTCAATTCTGCATTCAGTACTCAAACTCTTGTGGGCAGTGCAGATTACAAAATTGATACATTAAAGGATGTTATCAATCGGGGAAAGATAGCATGTTTCTTTGAAGGCATTTCAATGCATGATTTCTTCAAAGCCAAAGTGACCAAAGAATATGATGATATTTATGAACGTAGCGTTTCTGAAGGATTTGGTGAAGCCATTCAATTAGGACCTATTCCTGTGTTTGAAAAGGGCGAATTGATGGTTACTTTTCTATCAAATGTCGGCAGAAAACTGGCCCCATTGCTGAGTTCAGTATCTGGTTTTGCCAAAGCCAATCAAGAACATCACTTCTCAGCAAAGCCTTTCCATAAATCTTTGCGAGCTATACCTTACAGCCATAATATATCTAAGCCCATCAGAAAAAGTGCTGATAAACTGTGAGTGAATATACTTATTTTTTATTCAATAATTCTTTATTTAATTCCAAACATCCATTTCTGTTTATGCAGGGCTCGTCGAGTTATCCAAAGTGGAATCGTCCCAAAACTAGAAGGAGATATTTACATCGAGTTCATACTTTCTTTTTATCCAACTACCTTATTCGAGTTTCACAAATCTGAAGTTCCTCGAAAAATAAATGACTTCAGTTGGAAACCATTAAGTTTTAGCGGATTCTAGTATTCTAGGATTTAGTTTTATCTTTCTCCTTATGATGTAAATTTTCTCGATAAATGCGGCCAATCAAATATCGGTAACAATTTGATATCTAAACTTTATCCTCGCCGATATCCCTTATTTTTGGCAAATGAAAACAAAACTTTTGAAGTTTGGTAACTGGAAATGAGTAAAGTATTTCTGATGCGAACAATGTCGCTAGGAACTGACAAAATTGAATTGTTTAATGATTTAAATATTGATTTGAATTGTGTTGTGATGAATTAATGTTAATCGTTCTAAAAATTTTTTAGATCAAGTGATTGGAGTGCGCTACAGGCCTCAAGGTACCACGAATCACATTGCCACGTATCTGATTCATAAATGACGAAATCTTTTGATAAACTAATCAATGGGACCTTTTATGTCGATTTGGTTGATGAACCATTCGATTGAAATGATTCGATTCCATGATTGAAAAATTTTACTTTCTTACCACACTAGAGACGAAGCTGAACATATTGTCCCTTATTTCAAACACAAGAATAGGCCGTAATGAGAAGGATTCCTCTAACAATGAATACTGGAAACATTAGAATAAGCATTTGTATTAATCAAATCAAACAAAATCATCAATAATAACTGGGTTCAATCGTGAAATGTTTGATAAGAAAAGAACTGTCCACTTTTCCTTGTTGGATAAAAATTTTCAATAAATGACCATGTTAATAATTCTTGACAATAATGATCAAATTATTTTATTATTGATAATTTATGCTCAGTACAACTCAAACCCTTTGAAAACCATATTTACTAATAGCAATCAATAGAATGCAATTTTCATTTATTAGACAATAGAAAGTATAATACTTGGATAATTTAGAGTGGCTTGTTAGTTAACTCAAAAGTTAAGTAAAGTAAGAGAAATATTGCTCATGGTAAGGTTCCATGAAATCAGCTTTTGCCAGTTTTCTTCTCATACTAGACACGAATGTGAACATCTCATTCCTTCTTTAAAACACAGGAATAGGTTCTAATGGTATTGGTTCATTAATTCTTATTGCAACTGCTCGCTCAAAGACATCAGTATAATCTTTGTAACATAAACATGGACATACCGCAGTGCATTTTGGTATATTATTCTGACTGATAACGTCTTTCAATGTATCGGTTCTATTATTCTGTCTCTTACAATAGTTTGGGTACTGAATGCAGCATTGCAGATGATTACTGAAAACATCAGGATAAGCATTTGAATCAAGCAGAGCCATAATGAACGACTAGTAAAATGTTGTTGATACACCAAAAGATTTGTAGATAGCTGCAAACAATTCAATTTTGAAATGTTTAACAGCAATTAACTCCGATATTAGGATGGAAAGAACGGCCATTAATAAATTAAACTCGCTGATTGATCCTAGACTTGAAACAACTACTGAAGTACCAGGATTCAAAATACGCATACCCGTACTTTTCTTCAACGGCATTGGCAAGAAGCTCACAACAACCTGTAATAAACCCAATCGGTAACCAGTTTTTATTAATAAACCCAACTGTTCTTGCTCTGGGTGAACGAATTTAAAACTAAAAAACACAAATCACAATCAATTGACAGCTAAATTGTAAGTAGAGATGCAGTTGAAAGGATCATGGTCCGAGAGAATCGCTGCAAATCGTTTAAGAGACTTCAACTCGATCAGTGCCTTCAAAAAATCCTTCAGCAAAGGCACCTTCAATAACATTAAGTTAAAGATGCAACCAAGAGTTCAATTGCTTACCGAAAAAGCACCAACAGTTAAATTGCATCCCGAGTGCAATTCTTACAATAGTACCCAATTTTTTTTTCAATTCTGAAGCACAAAAGAAAAAAAAATTTACTGTTTTGTTATTTTTTAACATATTTTATATTGTTATTGTTATACATTTCTTGTAACTTATACTAGACGAGACCATGGAAAATCTATTTTTATTAATAGGTATCAATAAAACTAGATTGTATTTTGCTATTGATCATTTTGACTCCACATTTATATCACAATAGCATCTCATCGCGCAAATGCCTACTAATTTTAGGTAAATGTCTTAATCTTGAAACGATTCTTCATCTATTGTATTGCAAATAGTAAATAACGCAATGCTGAGCTCAATTAGTTGAACAGTTAATATCAGAATCACTAAAAGAGCATAAATAACGAATAATTGATAGAATCCACTGCAATTCAATGGTTTCCAACTGAGATCAACCACTTTTCGAGAAACTTCAGACTTGTGAAATTCATATAAGGTTGTTGGATAAAAAGACAATAGAAAGTCAACGTAAATGTCGGTTTCTAGCTTTGGTAAAACTCCAATTTGAATTATCCGACGAGACCTGTGAAGATGGAGGAATCGCAAGTTAAACATTGGCTAGTAAAGTTTAGATGAATTTAAAACAAAAAGTATAATTAATTTACTCACAACTTATCAGACCTTCTTCTAATGGACTCGGAGGCATTATAACTGAAAAACAAAGCCTTTAATGAACTGTGAAAAGGTTTTGCTGAGAAATACGTCATTTGATTGGGTTTAATAAGATCGGATTTTGAAAGAAACAATGGAATCAGTTTTCTTCCGATACTAGAGACGAAGCTTACTATCTTTTCCCAGCTTTCAAACTCAGGAATAGGTCCTAATGGCATTGGTTCCCCGTATCCTTTTGAAACAGCCCGTTGATAAACATCAGCATAATCTTTGTTGACTTTGCCTTTGAAAAGATCGTACACTGAAATGCCTTCCGTAAAATACGGTATCTTATTCTGTCTGACCACGTCTTTCAATGTATCGATTTTGTAATCTCTGTCTCCAACAATAGTTTGGGTACTGAATGCAGCATTGAAGATGAACACAGGAAACATCAGGATAAGCATTTGAATCAAGCAGAGCCATAATGAACGACGAGTAAAATGCTGACGCAATGATACACCAAAACCTTGGTAGATAGATGTAACCAATGCTTCAATTTTGTAGTGTTTAACTGCGATCAATTCCAATATTAATATGGCCAGAACAGCCAATAATAAAGGAACCACGCTGATCGATGTTAAACTGGAAACAACTGCTGATGCACCGGGGTTCAAATTACGCGTACTAGCTATGTAGAACTTTTCTTCTGATGTGACAGAAGTGAAATAACCAGGAGCCTTTTGAGTATCCAACGACATTGGCAAGAAGCACATATCAGCCTTCTATTATAATATGCATAAGTTGATCATCAAATCAAAATTAAATCAAAGTGCGAAAGAAAAGGAAATTGTAACGAAATGACGCCCATTTGTGAATTCATGAGCAACAGTTTACTCAACTATTAAATGTTTAATATCTCACAGTTAATTTTACGATTGTACTTACCCCTTCTTGTAATAAACCCAAAACTCCATCATGATAACCAGTTTTTGTTAGTAAACCCATTTGTCCTTCCTTGGGTAAAATGAATTTCAAGCTAAAAAACAAAAAATCACAATTAATTGAACACTAAATTGTAAGTAGAGATGATGTTTCTTACTTGAAATGACCATAATCCGAGAGAATGGCAGCAAATCGTTTAAGAGACTTGAAATGAGGAACGACTTGGTCGTCTTCTTCAACAAATACTTCGGCCAATGATACCTTTAATGTATATTGAACAGCATTTAATAATTGGAATATACGGAATTCAATCAGAGTTTAATTGCTTACCGAAAAAGCACCGACAGTTAAATTGACTTTTTGCATCAGCAAACTAAAACTAGGAATAAATTGCGAAGTAAAATAACTGTTCCTTTTATAATTTTAGTCCAACAGACCTTTTGGCATCTGCAAAAAGTTGTTTATTTACAATAAAATTGATGAACAGACTTTGAAAATTAATATTAAATCAAATGTAAATATTTTTGAATATTTTGAATTCTAGTTCGATTATGAAGAATATAGCAATTTTGATATAATTTGACGGAAAATTTAATTAGGACAAAATATGAAACAAAATATAAGTAAACAGAATATAAATTGTCAAAAAGATTCGGTAATTATTCCAGTAATTGTTATATCCTTAACACCAGTCGCGAAGTCAAAATGATCGCTTGATATTAAAATGAAATTTTCATGATTAATAACAATGAAAAATACATTTTCAATGGTCTAGTGATTTAATGAAAATAATAAATTTTTTGCAGATTTCCTAGAGATCTGTATTTACAGTCCGTGTAAAAGTCCGTGCCTTGACTACAACTTTATTTTCCAATTGTGTATAACCTATGGAATAAAGTTACTGTTACGTCAATTATTATACCCAATCCAACCCAAGTCTCTTTTCAGAATCAATATGCAGATGATTAAATGGTATATTTGATAGAGTCCTGTGTATTTTAATCAATACCAACGAAAGTGGTCATTTTGTCAATCCATCCTCATCCTCTATGTAAAATGACTGTCTTTTTTCAAATTTTTCAGTCCAACAGACCTTTTGACTACTATAATTGTCTATTTATAATACAATGAATTGATGAATAGACTTTTATTATGTTATTGATATTCATCAATAAAATTGAATTTATTTAAATGTAAATATTTTTGAATATTTTGATTTAAAGTTCGATAATGAAGAATATAGCAATTTCAATATAAGACAGACAATCGAATCATGAAAAAATATAAATCAAAATACCAGAATAATAACAGAATATAAATTGACAAAAAGATTCCAGGAATCCAAGATATCCACGAGTCAAGATGATCGGTAAATATTAAAAATGAAATTCTTATAATTAATAACAATGATAAATATATTTTCAATGGTCTAGTGATTAAATGATGATAAACACTTTTAGGATAAAATGTTATTTGCGAAGTAAAACGACCCTTATTCCACTTTTCACACTGGATTTATTCTTAGTTTTGTTTTCTTGTCGAATTGTGAGAATTGTATTCAAAATGCAAAAATTCAATTTAACTGTTGGTGCTTTTTCGGTGAGTAATGAAACTGTGTGGGTGCATCTTTCGTTTACTAATAGTTGATATTGAAGGTACTATTTGCTCGAGGATTTGCTGAGAAAGATGGTCAAATAATTCCTAGATTGGCGTCTCTTAAACGATTGCAAGTGATTCTTTCTAATTCTGGTCAGTTCAAGTAAGAAACTGTTGTGATTCTATTTCCAGAACTAACTATTCAGATGGATTAATAAATTGTCCTCTTAGTCTGAAATTCATTTTACCCGAGGAAGGACAATTGGGAGTGCTAACAGAAACTGGTTATCATGATGGAGTTTTGGGTTTAATGCAAGAAGGGGTAAGTAATGTCAATGAACAAACATTTAGATATCAAATTTAGTCAATATCGCATAAACGCTGCATGTTCCACTCTAAAAAACGACTTTTCCATCATTTGTCATTATATTTCATCTTGAAATCTGCACCATTATTTCCTAACCCTTGGTACATTCAACTATTGAATTTTATGTATAATTTTACATCTTTAAGTGTATTTGAAATCTCAATCTAATTCTTTCAGTTTTTTCTATTTGTCCTTTTCATCATGAACTGTAATATTTCTTCTTTGTATTTTTCATTTGTAACTTTAGAAGGCTGATTTGTGCTTCTTGCCATTGGCATTGGATACCCATAAGGCTCCTGGTCATTTCACTTCTGTCATATCAGAAGAAAATTTCTTTATATTTAGTACACGAAACCTGAGTCTCGATAGTTCAGCAGTTGTTTCAAGTATAACATCAGTCACCGCTATTCCTTTATTATTGGCTATTCTGACCATATTAATACTGGAATTGATTGCAGTTAAACGCTTCAAAATTGCAGCTTTATTGACAGCAACCTTTCGATCCTTCGGTATCTCATTCCATCAGAATTCATCTCAAACTTCATCATGGCTCTGTTTGATTCAAATGCTTATCCTAATGTTTCCTGTGTTCATCTTTAATTCTGCATTCAGTACGCAAACTATTGTAGGAACTGCGGATTACAAGATTGATACATTAAAGGATGTTATCAACCAGGGCAGAATACCATTTTTCTTGAAGGTATTTCAATGTACGACTTCTTCAAAGGCAAAGTTAGCAAAGAATATGATGATATCTATAAACGTAGCGTTTCTGAAGGATTTGGTGAAGCCTTTCCATTAGGACCTGTTCCTGTATTTGAAAAGAGTGATTTAATGGTCACTTTTTTATCAAGTGTCGGCAGAAAACTAAAGGGTGTTACACTTAACAGCCTGCAAATTTAGAAGATAAGAATTAAAATTGAGCTTACCTTAATCAAAAAATTTGTTGATATTGATGACATGACCCATTGGTTTTGATTTCCTGTCTCTGGCGATTCATTATCGTGTTCATCTTCATCAATATCAACAAATTTTAAGATAAAGGTAAGCTCAATTTTATTTTTATCTTCAAAATTTGCAGGCTGTTAAGTGTAACACCCTTTAGCTCCATTGATGAGTTTGGTGTCTGGTTATGGCAAAATCAATCAAACACATTACTTCTCAGAGTAGCCTTTCCATAAATCTTTGCGAGCTATACTTTTTAGCCATAATATATCTAAGCCCATCAGAATAAGGGCTGATAAACTGTGAGTGAATATGATTTATTTTTATTCAATAATTCTTTATTTAATTCCAAACATCCAACTTTGTTTATACAGGGCTCGTCTGGTAATTCAAAGTGGAATCGTCCCAAAACTAGAAGGAGATATTTAGTCTGAGCGTAGTGAAGACTTATGTATTATATGTGGATCGAAAAAAATACCAAACTAACTAATGCAGAGAACAAACCACTGAACAGAATTTCATGAAATTGGACATTATTGAAGATCACATGAATGCGAAGCTCCGAGAAAAAGGAAAATTTTATCCTATACAGGGTGCCCAGAATTTTCGAGCTTAAGATTCTGAAAAATCACCTTTTTCGGGATTATTCAAGATTTCGTTGAACTAGCTTTATGAAAACCGATATACAGTTACAAAAATTATACACAAATTTTTTCCTATGAAAATTTTGCGCATGCGCACACTCCAAAATTTTGTATTTTGAATTTTCACTATTTAGCTAAATCTATGCCATATTAGAAAGTCAGGCGAAAGGCCCGTAAAGTCTATTTTCCGAGCAAAGCCACTTACTCTGGTTCAGCTTAAGACTGGTGGCAGCTGCTTTAACTTAACTTATAATTTTAATTTTTAACAATTCACTTGATTTAAAGTCTAATTTAATTCGATTCACATTAAAACAGAAGCATTTAAGCACCATAATTAGCAAAATCAAGTCAATCTAGCAATTCTGGATATTATTTAAAGCTGAATAAGTCAACGGAAAGAATTGATGAATTTTTGATGAAAGATATCGAAAAAATATCAAGTTGTTCTGGAATGAATCTGATGAAAGGCTTGAATCTGTTAGTAGATTGACTTGATTTTGCTAATTATGGTGCTTAAATGCTTCTGTTTTAATGTAAATCGAATTAAATTTGACTTTGATTCAAGTTAATTGTTAAAAATTAAAATTATAAGTTAAGTTAAAGCAGCTGCCACCAGTCTTAAGCTGAACCAGAGTAAGTGGCTTTGCTCGGAAAATAGACTTTACGGACCTTTCGCCTGACTTACCATTTTTTCGATATTTTTCATCAAAAATACATCAATTCTTTCCGTTGGCTTATTCAGCTTTACATAATATCCAGAATTGCTAGATTGACTTGATTTTGCTGATTATGGTGCTTAAATGCTTCTGTTTTAATGTGAATCGAATTAAATTAGACTTTAAATCAAGTGAATTGTTAAAAATTAAAATTATAAGTTAAGTTAAAGCAGCTGCCACCAGTCTTAAGCTGAACCAGAGTAAGTGGCTTTGCTCGGAAAATAGACTTTACGGGCCTTTCGCCTGACTTACCGCCATATTTACCATAATTTGAGTCTTAAAATTTTTTCATTACTTATTTTTCATACTTTATGATCGATCTATGCCCATTTTTCTAAAAATAAGGAGCAGAAAATTTTTTGGAAGATTTGATCATCAGGTGTAAGTTGATTTTTTTGCTGAAAATATGCTTTTGTAATCAGAATAAGTTCATCAATGTAAGATCTCTTGTCATACAGTAAGCTACCAGATAATGAAAATCAATTTTCAACGCTTCCTCAATTGAAGAGTTAAATCAAATTGAAATTTTCTTTGATTATTAATTAACTATTAAATCTAATTTTCTTTCGCCGAACATCATCGAAGAAACTCAAGAAATCTGTTTAAAAAGCAATTTATCTTGAATTTGATTAGTTAAAGAAAGTTGATAATCAAGAAAATTATTTCAAAAAGCGAGAAAATAATTCAGAGAAAAGACTCAAATGCCAATTTCGTATGAATTTTTCTGAACTCGAACAACTTAGCATCTATTTCCAAAAAAAGAACTGGCGAAATTGAATTGTTCAATGATCGAAATAATGATTTAATTTTTTGTGACAAATTAATGCCAATCATTCAAAATTTTTTAGATCCAGTGACTGGAGTGCGCTGCAGGCCTCAAGGTATTACGTACACATTGCCACATATTAGAGTAGTTTTCGTAAATGACGCAATTATTTGATAAACCGGCCAATGGAATTGTATGTCGATTTGGAAGATGAATCATTCGTGTAATTAAAAAATTTTCTGATCGAAGGTTTTCGATAAAATAACTTTCGAAGTTTTGAATCGAGTTTCAGATTTCCTTTTTTCATATTTTGATTCTTTTAAATGTGAATTGAATTCATCGTTAAAAATTCACATTCAAGAGAATTTGCGATCAGTCATGAGCCTTGTGTTCACTAAGTAACACATAACAACGAACTTTTTGTTCGGTGATAAATGATATGGCATCCATATAATGCATTTTGTGTACATATATGTGAACCCAACTTGTAAAGTGTATCTTATGTTACAATGTTTTATTGTTCCCTGGAAACGTTTCTCGAATAATGCAAAACTATTTGTATTTTATTGTATTTTATTTCAATTCAAATTGACAAGACAAAAATTATCGAAAATAAAATGAATTTTTTGAAATAAATATTGATGATAATATCCTATCTTCGGAATTTCTTATGGAATTGCTCTATTCATTGATCTTTTAAAGATAAATGGAACTGGGTAAATCTTTAGTTTTATAATTATCGCTAGGGAATTGCAGTTGAAGGAACAAAACACAGAGTGTTCTATTATACTTTTCACCTTTCAATTTGTTTTTCAATTTGACCGAGCGAGGAAAGCAACGATCAACTCAATAAATAGAGCAACGATGGAAATAATCAACATGAAGATGAATAAACGAAATATCTGATAGAATCCTCTGTAATTTACAGGTTGCCAATTGAGATCATCACCTTTCTGCGGAACTTGAGACTTGTGAAAGTCGTATAAGGTTGCAGGATAAAAGGAAAGAATGAAGTCAACGTAAGTATCGCCTTCTAGTTTCTTAGATATCCCACTTTCGATCAAACGACGAGATCTGTAAGAATTAAGAAAAGGTAAAATCAAGTGTTAGAGATTTAATCAACAACGATTTATTACAATAAGTTGATTCACTCACAGCGTATCAAACCTTTTTTTGAGGGATTCGGAAGTATTACGGTTAAAAAGCATAGCTTGTAATGATCTATGAAAAGGCTTTTCTGAGAAATATTGTACTTGATTGGGAACAATTAAATTAGATCCAGCAGCAGACAATGGAGTCAGTTTCCTGCCAATGCCAGAAATGAAAGTGACCATTTTGTCTAATCTACCTCTATCGGCAATGGGTCCTAATGGAATTGGTTCACCATATCCTTTGGCAACGGCCCGTTCATAGATCTCAGCATAATCTTTATTGACTTTGCCTTTGAAGAAGTCATACAGTGAAATGCCTTCAAAGAAACATGGTATCTTTCCCTGTTCAATAACATCTTGCAATGTATCAACTTTGTAATCCGAAGTTCCTATAATAGTTTGGGTACTGAATGCAGAATTGAAGATGAATACAGGAAACATTAAGATGAGTATTTGAATCAAGCAAAACCATGATGAATGGTTAGATGAATGCTGGTGGAATGAGATACCGAATGAACGGAAAGTTGCTGTAAGCAATGCGTCGATTTTAAAGTGTTTAACAGCAATTATTTCCAATATTAATATGACCAGAACAGCCAATAATAAAGGAATCGCTTCGACTGAAGTCAAGCTTGAAATAAGAGCAGATGTAAGGTCATTCAAATTACGACGCGTTAGGATGTAATAGTCCATTTCTGATATAACTGAAGTGAAATAACCAGGAGCCTTCTGGGTATCCAACGGTAATGGCACAAAGCACATATCAGCCTTCTGTTATTTACGAATACAACAAGAAATAAAAGGATAAAATCAATTTAAACTGAAAATACCAAAATATCTAATTAGGTACACATAACATAGCAGAAAGCGACTGATAAAGTTAAGGATTTTCTCCACTTTTTAACCATTTGATTAACATTGATGTATTATCATTACAATCAAAGATTGTTTTGAACCAAAATTAATCAGACATCAAATGAGGCAATTATTTGGTGGCTATTAGAAATAGTGAAAATACTAATCCCATGACGATAATTTGAGAGGGTTTACTGTGTTGGGTGCATGATGCCAGCAAAATCGTATCATTTTTTTCTGATCTAATTTTTCCATTGATGATCACAATGACTGTACTTACGCCATCTTGCATTAAACCCAAAACTCCATCGTGATAACCAGTTTCTGTTAGAACTCCCAATTGTCCTTCCTCGGGTAAAATGAATTTCAGACTAAAAAACACAAATCACGATTGACAATTATTAATAAATTGTAAGTAGAGTTAAAAGTTTTTTTACTTGAAAGGGCCATAATCAGTAATGGCTGCAAATCGTTTAAGAGACTTCAAGTTAGGAACAATTTGATCATCTTCTTCAACAAATCCTTCGGCAAATGGTACCTTCAATATCAAATAGCATATAATATTAATAAGTTAAAGATGCAACCAGAGTTTAATTGCTTACCGAAAAAGCACCAACAGTTAAATTGACTTTTTGCATTTCGAATGTAATTCTCAGATTCTTGATTTGATTAGAATACAAAATATTAATAAAAAGTCCAAGTCTTGATCACAATTTTATTTTCAAATGTTGAATAACCTACAAAATAAAGTTACTGTTTTGTAAATTGTTACATTATATTTCAGATTGTGACATACATTTGTGTGTTTCAAGGCAATTTTCAAAAGTTGTTTATTTTCAATGTAATTATTTAATCACTAGACCATTGAAAATGTATTTTCTTAGCAATAAAATTAAATTGCATTTTAATATTGATTATTTTCACTCATTATGATTTACTGCATCGAAACCGTAACCGAAAGTGCATTAGCAGTTGTATTGACTACTTGCTAATTTTACAATAGTTCGGTAATGAAGAACATAACGATATAATTATGAAAAAATGAAAACTATATGAATATGAAACAAAACTATTATCGAGTGCAAAAAGAATCATTGGACCATTTTATGTCAAGAGAGTTTTTATAAGGTCTAAAATGCGTTTGTCAGGAACCTCAACGAGGATCCCTTTTTTACATTGAACGTTCGTGTCTCACAATATTATACCTACTCATTGAAATTGCATCAGACCAAGTAAACATCTCAAAGTAATTTCGCATCATTGAAACTCCGAACGTCAGTTTTTTTGGCAGATGCCGTACCTTTAATATATTGAATAGTTGCAATATACAACAAGCAATGATTAACTCAATAAGCAATACAGTTGTAGACAAAACCAAGATAAAGATAAGTGACTGAAATATTTGATAAAATTCTGTGTAATTTAATGAATACCAATTGAGATCATCGCCTTTCTGAGGAGCTTCAGACTTGTGAAAATCATATAAGGTTGCAGGATAAAAGGAGAGTACCGGATGTGGCAAAAGTCATTCCCAGCATATTTTCGCGAATAACTTTTGAACCGATAGAGATATTTCAAAACACTTTTTTCTCATCATAATCAGCTCTTTTTCGGTTATCATTTAACTATTTGTTTAAAGTACTAACCTTTACCAGCGATCGTTCTGACATGAAAAATGCAAAAAATTGTCTCAAAATGAAAAATTTGAGAATCGGCGTGTTTCTACCTACGCATTTATGGCTTCGTTGCAGGGTGCTTTTGAGCCTTCGTGGCACTTTATAATTTCCGTTTAGTGGCTTTGGTGCCGTCTTTGTAGAGATAATATCATTTTATAGAAAATGCGCATCTTTGCCGATAAGATTGGACATTTTACAAAATTCGAATTTTAACTAGAAAATATTAAAAACTTCAACCGACGGCTCAAGAAAAAGACCTAAAAAATTTGATGACGATATCTATCACAGTTACTGAGAAAAAGGGAAAAATATGCTGGGAATGACTTTTGCCACATTTGTGAATTCATGAGCAACAGTTTACTCAACTATTAAATGTTTAATATCTCACAGTTAATTTTACGATTGTACTTACCCCTTCTTGTAATAAACCCAAAACTCCATCATGATAACCAGTCTTTGTCAGTAAACCCATTTGTCCTTCCTTGGGTTAAATGAATTTCAAGCTAAAAAACACAATTATTAATAATTGAACACTAAATTGTAAGTAGAGTTAAAAGTTTCTTACTTGAAATGACCATAATCCGAGAGAATGGCAGCAATTCGTTTAAGAGACTTGAAATGAGGAACAATTTGATCGTCTTCTTCAACAAATACTTCGGCCAATGATACCTTTAATGTATATTGAACAGGATTAATAATTGGAATATACGGAATTCAATCAGAGTTTAATTGCTTACCGAAAAAGCACCGACAGTTAAATTGACTTTTTGCATTTTAAATGCAATTCTCACAATTCAATCAGCAAACTAAAACTAGAAATAAATTGCAAAGTAAAATAACTGTTGCTTTTATAATTTTAGTCCAATAGACCTTTCGGCATCTGCAAAAAGTTGTTTATTTACAACTAAATCACTTAATGAATAGATCTTTGAAAATTTATGATGTTATTGATATGCGAAATAAAAATGTATTAAATCAAATGTAAATATTTTTGAATATTTTGGATTCTAGTTCGATTATGAAGAATATAGTAATTTTGATATAATTTGACGGACAATTTAATTAGGACAAAATATGAAACAAAATATAATAACAGAATATAAATTGTCAAAAAGATTCGGTAATTATTCCAGTAATTGTTATATCCTTATTACCAGTCGCAAAGTCAAAATGATCGCTTGATATTAAAATGAAATTTTAATGATTAATAACAATGAAAAATACATTTTCAATGGTCTAGTGATTAAATGAAAATAATAACTTTTTTGCAGATTTTCAGAGATCTGTATTTACAGTCCGTGTAAAAGTCCGTGCTTTGACTACAACTTTATTTTCCAATTGTTATAACCTATGAAATAAAGTTACTGTTTTGTGAATTATTATACCCAATCCAACCCAAGTCTCCTTTCACCTTTCAATTTTCATTTGTTTTTCATTTTTTTTGTGCAGAAAAGCAACGATTAACTCAAAAAGCAGCACAAATATGGACAGAATCAACATAAAGATGAATAAATGAAATATTTGATAGAGTCCTGTGTAATTTAATGAATACCAACGAAAGTGGTCATCTTGTGCAAACTATCCTCACCCTTAATGTGCCCTAATGGCATTGGTTTTATCAAATCCTTTTGCAACGGCCCGTTCATAAATATCAGCATAATCTTTATTGACTTTGCCTTGGCTGAATTAAACAAAAGATGCACCCAAGCAGTTGAATTAACTTTTGCATTTCGAATAAAATTTTCAGAAAATAATGAAAAATACGAATGCATTCAGTGTAAAATGACTCTCTTTTTTAAAATTTTTCAGTCCAACAGACCTTTTAACATCTTTAAAAAGTTGTTTATTTACAATAAATTGATGAATAGACTTTTATTATGTTATTGATATTCATCAATAAAATTGAATTGATTTAAATGTAAATATTTTTGCATATTTTGATTTATAGTTCGATAATGAAGAATATAGCAATTTCAATATAAGACAGACAATTGAATCAGGAAAAAATATGAAACAAAATACCAGAATAATAACAGAATATAAATTGACAAAAAGATTCCAGGAATCCAAGATATCCACGAGTCAAGATGATCGGTAAATATTGAAAATGAAATTCTAATGATTAATAACAATGATGAATATATTTTCAATGGTCTAGTGATTAAATGAGGATAAACACTTTTAGGATAAAATGTTATTTGCGAAGTAAAACGGCCCTTACTTCACTTTTCACACTAAATTTATTCTTAGTTTTGTTTTCTTGTTGAATTGTGAGAATTGTATTTCAAATGCAAAAATTCAATTTAACTGTTGGTGCTTTTTCGGTGAGTAATGAAACTGTGTGGGTGCATCTTTCGTTTACTAATAGTTGATATTGAAGGTACCATTTGCTCGAGGATTTGCTGAGAAAGATGGTCAAATAATTCCTAGATTGGCGTCTCTTAAACGATTTCAAGTGATTCTTTCTAATTCTGGCCAGTTCAAGTAAGAAACTGTTGTGATTCTATTTCCAGAACTAACTATTCAGATGGATTAATAAATTGTTCATTTAGTCTGAAATTCATTCTTCCAGAAGAAGGACAACTGGGAGTGCTAACAGAAACTGGTTATCACGATGGAGTTTTGGGTCTAATGCAAGAAGGGGTAAGTAATGTCAATGTACAAACATTTAGATATCAAATTTAGTCAATATCGCATAGACGCTGCATTTTATACTCTAAAAAACGACTTTCCATCATTTGTCATTATATTTCATCTTGAAATCTGCACCATTATTTCCTAACCCTTGGTACATTCAACTATTGAATTTTATATTTCATTTTACATCTTCAAGTGTATTTGAAATCTCAATCTAATTCTTTCAGTTTTACCAGTTTTGGCTTTCGTCCTTTCTATTTGTCCTTTTCATTATGAACTGTAATATTTCTTCTTTGTATTTTTCATTTGTTACTACAGAAGGCTGATTTGTGCTTCTTGCCATTAGCATTGGATACCCAAAAGGCTCCTGGTCATTTCACTTCTGTCATATCAGAAGAAAACTTCAATATATTTAGTACACGAAACCTGAATCTCGACAGTTCAGCAGTTGTTTCAAGTCTAACATCAATCACCGCTATTCCTTTATTATTAGCTGCTCTGGGCATAGTAATATTGGAATTGATTGCAGTTAAACATTTCAAAATTGAAGCTTTTTTGACAGCAAACTTTCGATCCTTCGGTATCTCATTCCATCAGAATTTACCTAACACTTCATCCTGGCTCTGTTTGATTCAAATGCTTATCCTAATGTTTCCTGTGTTCATCTTCAATTCTGCATTCAGTACGCAAACTATTGTAGGAACTGCGGATTACAAGATTGATACATTAAAGGATGTTATCAGCCAGGGCAGAATACCATTTTTCCTTGAAGGTATATCAATGTACGACTTCTTTAAAGGCAAAGTTAGCAAAGAATATGATGATATTTATAAACGTAGCGTTTCTGAAGGATTTGGTGAAGCCTTTCAATTAGGACCTGTTCCTGTATTTGAAAAGAGTGAATTGATGGTCACTTTCCTATCAAGTGTTGGCAGAAAACTAGCTCCATTAATGAGTTTGGTGTCTGGTTATGGCAAAATCAATCAAGAGCATTACTTTTCAGAGAAGCCTTTTCATAAATCTTTGCGAGCTATACTTTTTAGCCATAATATATCTAAGCCCATCAGAAAAAGTGCTGATAAACTGTGAGTGAATTTACTTATTTTTTATTCAATAATTCTTTATTTAATTCCAAACATCCATTTCTGTTTATGCAGGGCTCGTCGAGTTATCCAAAGTGGAATCGTCCCAAAACTAGAAGGAGATATTTACATCGAGTTCATACTTTCTTTTTATCCAACTACCTTATTCGAGTTTCACAAATCTGAAGTTCCTCGAAAAATAAATGACTTCACTTGGAAACCATTAAGTTTTAGTGGATTCTATCAGATATTTTATATTTATATCTTAATATTGATACTGATAACATTTGTTGCACTCATTGAAATCAGTATTGGTTTTTTCTGTACTCATAAAATGAAATAAAAACTCCTTGTGATAAAATCTTTCTAGTTAAATGCAAACATTCAAACATCGGTGACAGTTCACTACCTCCGATATCCTTTATCTTTGGCAAATGGAAAAACTTTTTAAGTTTGGGAATTTAAAATGGGTAAAGTATTTCGTACGCGAGCAATGTTGCTAAGAACTGGCGAAATTGAATTGTTCAATGATCGAAATAATGATTTGCTTTTTTGTGACATATTAATGCTAATCATTCAAAATTTTTTAGACCCAGTGACTGGAGTGCGCTGCAGGCCTCAAGGTATGACGTACACATTGCCACATATTAGAGTAGTTTTCGCAAATGACGCAATTATTTGATAAACCGGCCAATGGAATTGTATGTCGATTTGAAAGATGAATCATTCGTGTAATTAAAAAATTTTCTGATCGAAGGTTTTCGATAAAATAACTTTCGAAGTTTTGAATCGAGTTTCAGATTTCCTTTTTTCATATTTTGATTCTTTTAAATGTGAATTGAATTCATCGTTAAAAATTCACATTCAAGAGAATTTGCGATCAGTCATGAGCCTTGTGTTCACTAAGTAACACATAACAACGAACTTTTTGTTCGGTGATAATGATATGGCATCCATATAATGCATTTTGTGTACATATATGTGAACCCAACTTGTAAAGTATATCTTATGTTACAATGTTTTATTGTTCACTGGAAACGTTTCTCGAATAATGCAAAACTATTTGTATTTTATTGTATTTTATTTCAATTCGAATTGGCAAAAAGACAAAAATTATCGAAAATAAAATGAATTTTTTGAAATAAATATTGATGATAATATCCTCTTCGGAATTTCTTATGGAATTGCTCTATTCATTGATCTTTTTAAAGATAAATGGGACTGGGTAAATCTTTAGTTTTATAATTATCGCTAGGGAATTGCAGTTCAAGGAACCAAACACAGCTTAAGTAAACAGAAGAGTGTTCTACTTTTCACCTTTCAATTTGTTTTTCACTTTGGTCGAGCGAGGAAAGCAACGATCAACTCAATAAATAGAGCAACGATGGAAAGAATCAACATGAAGATGAATAAACGAAATATCTGATAGAATCCTCTGTAATTTACTGGTTGCCAATTGAGATCATCACCTTTCTGCGGAACTTGAGACTTGTGAAAGTCGTATAAGGTTGCAGGATAAAAGGAAAGAATGAAGTCAACGTAAGTATCTCCTTCTAGTTTCTTAGATATCCCACTTTGGATCATCCGACGAGATCTGTAAGAATTAAGAAAAGGTAAAATCAAGTGTTAGAGATTGAATCAACAACGATTTACAATAAGTTGATTCACTCACAGCGTATCAAACCTTTTTTTGAGGGATTCGGAAGTATTGTGGTTAAAAAGCATAGCTTGTAATGATCTGTGAAAAGGCTTTTCTGAGAAATATTGTACTTGATTGGGTACAATTAAATTAGATTCAGCAGCAGACAATGGAGTCAGTTTCCTTCCAATGCCAGAAACGAAAGTGACCAATTTGTCTAATCTACCTCTATCGGCAATGGGTCCTAATGGCATTGGTTCACCATGTCCTTTGGCAATGGCCCGTTCATAGATCTCAGCATAATCTTTATTGACTTTGCCTTTGAAGAAGTCATACAGTGAAATGCCTTCAAAGAAACATGGGATCTTTCCCTGTTCAATAACATCTTGCAATGTATCAACTTTGTAATCCGAAGTTCCTATAATAGTTTGGGTACTGAATGCAGAATTGAAGATGAATACAGGAAACATTAAGATGAGTATTTGAATCAAGCAAAACCATGATGAATGGTTAGATGAATGCTGGTGGAATGAGATACCGAATGAACGAAAGGTTGCTGCAAGTAATGCGTCGATTTTAAAGTGTTTAACAGCAATTATTTCTAATACTGTCAAACCTCCGATAATGTCACACTCTCAAAATGTCACAGAGTCATGGTAACGAAATTAAACAATTTAATTTAATTCAGTTTTTTAATTAAATAAATTTTGCAAGGACTGCAATAATGGTTTTAATTGGGTATATTATACGAATTGCCCAATTAAACATAAAAAATCTCAAAATTAAATTAAAAATTAATTTTTTTTGTTAAATAAGATTCGTAAAAGGGCTATTCCACCTAGAAATTATGTAAAAATAGCCAAAACGCTAATCCCACGAAGTGACATTATTGGAGGTTTGACAGTATTAATATGACCAGAACAGCCAATAATAAAGGAATCGCTTCGACTGAAGTCAAGCTTGAAATGAGAGCAGATGTAAGGTCATTCAAATTACGACGCGTTAGGATGTAATAGTCCATTTCTGATGTAACTGAAGTGAAATAACCAGGAGCCTTTTGGGTATCCAACGGTAATGGCACAAAGCACATATCAGCCTTCTGTTATTACGAATACAACAAGAAATAAAAGGTTAAAATCAATTTACACTGAAAATACCAAGATATCTAAATAGGTACACATAAAGCAGAAAATGACTGATTAAGTTGAGGATTTCGCTCCACTTCTTAACCATTTCATTAACATTGGTGTATTATCAATACAATCGAAGATTGATGCAATTTTTGTTGGGCTATTAGGAATAGTCAAAATGCTAAACCACGACGTGATAATTTAAGAAGGTTTACTGTGGTGGGTTTATGATGCCAGTGAAATCGTAACATTTTTTTCTGTTCTTTTTCCATTGATTGTCACAATGACTGTACTTACGCCATCTTGCATTAGACCCAAAACTCCATCATGATAACCAGTTTCTGTTAGCACTCCCAATTGTCCTTCCTCGGGTAAAATGAATTTCAGGCTAAAACCAAAAAATCACAATTGATTAATAAATTGTAAGTAAAGTCAAAAGTTTCTTACTTGAAAGGGCCATAATCAGTAAGAATGGCTGCAAATCGTTTAAGAGACTTTAAGTTAGGAACAAATTGATCGTCTTCTTCAACAAATCCTTCAGCAAATGGCACCTTCAACATCAAATAGCAAATAATATTAATAAGATGCAACCAGAGTTTAATTGCTTACCGAAAAAGCACCAACAGTTAAATTGACCTTTTGCATTTCGAATGTAGCTCTCAGATTCTTATGATTTATTCAGTTGATATGAAGACAAAATATTAATATTATAAAAAGTCCAAGTCTTAATCACAATTTGAATTTGAATAACCTACAAAATAAAGTTACTGTTTTGTAAATTGTTACATTATATTTCAAATTGGGACATACATTTGTGTGTTTTAAGTCAATTTTCAAAAGTTGTTTATTTTCAATGTAATTATTTAATCACTAGACCATTGAAAATGTATTTTCTTAGCAATAAAATTAAATTGCATTTTAATATTGATTATTTTCACTCATTATGATTTATATCACAACTGCATCTCATCGAAACCGTAACCGAAAATGCATTAGCATTTGAATCGACTATTTGCCAATTTTACAATAGTTCGGTAATGAAGAACATAACAATATAATTATGAAACAAAACTATTATCGAGTGCAAAAAGAATCATTGGACCATTCTATGTCGAAAAAGTTTTCATAAGGTCTCAAATGCGTCTGTCAGGGACCCAATAACCTCAACGAGGATCCATTGTTTGCATTCAAAGGTCTTGTCTTACAATATTATATCTGCTCATTGGAATTGCATCAGATCACATTAAACATCTTAAAATAATTTCGCACCATTGAAACTCCGAATGTCAGTTTTTTTGGCAAATGCCGTACCTTTAATATATTGAATAGTTAATACATTTGTAATATACAATAAGCAATGATTAACTCAATAAGCAGTACAACTGTGGACAGAATCAACATAAAGATGAGTAAATGAAATATTTGATAGAGTCCATTGTAATTTACAGGTTGCCAATTGAGATCATCACCTTTCTGCGGAGCTTGAGACTTGTGCAAGTCGTATAAGGTTGCAGGATAAAAGGAAAGAATGAAGTCAATGTAAATGTCGCCTTCTACTTTCGTAAAAATCCCACCTTGGATCATCCGACGAGATCTGAAACAATTAAGTGTTTGGGATTAAATTTATAACGATTAAAAAAAGTTAATTCACTCACAGTGTATCAAACCTTTTTTTGAGGGATTCAGATGCATTAAAGCTGAAAAGGAGGCCTTGTAATGATCTATGGAAAGGTTTTGCTGAGAAATATTGTTCTTGATTGGATTCAATAAAATCAGTTTTTGAGAGGAGTAATGGAATCAGTTTTCTTCCCATACTAGAGACGAAAGTGACCATCTCGTCCCTTCTTTTGAACATAGGAATAGTCCTCCGTATCCTTTTGCACGAGGTTTGGTTCCGTTTAGTTGGTAAGTTGGTTTTGGCAAGAGTCTAAGTGAAAGAGTTGGCCAATTAGACACCAGATCAATCACAACCGATGATAATTCTGCCCCAAATGATATTGAGATGCCGGGATTCAATTTATGGTCAGATATTGAAGTTACTAATGCTTCTGATGCTTTTGGTAATGAAAATGATTGCATACTTGACTCATTGTGTTTGTTTCTAGTGACCATGTAAAGATGATTCTTGCAAGCTAGCATGGCAGATGCATTTGCTTGCAATCATTGATTCGATGAAACTTCAAGTACAAGAAAATATTCCACTCGTGATCTTAAAAAGATTTAATAAGTTTTATTCATTTATTGTATTGTAAATGGAAAACAACGCAATGCTGAGCTCAATTAACTGAAAAGCTAATATCAGAATAACTATGAGAAGATAAATAAAGAATAGTTGATAGAATTTACTGTAATTCAATGAGTGCCAATTGAGATTATCCACTTTTCGAGGAACTTCAGTTTTGTAAAATTCATATAAGGTTGTGGGATAAAAAGAGAGTAGAAAGTCAACGTAAATATCGCTTTCAATTTTTGTAACGATTCCACTTTTGAACATCCGAAGAGATCTGTGAAGATTAAAAAGTAAAAAGTTAAGCAGTGAGAAATCAATTTTAGATCAACTTATTAATATAACAAAACGTATCATGAATTTACTCACATAGTATCAGTTCTTCTTCTAACGGACTCAGAGGCATTATAACTGAAAAACAAAGCTTTTAATGCTCTATGAAAGGGCTTTGTTGAGAAATGGAAAATTTGATTTGCTTTGATAGCATCGGACTCTGGAAGGACTAATGGAGTCAGTTTTCTTCCCATACTAGAGACGAAGCTGACCATCTTGTCCCTTCTTTCAAACATAGGAATAGGTCCCAATGGAAATGGTTCCCCGTATCCTTTTGCAACAGCTCGTTCATAGACATCAGCATAATCTTCGTTAACTTTGCCTTTGAAAAAATCGTACATTGAAATACCTTCAGTGAAATATGGTATCTTATTCTGTCTGACCACGTCTTTCAATGTTTCGATTTTGTAATCTCTGTCTCCAACTATAGTTTGGGTACTGAATGCAGCACCAAAGATGAACACTGGAAACATTAGGATAAGCATTTGAATCAAGCAAAGCCACGATGAACGGTGAGATATATTCTGGTAAAATGAGACACCGAAGGATCTAAAGATTGCTGTGAGCAAGGCATCAATTTTGAAACTTTTGACAGCAATCAATTCCAATATTAATATAGACAGAACTGCCGATAGTAAAGGAATCGCGGTGACTGATGTTAGACTTGAAACAACTGCTGAAGTATTTGGATCCAAGATACGTGCACTTGCTATGTAGAACTTTTCTTCTGATATGACAGAAGTAAAGTAACCGGGAGCCTTTTGAGTATCCAACGATAATGGCAAGAAGCCCATATCAGCCTTCTAGTATGCATATTAAGTTAATCATCAGCAGAAAGTTAGACCAAAGTAAAAGAAAAAAATTCTTTTCTCGTATCGAAATGAGGTACTTGCACGAATTAAAGTGCATAAGTCACAGTCCATTATTAGATGTTTAATGTCTCATAGTTAATTTTATGTTACTTACACCTTCTTGTAATAAACCCAAAACTCCATCATGATAACCAGTTTCTGTTAGTAAACCCAATTGTCCTTCCTCGGGTAAAATGAATTTCAGGCTGAATAAAACGAATCAAAATTAATCAACAACTAAACTTTAAGTAGAGGGCAAAGTTTCTTACTTGAAAGGACCATAATCCGAGAGAATCACAGCAAACCGTTTAAGAGACTTCAATTTAGGAACAATTTGATCGTCTTCTTCAACAAATCCTTCAGCAAATGGTACCTTCAACATCAAACAGCATTTAATATTAAATGGGAATTCAATCAGGAAATTAATTGCTTACCGAAAAAGCACCAACAGTTAAATTGACTTTTTGCATGCTGAACGAAATTCTCAAATTCTTAATAGAGAACAATGAAAATTGCAAAATGAAATAACAGTCTTTTCTATTATATAATTTTTGTAGTCCAACAGATCTTTCGATATCTAAAAAAGTTGTTTATTTACAACGGAATCATTTAGTGAATTGACCTTTGAAAATGTATCACTTTATTAATATTTACAAATGAAATGAAATAAAATTAAATGCAAATATCTTTGAATTTTTGATTTCTAGCTCGGTAATGATTCTGGTATAATTCACAGTCGATTTAATCTGGACAAATATAGAACAAAACATAATAACAGAATATAAATTGAAAACAGATTTCGTAATTGTTCCAGTAATTGTTGTATCCTCATCACCGAGTCAATAAGTCAAAATGATCTGTAAATATTAAAATGAAACTCTAATGATTGATAACAATGGAAAATACATTTTCAACGGTCTAGTGATTAAATGAGAATGGACATCTTTTAGCAGATTTCCTAGAGACCTGTTGAAGTATAAATCGTTATTTGCCAACTATTAAAATAATCTATCGCAAGTTACTCCAAGTTGTGATTGGTTTCTCATCAAATTTTGAATATTGTGTTAAAAATGCAAAAAAATAATTTAACTATTGGTGCTTTTTCGGTAAGCATTGTTGTAGCTCGAGTTTCATTATTGGGTTGCATTTATTAGTTTAATAACTTGTTTGATATTGAAGGTGCCATTTGCTCGAGGATTTGCTGAGAAAGACGGTCAAATAATTCCTAGATTGGTGTCTCTTAAACGATTGCAAGCGATTCTTTCTAACTCTAATCAGTTCAAGTAAGTAAATTTGATTTTGATAATTTATTCAGATGGATTAATAAATTGTCTTCTTAGTCTGAAATTCATTTTACCCGAGGAAGGACAATTGGGAGTGCTAACAGAAACTGGTTATCATGATGGAGTTTTGGGTTTATTGCAAGAAGGGGTAAGTAATGTCAATGTACAAACAATTCTTAATCACAATTACATTACGAAATGAATAAACTCGATCAAAATGATGAAAAATAACGAAATCAATTTTTTTATCAGCTATGATCTCTACAGTTATAATATATTAATGCATTTTTTTTTGGTTTAACATGACAATTTTGATCATGTACATGTATCATAAAAATTAATCAAAATTATAGCACAAGAAAATTTATAATTTTATTTTATTTCAAAAAGAGCCGATAGAAAGATTGTTTTTTTATTGGAAATTTGAAAAAATTTCAATTCTTTCAGTTTTTCCTTTTCAGTGTGATTGCAATGTGATTGTTCTTTTGCATTTATTTCATTTATAATTACAGAAGGCTGATTTGTGCCACTTGCCATTATCGCTGGATACCCAAAAGGCTCCTGGTTATTTCACTCCAGTTATATCAGAACAAAACTTCTATATATTTAGCACACGAAACCTGAATCTCGACAGTTCAGCAGTTGTTTCAAGTCTAACATCAGGCACTGTAACTCCTTTATTATTGGCTATTTTGGCCATATTATTACTGGAATTGGTTGCAGTTAAACATTTCAAAATTGAAGCTTTATTGACAGCAACCTTTCGATCCTTTGGTATCTCATTCCACCAGAATTCATCTCAAACTTCATCCTGGCTTTGTTTGATTCAAATGCTTATCCTAATGTTTCCTGTGTTCATCTTTAATTCTGCATTCAGTACGCAAACTATTGTAGGAACTGCAGATTACAAGATTGACACATTGCAGGATGTTATCAACCAGGGAAGAATACCGTTTTTCCTTGAAGGTATTTCAATGCACGACTTCTTCAAAGCCAAAGTGACCAAAGATTATGCTGATATTTATGAACGTGGCGTTTCTGCAGGATTTGGTGAAGCCTTTCAATTAGGACCTATTCCTGTGTTTGAAAAGAGCGAAATGATGGTCACTTTCATATCAAGTGTCGGCAGAAAACTTGCCCCATTGATGAGTTCAGTATCTGGTTTTGCCAAAGCCAATCAAGAACATTACTTCTCAGCAAAGCCTTTCCATAAATCTTTGCAAGCTATTCTTTTTAGCCGCAATACATCTAAGCCCATCAGAAGAAAATTTGATACTCTGTGAGTAAATTTACTTAACCTGTGTGGATAAATCATGAGACTTTAACTTCTACAAATACATTATAAAAAGTCTCATAATTTATCCACACAGGTTATTATTCAATAATTCAATAATTTAGTTTCAAACATCTAACTTTGCTCATCTTGATTTTTGCAGAAGTCGGCGGATAATTCAAAGTGGAATCGTCCCGAAAATACAAGGAGATATTTACATTGAATTTATACTTTCTTTTTATCCAACTACCTTATTCGAGTTTCACAAATCTGAAGTTCCTTTAAAAATTAATGATTTCACTTGGAAACCATTAAGTTTTAGTGGATTCTATCAGATATTTTATATTTATGTCTTAATATTGATACTGATAACATTTGTTGCACTCATTGAAATCACCATTGGTTTTTTCTTTACTTGAATTCGATGATTAAATAAAATAAAGATTACCTATGAACAAGGTTTTATTATTAAATGCAAACAGTCAACTATTGCTCACAACTTAATACCCATAGCTCTTCTTGATGTTAACATTTCGCTAAGAAAATTGGCAAAATTGAACGTTTGAATGGATTAAATAATGATTTGAATCACGTTGTGGAAAATTAATGTTAATCGCCCCAAAAAATTTTCAGACCCAGTGACGGCTCATCTCAACGTATCACGTATCGTATTGCAATGTAACGTATTGATGATAAAAATGAAAATAAATTTATTTAGCATGACACAAATTTTCGATAACCGATCAATGAAACCTCGTATGTTTATTTAGATGGTGAAGCAAACATCTTATCATTTGTCAGGGTAAAAACGTTACTGCTGTTATGGGATGTTCAGGACCGTGGAGGGTTTGCATCGTAAGATGTGGAGGCGGTTCAAATGTCAAATGATCTGTTTCATTTACAAATACTCAATGCATAATAATGTTAATCAAACATTAAACACCAATGATATTAAGTGAACATCAAATATAAAATCCGTGTTGCAACTCATTTATTTACATATGAAATCTCAGAAAATTACTGGTTGAAACAATTGTAAGCCTTCTGACCTTTATTACTGAAATAGAGCGATTATCAAAGCAATGGATAGTTCAAACAATTGAAAAACGATTATCAGAATCAATATCAAGAGATATATGTGAAATATTTGATAGAATCCACTGTAATTTAATGATTTCCAACTGAGATCAATCACTTTCCGAGGAACTTCAGATTTGTGAAAGTCGTATAAGGTTGCAGGATAAAAGGAAAGAATGAAGTCAACGTAAATATCTCCTTCGATTTTTGTAGCAATCCCGCTTTGGATTATCCGACGTGTCCTGCAAAGTATAAGAAAGACAAAGTTAGATTAAATGTGAAATAATTTGATAAAAATAAGTTAATTAACCCACAGAGTGTTAATCTTGGTTCTGAAGGATTTGGAAACATTATAACTGTAGAGCATAGATTGCAATGATCTATGAAACGGTTTCGCCGAGAAATACTGCTCTTGATTAGTCTTTATTGTACCAGATACTGAAGATAATAATGGAGTCAGCTTTGCACCAATGCCAGAGACGAAGGTTACCATCTTGTCCCTTCTTTCAAACACAGGAATGGGTCCTAGTGGAAAGGGTTTCTCTAGTCCTGCAGCGACACTGCGTTCATAAATAGCAGCATAATCTTTGTTAACTCCAGCTTTGAAAAAGTCATACATTGAAATGCCTTCAATGAAAAACGGAGTTTTACCCTGACTGATGACATCTTTCAATGTATCAATCTTATAGTCTCTGTTTCCGACGATTGTTTGAGTGTTGAATGAAGCATTGAAAATGAATAAAGGAAACATTAAGATTAGCATTTGAATCAAGCAGAGACTTGTTGAACGACGAGTAAAATGCTGGCGAAATGATGCACCAAACGATCGGTAGATAGCCGTGAGTAATGCATCAATGTTGAAATGTTCAACTGCAATCAATTCCAATATTAATGTGGCTAGATTAGCCAATAAGAAAGGAATCACAGTGACCGATGTTAGACTGGAAACAACTGCTGAAGTATTATCATCTAAATTTCGTAATGTGCTGATATAATAGTTTTGCTCCGATATGACTGAAGTGAAATAACCAGGAGCCTTTTGGGTATCCAACGGTAATGACAAGAAGCACATATCAGCCTTCTATTATTTACGAAAATAAAAAGACCCATTCAATTTAAAAACAGTAAAACTCACATCAATCGTCAGCATGGCTGAAAATGACAAATACTAGTTGAAAATTTTGTTTGCTTTTAAATCCATCGATTTAAATTGGTGAAAATTAAAGAAACTTGCTCCATGTAATTTACGTAGGAGAATCAAATTAATTACCCAAAACTTACCAAGAGCTCCAAACAGCCCTTTAAAACTTCTACTTACCCCTTTTTGTATTAGACCCAAAACTCCATCATGATAGCCAGTTTCTGTTAATACGCCCAATTGTCCTCCCTCGGGTAGAATGAACTTCAAGCTGGATAACAAAAACTCCAATTAATCTATGACTAACTTACAACTTGTTTAGCGTAACATGAATTGCAAGTGGCGATAAATTTCATATTAAATTACACAAATCACCACACCACCGATAACTGCATTAAAGTAACTGAAGTAGAGATGATGTTTCTTACTTGAAAGGGCCATAATCAGTAAGAATTTCGGCCAGTCTTTTAAGAGATTTCAAGTTAGGAAAAATTTGATCGTTTTCTTCAACAAATCCATCAGCAAATGGTACCTTCAATATTAAACAGAGTATATTGTTAAACGATGAATTCAACCAGAGAGTTGATTTCTTACCGAAAAAGCACCAACTGTTAAATTAACTTTTTGCATTTCAGGTATTACAATATAACCTGTGTGGATAAATTATGGGACTTTTTGGTAATTCATCTGTAATTAGTTTATTAATCAATAGAATTTTTTCAAACTTAATCAATATTTAGGATAACAATTAACAATCGAATTAAGCTATTTAGTCCGGACTTAATGGCTTGATCAACTTTTTTAGGGACACTTGACATGAGGTTACGAAAATATTCGGAATTAAATTCTTTCAGCTTGATTCTGATTCTATTCTTGAGTTGATTTGCATTTTTGGCTTTGAATCCGTTAGCATAGACCTTTGACTTTAAATGAGACCAAAAAGTTTCGATTGGCCTTAGCATTGGTACGACTGGTGGGTTCGCGATCTTGGAGACGTACCTTATTTTAAGTTCTGCCAGAGCTTGCATTGTAGCGTTTGCATAGTGACAAGAGGCAAGATCGGGCCAAAAAAGGACTTTTTTCTTGTCATGCAGGTCAACAAAAGGTGCAAGTTTGCCTTGAATACAATTTTTGATATAATAGTTAGCGTTAAGAGCTCCATCGCATTCATGGAAATAAGGTGATGAAACGCCTTGAGAACTTATTGCTACCCAAATTAATAGCTTTTTGCCGTATTTTGCTTTAGGTCGATATCTTACTGTATCAGGTACATCATCAGGGCATTCAACATAGCTATAGTATTGTCCTCCGAAAAAATCGTGTCCATCCAGGTCGAAATACGACTCATCATCCATTATCAATATCGACCCACGAAGAGCTCTTCTGAGTAACGGTAAAGCTTGGATTTGTCTTTGCTCTTGCTTTTCGGTTCTTTTGGGTATTTTACGTCTTTTTGCCACTCGAACTCCAAGTTCATCAGCTATTTTCTTTGCTGTTTTGGTATCATGACCAATAGCACGACCGATTGCTCGAAAACCAGGAAAAATCTTCTTGTCAGTCATTTTAATGATCTTGTTAGATTGACGTTTTTTGGCCTGGATTGCAGGTCTGCCGGCAAGGTTTTGCAATGATTTTCTTGTCCCACTAGATAACAGATCATAGTAGCGATAGCTGGTAGTTTTTTTAGCTCCAAACTCTTGAAATTTGGACACAATTGCGGTCCTATCAAGTTTATCACAATATTCAAAGTAAAATTTTTCACAGACTTCACGACAAGTACTCTGTTTCATGGTTAATTACTAACTAACAATTATGATCTGACCATTCAAATTGCAACCATTTGTCCCTAAAGTAATGACTAACATATTGTGCAACTAAATTCCTCAAAGATTCAGTCGTTCTCATGAGAGATGAATAAACGTTTAAAGTCCCATAATTTATCCACACAGGTTAAAACAATTTTTAAAATAAAAGCCATCAAGACTATCCATAAATTGCGAAGTAAAATATCAATTTGATGCGTCAACAGTCTTTTTGGCAATTTGAAAAAAGTATTTATTTACAATGTATTTATTTAATCATTCAACCATTGAAAATGCATTTTATTTATATTCATCAATAAAATAAAATAGCATTTCATATTTTTGATTATTTGAATTTTTGCAGCGTAAGAAAGGGTACAATAAATGTTAGAATAGTTTAAGTAAATTGAGGCTGAAAGTCAAATCAGAAAATTTTTTGCACAATAGATACACAGTAAACATAATTTGCATTTATGCTGCTCCAAATTGCTACATTCTATCGAAAGGATCTTGACCACAAAGCATGTATTAATTGATTGGACAATTCCGTGTGAAATTAAAGGGTGTAACGGATAAAAAACTACTTTTATCTCAAAAATGACGAAGATAGTAGTTACAAAAAGTCGGGGTCTGGATAAGTTGTCCGGGTCTGGATACACTTGTCCGGGTCTGTATAAATCCAAACCCGGACAACTTTTGATGATTTATTAAAGGGTAAAGGAGCGTGGGAAAATTTTTGCGCAAGAAAACAAATAGCGCGGGAAAACTTTTGTTTATCAAATTTAACCTTTATTTTGCAATTAAACAATGAATTTTCTGCTGGATTTTTTTATCAATTTTACATTGAATTGGCCTATTTAAATACATAAAATCCTCTACTCCTTTCTTCGAGCAAATCGTGAGGAACTTTTGTTAATCTTTGTAGCTCTTTAAGTGCATATTGTGCAAATCCTAAATCACTATCGTTTTTAATTGCCAACATTTCTTTTAGCTGCATATTTTCGTTGAAAGTCTTTTCAACCTTTTTCGCCTTCTTGTTGACTTTTTTTTCGAGATCGCTTATTTCTTTTTTCAGTTTCTTTACTTCATGAAATCCATTCTGGTCGATTCCGTCTTTCAACATATTATAAAGAACTGTCTTTACCACAGTTTTCACTTTATCTTTATTTGTTTCATCGAATGATGAATATGTTTCCATTAAATTAAATAAATCTTTAACTTTGTCTCCTAAAGGACCAGGTGTCATCATACGGGTGTAAAACCGCTCAATAGGATTATCACTTAATGATGGTAATGAAGATGATGAAGATGGTGATGGAGTTGATAGAACAGGGTCCATTTTCTTATCACAATATTAAATGAAAATCACAAAAGGAATAGCAAATAGGAATAACCATGTTTGTACGTCAAAACCATGCTGGCATGCACTCTCTAGGACCAAAAGGACAATATTATCCTATAATGGATAGAAGTACATTCAATAAAAATATTCAATGTCAACTGATCAATTTGATCTGCTCTTAGTGATCTGACTTCAAAATGTTTCTTAATCTTAATTACATGGCTTTTTATTCAATTCTTTAGATTCAAATCATTGAGAAGTACAAAAACTAAAAAATCAATATATTGACTTTCAATTTTGAATATTTAATTATGAATATTTAAGGCTGACCAGTGATAATGTTTAAAGATTATGCAAACTGAACTCAACTTTTCAATTAACTCAATTAAAGTCAACTTTGGTAAATTAAGTATCAAATAATCGATGATGTAAATAAAATTAAGAGAGATAAAGAGTCATAAAATCAGTGTGAAAATATTTAAGGTTGCTGTTTCGATACTTGACTCCTCTTTCAATTCAGTTTTCAAGCATCGCGTTGAGCCAAAGACTGACTTCGGTTGTTCGCTTCACCTTCCTTTAACCGTAACCTTCCCAGTAACTACATTGATCATACATGTTGACGTTAAACATTGTAAGTTGTAAACCTTAACCTTCAGAAAGTAACTTATCTTTTGCCAATCTTCTAAAGAAGAGTATATTTGTTGTGAATCTTGAGATTTTTAATATCAAATATCATAGGTATTAGGTCAAACTCAGGATAATTGTAATTATTTTTTAAGTAGTCGATGTATAAATGGTGGTTGTATATATTGCTTTTATTAATGTAATTATTGATGTTTACAATTTAAGTATAATTTAACTTAAAATTAAAGTTAGAACTGGACGATGAATGGTTATCATATGAATCAACACGTGAGATGTCCGAAACCGAAGGAGTCCCATCAATAATAGTTATGGGATGTTCATCATGCAAGTGTTGGTATGGTTTGACAGAAAAGTAGATTGAGTATATTTCTGCCCCTTGCCCAGTAAGACACATTTATCTTTTTGCAAATGAAACAACGTCCACAATAATAATGTTCAGTTTCAATCAGCTTCTCATTGAAAAAACTTGGCTTTTTGGACTAAAAAATTGCGAAATGAAATGTATTCATTACATCTGATATTTAGCAAAGATGTGCTTCATTGCTGAAAATACCATTTTAAAAGCAATTGTCCACAGAAATTCTTTCTTGCTTCTTTCGCTTCCTCGGTGATCCATTGTGCTCCTTAAATTATAATAAATAAGTAAATATCCTTGAATATCTTCCGCAAATGGTTATACAGATCGAATCGTGTGGAAAATGGATTGGACTCCTTACAGCTCTGATGTAACAACCTGTGATTACTTTATGTGAGGCTATTTGAAAGATCAGGTGTACTCAAATGCACCAATGCTACAATAGCTTACAGCTTGCGTCGGCAGCAGCTCAAGGCATCGAAAAAGAGACTAAAGTTTATGAAAATTTTTGCAAATAGAGTCGAGTATTGCTTTCTATATGATAGATCACATTTTGAGAATTGTATCATTAACTTAATGTCGACAGATGATGAATTTGTAAAAAATTGTATAAAATGATATTTTTATGTGTAAAATCTCATAGAAATTCTAATTTTCGAATTGTAAGAAAGCAGTCCAATTCTAAAATTTTATAATTTTATTCGATGCTGGATTATTGTACTTCCACTGTGATCTGTTCGGGACAAGTCAACTTCAATTGGTCTGTCATCATATTGCTCATATCATATTCTTCTTCTTCGGTTTCTTCGCCTAGGTTTCTAAATCAGAACTGGAAGACTATGATGAAGGTAACGATGAAGAACTACTTGAGGGTCCAGGCAATTTAAGGACTACAAAAGTATCAACTGTTTCAGCGTTTACTGCAAATTAATAGACATCTGTTGAGTTGAATCAGGGACGTCAACAAGCTCAATTTCAGTAGTTGATTCTTGTTCTTCTTTCTCGAAATCTTTCCGCTGATAGATTGCGAGCTTAGAATTTGTGAAGATACAGACATTGTTGGTAATCAAAAAAATAACAGCCTAAGAGCAATACAAATAGAAAATACCAAAAAGATGCAAAAATCAAAATACAGAAATATAAAGTTGAAATATATAAAGGAGAATCAGCTTTTGTTTGGAGATGGTAAGTAACCAAAATCGAATTATCAGTCCAGAAAAAAGAACCAAAGTCAACCAAAGCTGGAGACAACGTGAGATAGCAAGACAGCAATCAATCCAAAAATCCAAAAGACAGAAAATGATTGAGAGAGCGAAAGACTAATAGGCAGAAACCGATCCAAAGATTACGAAGAAAGCTATTAAACGAGATAAGCAAAGAACAAAGAGACAGCAGTCAATCCAGAGATTACATAAACAGCTAGAATTCGAGATAACCAAAGACCAGTATACAGCAACTCAACTATGAGACAAAAGACAGTTGGACACAGCAAAGCAGTAACGGTTGGCATAACTAAGTAAACTATGAAACTTTCAATAAAATAATGTTGATTCACAATGATAAATGAAAGTTGAATGTTGAACATGAACTGACGATTTATTCGATCGAAAACTGAGTATTTATACAAAAAATTGTAAAGAATGGGCCACTTGATTATGCTCATTACTACTGACTAGATGAGATCGAATCATTTAAAAGTAACAAGTTCCATGATATGCAATCATCTCTGCTTAAAACTAAGGAAATCAATAATTTATGCATACACATCTGATGATATTGCAAATGTGCTAATCATATTCATCAATTTTCTTACTAATCGTCTACATTTCAACTGTGGAAGTTTCCAATGATAGATAACGATGAATATTTATGTTGTGATTTTCAGAAAATTCAACGAGTGAAAGTCGCATAGATATAAACAAAATTTCTACTGAATTTGACAATATCAACGAATATGTGGATGAATATTGATATTGTTGATGAAACAATTGAAAAGGTTAAAACTAGATGTTTATTAAAAAAAATTAAACTTAAACTACAACTGAATTCAGTTTTTCATTTTTTTATACTGAAAGAGTTATATGGGATCGTGAGATCGGTGGGTCTAAGGTTAAATGAAGGTGAACGGAGAGTAAGTTAGGTCTTAATTGGAGTTAACTAGAGGTTAAATGGAGGATAACGATATCGGGTAACATATTAAATCATGGTGAAGTTATATACTAGAAGTAAGGTCGTGAGTTCGGTGAAAGTAAGATCAGGTCAAGGGTGAAAAGGACACTGAGATCGGTGGGTAACGAGGTGAATAGTGCGGAAAAAAGGTAAAAAGGCAGTTTGACCATGACATGTTACCCTGACAGGGGAGACCGGACTCCGGGCTTAACCCTCGATAAAGGAATGGATGATATCAGTATATGGACTAAGGTTTTCGTGGAGGAGGAACTCATTCAAAAGGGTGAGTATTGATGTCAGACGGAAATGTCTCCACTGTTGATTGCTTTTAAAGGAATCAAGAAATTCGTCATATAGATGCCTGGAGTAATCGTACCAGAAAAGCGCTTCATCTACATCACCATTCCGATAAGTTCGAAATGACTTTCGGTCTGTGCATAATCAGATGTGAGCCCAGCATGGTTCAAGTTCTCTTTGATATCTCGTTCTCTCGCGAGTCTTGTCGCAAACAGCAATCTCCTTCTATTTCCATTGCCGTGAATGGTATAATTCAGTGCCTTCATATGTGCCATTTGAAAAAGTTTCAGTTCAATTTCATTTTTAGCCCAGCGATTGGAACAAAGAACCCGGATTCTAATAGGATTTTTGGTAAAAACGGCTATAGAATATTCCCTGGAGCATGAATATTAATCTTTGTGTTTGCTTTTCTCAATTAAAGTAAGCTTCTTTTTCCGAAAAGTGCATTACTTGCTCCAGCACAGTGTGCATACCATCAAGTAGGTTAAATGTTTTCAATTTATCACCAGAAGCGATTCATCTTAAATCATCATACGCAATCATACGCATCAATAGATTTTCGACTAATAGAGTAATAAATGACTACTTCCAGGACATTGTTATTTTACGGACGAGTTACTTTACTTTTTTTGTTAACACGCAAGTTTTGACTCAAAACGAATAGAACTAATTTAGCTGTTGGCGCTTTTTTGGTAAGAAAACAATACTTTTGGTTACTATCATCGTTGAATAACCTAATGTTTTTATATTTATAGCTTAATATTGATATTGATATTGATGATAACTGTTTTTCATCAACCGAATTTAATGATTGCATAAAATAGAGACGACTTTTCAAAGAGCAAAGGTTTTATCGTCAAATACCAGAAAAAGTCAAAACATGGCTACAACCGTCTACTGAAATTTGAATTGTAAAATCAGAAACAATGAAAATTATGAAGCAAAATAACTGTCCTTGCTATAATTTTGTTGTCCAACAGACCTATCGCTATTTACAAAAAGTTGTTTATAACGAAAGTATTTAGTGAATAGGATTCTGAAAATGTATTACTTCATTGATATGTACAAATAAATAAAATGTAATGTTTTTTAATATTTGACTTCTATTTCGGTTATATCGCAATTGTGGTATTCATTTCACAGTCAATTTAATCAGGACAAATATACAAATTGTACAACAAAACATAATAACAGAATACAAATTGAAAACAGATTTTGTAATTATTGTTGTAATTGTTGTATCCTCATCACCGAGTCAATAATTCAAAATGATCGGTAAATATTAAAATGATATTCTAATGGTTGATAACAATGGAATATATATTTTCGTCAATCTAGTGATTAAGTGAGAATAAACATCTTTTGCAGATTTTCTGGGACCTGTTGCAGTAAATTGTTATTTGCAAACTATTAAAATAGTCTATCGTAAGTCACTCCAAGTTGTGTTTGGATTTTCATCGGTCTATAAATATTGTGTTTAAGATGCAAAAATATAATTTAACTATTGGTGCTTTTTCGGTAAGCAATTAAACTGTTGGGTTGAATTTTTAACAATACATAATAATTGATATTGAAGGTGCCGCCTGCTCGAGGATTTTCTGAGAAAGATGGTCAAATAATTCCTAGATTGGTGTCTCTTAAACGCTTTCAAGCACTGTTTTCTCATTTTAGTCAGTTAAAGTAAGTAACTTTGATTTCAACAAAATATTCAGATGGATTAATGAATTGTCTTCTCAGCGTGAAATTCATTTTACCCGAGGAAGGACAATTGGGAGTGCTAACAGAAACTGGTTATCATGATGGAGTTTTGGGTCTAATGCAAGAAGGGGTAAGTAATGTTGACGTACAATATTCATCACAATAATAATACAAAAATCCATAAACTTGGCCAAAATAATGAAAAAATGAATAAACCAAAATTTAAAAATGAACCGAGATTTTGATGGTTTCAAGTTACATTTTGTATGATGTAGCATGATGCCTTTCATCATAACTCATAAAAATTAAATTGAATTATAGACATAAGCAAATTTGTAATTTTATTGTATTTCAAAGAGGGCCGATAAAAAATCAGGAAGAATCTAATTCTTTCAGTTTTGGCCTTCGTCTTTTCTTTATTGACATTTTTCTTTTTCAGTGACTATAATAAATTAAATGCTAGCTTTCATTTTTTATTTATATTCACAGAAGGCTGATTTGTGCTTCTTGCCATTGTCGTTGGATACGCAAAAGGCTCCTGGTTATTTTAGTTCTGTCATAGCAGAAGAAAAATTCTATATATTTAGTACACGAAACTTGAATCTTGACAGTTCAGCAGTTGTTTCAAGTCTAACATCAGTCACTGTGATTCCTTTATTATTGGCTATTCTGGCTATATTGATATTGGAATTGATTGCAGTTAAACATTTCAAACTTGAAGCATTGGTTACAGCAACCTTTCGATCCTTCGGTATCTCATTTTACCAGGATTTATCTCATCGTTCATCATGGCTCTGTTTGATTCAAATGCTTATCCTAATGTTTCCTGTGTTCATCTTCAATTCTGCATTCAGTACTCAAACAATTGTTGGAACTGCGGATTACAAGATTGATACATTAAAGGATGTTATTGAACAGGGTAGAATACCATTTTTCCTTGAAGGTATTTCAATGCACGACTTCTTCAAAGCCAAAGTGACCAAAGATTATGCCGATATTTATGAACGTAGCGTTTCTGAAGGATTTGGCGAAGCCTTTCAATTGGGACCTATTCCTGTATTTGAAAAGAGCGAATTGATGATCACTTTCCTATCTACTGTTGGTAGAAAGGTAGCTCCATTAATGAGTTTGGTGTCTGGTTTCGCCAAAATCAATCAAGAACATTACTTCTCAGCAAAGCCTTTCCATAAATCTTTGCGAGCTATACTTTACAGCTACAATACATCTGAGCTCATCAGAAAGAAGTTTGATACTCAGTGAGTAAATTTTCTCATCGTTATTTAATAATTCATCATTTAGTTCCAAACAACTAACTTCGCTTATCTTTATTTTCGCAGGGACCGTCGGGTAATTCAAAGTGGAATCGTCCCAAAACTAGAAGGAAATATTTACATTGAGTTTATACTTTCTTTTTATCCAACTACCTTATTCGAGTTTCACAAATCTGAAGTTCCTCAAAAAATCAATGACCTCACTTGGAAACCATTGAGTTTTAGTGGATTCTATCAGATATTCTATATTTATGTCTTAATATTGACACTGATAACACTTGTTGCTCTCATTGAAATTACCATTGGTTTTTGCTTTACTTAAATTCAGTGATTATTAATAATAAATGAAATAAGGATTATTTGTGAACAAGAAAATTTCTCGTTAAATACAAAAAGTTAACCATCGGTGACAGTTTATTACCTAAACTTCACTCTTATCTTCGGCAGAAAATTTTTTGAAGTTTCAAACATGAACTGAGTGAAGTTTCGATGTGAACAATGACGGTAAGAGAATTGAACAAACTTGAACTGTTGAATAATTCTAATAATAAGTTGCATTACGTTACGGAAAATTATTGGTAAGCACTTTAAAATTTTTTAAACCCTGTGACTGGAGTTAGCTAGCCATCTCAACATATCGTATTGCCTCGTATGAAGCGCTAGCCGAAACCTTTTCAGCTATTTCTCTATACGAGGCCAATGGAAATTTTATGGTCGATTTGGATGATGACGGTCTAGTTCTAACCATTTCTCTATTTCTCTATTCATTTCTTCTCAACGTTACTGCTGTTGGAAAATTCAATTTTTTCTTTTTTTGGACAAATAATTGTATTAATGTAGCAGCTACATGCTGTATGTAATTAACAAGAAAATAGTGTGAACACGGGAATCAATTCATACCAATCGCGGTAAAACTGAAAAAATAATTTATCTATTACATTAAACTTTTCAATTTGATCTTGAAACTTGGTTTATTTTATTCGCCTCTTAACCTTAGGTTTGTTTGAAGACACGAAGGTAAGTTATTTTAAGGCAGATTTTAAATGCTTACGTAACTAATTGTCTAATTTTCTAGAAATATAATTGATAGCAAGTAATAAAATTTAAGCAAAGTTTCAAGTAAAACCGATCTTTAATAGTTTCAGTTATTCAATATTTACCCTGAAAGGATACATTTTTCATTACACTCACTTGAATGGAGTGAAGAAAGCAATGATTAACTCAATAAACAGTACAACTGTGGATAGAATCAACGTTAAGATGAGTGGATGCAATATTTGATAGAATGCACTGTAATTTAGTGAATGCCAACTGAGATCAATCACTTTTCGAGGAACTTCAGACTTGTGAAAGTCATATAAGGTGGCAGGATAAAAGGAGAGTATAAAGTCAACGTAAATATCTTCTTTCATTTTTGTAGCAATGCCACTTTGGAGAGTCCGACGCAATCTGTGAAAATCAAGAAACAAAATGATAAAATTGCGATTTCATTTAAAGTGATTTAATAGCAAGTAGTTAATTCACTCACAGCGTATGTATTCTTTTGCGGGGAGATCCGGAAGCATTATAGCTAAAAAGCATAGCTTGTAATGACCTATGAAAAGGTTTTGCTGAGAAGTAAGGTTCTTGATTAGGTTTGAGTAAATCAGATGAAGAAGCTGCTAACGGACCCAGTTTCTTTCCAACACCAGAAACAAAAGTGAGCATCAGTTCCCTTCTTTTCAATACAGGAATAGGCCCTAATGGAAAGGGTTCTTCGAACCCTTCAGCAACAGCCCGTTCATAGTTATCAGCATAATCTTTAGTGACTTTGGCTTTAAAGTAGTCGTGCATTGAAATGCCTTCAATGAAAAATGGTATCTTTCCCTGGTTGATAACATCTCTCCATGTATCAATCTTGTAGTCTGCAGTACCTACAATCGTTTGAGTACTGAATGCAGAATTAAAGATAAACACAGGAAACATTAGGATAAGCATTTGAATCAAGCAGAGGCATGATGAAGTGTGAGATAATTCTTGGTAAAATGAGATGCCGACGGATCGAAAAATTGCTGTCAATAAAGCTTCGATTTTTAAGTGTTTAACTGCAACCAGTTCCACTATCAATATCCCCAGAACAGCCAATAATAAGGGAATCACGGTGACGACTGATGTTAGACTTGAAATGATAGCTGAATTGTCAGTATTCAAATTGCGTAGGCTTGATATATAGAAGTTTTCCTCTGATATAACAGAAGTGAAATGACCAGGAGCCTTTCGAGTATCCAACGACGTATCGAAGGTCCATGCTGCGAAGAAAATCACAGCAAATCCTTTAAGAGACTTCAATTTTGGAACAACTTGATCATCTTCTTCAACAAATCCTTCAGTAAATGGTACCTTTAATACAAATGTATCAAATGGCATCTATCATTAAATTGGAATACAGTCGAACAGTTGATTCCTTACCGAAAAAGCACCAACCGTTAAATTGACTTTTTGCATTTCAAATGCAATTCTTACAATCGCAGTCTTAAAATCCACAACTTTAGTTTCCAATTCTGAATAAGCTACGAAATAAAGTTATGTTTCCCTAACTTTTCCTTATTGTGACATATTTCTTGGCAACTTTCAAACTTATACTAGACTAGACCATGGATAATGCATTTCTTAATATGTATCAATAAAATTGAATGGCATTAGTTAATATTCTATATTCTATCTTCTTTTTCTATTCTCTCCTTGCACAGTTAATATGATACATTAGTAATTTATTGTTCATTCCATGTCTCATCTCATAACGCAAATGCAGGACAATGTTAAGTAGGTACAACTTTCGTAACGTTTAGAAACGTCAAGAACTTTTGTAACACCTGAAGATCCTTTCTTGTAATGATTCGTGACATTAATGACCAATTTATTTTATTATTATAGAGCTGAAGCTTTACTGGTGTATAAATCGCATGATAAACAATTAACATGGTTTTTCAGTCAATGGTTAGTCCTTATGGAATTTCAGTAATCAACATTGCCTGAACCGATTTTTCGTATAACTTCACCGATTGATTCAGAGAATGTGAAAGTTTTGTTTGGTTAACGAGGTTTGGTTCCGTTTAGTTGGTAAGTTGGTTTTAGCAAGAGTCTAAGTGAAAGAGTTGGCCAATTAGACACCAGATCAATCACAACCGATGATAATTCTGCACCAAATGATATTGAGATGCCGAGATTCAATTTATGGTCAGATATTGAAGTTACTAATGCTTCTGATGCTTTTGCTAATGAAAATGATTGCATACTTGACTCATTGTGTTTGTTTCTTGTGACCATGTAAGGATGATTCTTGCAAGCTAGCATGGCAGATGCATTTGTTTGCAATCATTGATTCGATGAAACTTCAAGTACAAGAAAATATTCCACTCGTAATCTTAAAAAGATTTAATAAGTTTTATTCATTTATTGTATTGTAAATGGAAAACAACGCAATGCTGAGCTCAATTAACTGAAAAGCTAATATCAGAATAACTATGAGAAGATAAATAAAGAATAGTTGATAGAATTTACTGTAATTCAATGAGTGCCAATTGAGATTATCCACTTTTCGAGGAACTTCAGTTTTGTAAAATTCATATAAGGTTGTGGGATAAAAAGAGAGTAGAAAGTCAACGTAAATATCGCTTTCAATTTTTGTAACGATTCCACTTTTGAACATCCGAAGAGATCTGTGAAGATTAAAAAGTAAAAAGTTAAGCAGTAAGAAATCAATTTTAGATCAACTTATAACAAAACGTATCATGAATTTACTCACATAGTATCAGTTCTTCTTCTAACGGACTCAGAGGCATTATAACTGAAAAACAAAGCTTTTAATGCTCTATGGAAGGGCTTTGTTGAGAAATGGACAATTTGATTTGCTTTCATGGCATCGGACTCTGGAAGGACTAATGGAGTCAGTTTTCTTCCCATACTAGAGACGAAGCTGAACATCTTGTCCCTTCTTTCAAACATAGGAATAGGTCCCAATGGAAATGGTTCCCCGTATCCTTTTGCAACAGCTCGTTCATAGACATCAGCATAATCTTCGTTAACTTTACCTTTGAAAAAATCGTACATTGAAATACCTTCAGTGAAATATGGTATCTTATTCTGTCTGACCACGTCTTTCAATGTTTCGATTTTGTAATCTCTGTCTCCAACTATGGTTTGGGTACTGAATGCAGCATTGAAGATGAATACTGGAAACATTAGGATAAGCATTTGTATCAAACAGAGCCACGATGAACGGTGAGATATATTCTGGTAAAATGAGATACCAAAGGATCTGAAGATGGCTGTGAGCAAGGCATCAATTTTAAAACTTTTGACAGCAATCAATTCCAATATTAATATAGACAGAACTGCCGATAGTAAAGGAATCGCGGTGACTGATGTTAGACTTGAAACAACGGCTGATGAACCAGGATCTAAAATACGTGTACTTGCTATGTAAAACTTTTCTTCTGATATGACAGAAGTAAAGTAACCTGGAGCCTTTTGAGTATCCAACGATAATGGCAAGAAGCCCATATCAGCCTTCTAATATGCATGAGTTAATTATCAGCAGAAAATTAGTTCAAAGTAAAAGAAAAAAATAAATCATTTTCTCGTATCGGAATGAGGTACTTGCACGAACTCAAGTGCATAAGTCACAGTAGATTAGATGATTAGATGTTTCATGTCTCATAGTTAATTTTATGTTACTTACCCCTTCTTGCATTAGACCCAAAACTCCATCATGATAACCAGTTTCTGTTAGTAAACCCAATTGTCCTTCCTCGGGTAAAATGAATTTCAGGCTGAATAAAACGAATCAAAATTAATGCCAACTAAATTGTAAGTAAAGTTGAAAGTTTCTTACTTGAAATGACCATAATCCGAGAGAATCGCTGCAAATCGTTTAAGAGACTTCAATTTAGGAACAAGTTGATCGTCTTCTTCAACAAATCCTTCAGCCAATGGCACCTTCAATATAAAACAGCAAAAAATATTAAACTGGAAATTCAATCAGAGTTTAATTGCTTACCGAAAAAGCACCAACAGTTAAATTGACTTTTTGCATGCTGAATGAAATTCTCAAATTATTATTAGAGAACAATGAAAATAACTATCATTTCTATAATTTTGTATCCAACAGATCATTAAAACATCCAACACATCTAAAAAAGTTGTTTATTTACAACGGAATCATTTAGTCAACTGACCTTCGAAAATGTATCACTTTATTGATATGTCCAAATAAACTGCAATAAAATTAAATGTAAACATTTTTTGATTCTTTGGATTTCTAGTTCAGTAATGAAGGATATAGCAATTCTGATATAATTTTACAGTCGATTTAATCAGGACAAATATGAAAAAAAATAATAACAGAATATAAATTGAAAACAGATTTCGTAATTATTCCAGTAATTGTTGTATCCTCATCATCGAGTCAATAAGTCAAAATGATCGCTAAATATTAAAATGAAATGCTAATGATTAATAACAATGGCAAATACATTTTCAATGGTCTAGTGATTAAATGAGAATGAACATCTTTTTTGCAGATTTTCTAGAGACCTGTTGAAGTATAAATTGTTATTTGCCAACTATTAAAATAATCTATCGCAAGTTGCTCCAAGTTGTGTTTGGTTTCTCATCAAATTTCGAAAATTGTGCTTAAAATGCAAAAAAATAATTTAACTATTGGTGCTTTTTCGGTAAGCAATTAAACTGTTGCCTTGTATTTTTATTGATAACATAATAATTGATATTGAAGGTGCCATTTGCTCGAGGATTTGCTGAGAAAGACGGTCAAATAATTCCTAGATTGGTGTCTCTTAAGCGATTGCAAGTGATTCTCTCTCAATCTGATCAGTTCAAGTAAGTAAATTTGTTTTTAATAAAATATTCAGATGGATTAATAAATTGTCCTCTTAGTCTGAAATTCATTCTACCCGAGGAAGGACAATTGGGAGTGCTAACAGAAACTGGTTATCATGATGGAGTTTTGGGTTTATTACAAGAAGGGGTAAGTAATGTCAATGAACAAACCATTTTTTTATCAAAATTATGATACAAAAATACATAAACTTTATCAAAATGATCTCAGTTATAATTTGTATGGTGTGCCCAAGACCGTTTTGATCATAGCTTATAAAAATTAACTTAAATTGTATACATAAGCAAATTCGATATTTATTGTATTTTAAGAAAGGGCCGATAAAAATTTGGGAAAATTATTATATAATTCTTTCAGTTTTGCCTTCGTCCTTTGTACAGGGCTATTCAGCTACTTAGTATGATGTTGAACGCCAATAACTTTGCAACCAAACATGCTATTGGCTTGAGAATCGAATATAGTGAGTTTGGGCGACATTCATTTTTTATGTTTCAAGGGACAAGGTCATTCAAGGTCATTTTTCGGAAATCGCTGCTATTCATTTTAGAGGTCAATTTGAGGTCCTGACATGATTTTTGAAGACTAAAAATCTTTTTATTCGAGTTCTGACACTCTGTAATGAACATTGCTTGAGTTATTGACATTTAAGTTTCCGAACCTCGTTATTGGAATTTTTATTTTTTATGCAAATTCCAACTTTTTTGTGCTCAGTGGTGCTCGATTAGTGACGAAATTCATTTTACATCTTTTTCATCATGAATTTCAGTTGAAAATGAATGATTATCTAACAATTTCTCAGAATTCGAAGAAAAATCAGTTTGTGGTGACAAAAGCAAGACGCTACATTCACAAAAGCTCAACATCACTACTTTTACCTGATTTATCTGATGTGAAACAGCTCTAGGAGCGCTTTACATGGATTTGGTTGAAAAGTTCATCTTCCATGATTAAATCAATTTTTACAGCATGTAATTAAACCCTGTTGCCAAAAAGGTGCGATCGGGTCCCAATGAGCACAAAAAAGTTGGAATTTGCATAAAAAATAAAAATTCTAATAACGAGGTTCGGAAACTTAAATGCCAATAACTCAAGCAATGTTCATTACAGAGTGTCAGAACTCGAATAAAAAGATTTTTAGTCTTCAAAAATCATGTCAGGACCTCAAATTGACCTCTAAAATGAATAGCAGCGATTTCCGAAAAATGACCTTGAATGACCTTGTCCTTGAAACATAAAAAATGAATGTCGCCCAAACTCACTATATTCGATTCTCAAGCCAATAGCATGTTTGGTTGCAAAGTTATTGGCGTTCAACATCATACTAAGTAGCTGAATAGCCCTGTATATTGACATTGTTCCTTTTCAGTGTGATTGCAATGTAATGTTTCTTTTGCATTTTTAATTTATAATTACAGAAGGCTGATTTGTGCTTCTTGCCATTGTCGTTGGATACCCAAAAAGCTCCTGGTTATTTTGGCTCTGTCATATCAGAGCAAAACTTCTATATATTTAGTACACGGAATCTGAACCTTGACAGTTCGGCAGTTGTTTCAAGTCTAACATCAGTCACTGTGACTCCTTTATTATTGGCTATTCTGGCGATATTAATATTGGAATTGATTGCAGTTAAACACTTCAAAATTGCAACTTTATTGACAGCCACCTTTCGATCCTTTGGTATCTCATTCCACCAGAATTCATCTCATACTTCATCATGGCTCTGTTTGATTCAGATGCTTATCCTAATGTTTCCAGTATTCATCTTTAATTCTGCATTCAGTACTCAAACTATTGTTGGAACTGCAGATTACAAGATTGATACATTAAAGGATGTTATCAATCAGGGCAGAATACCATTTTTCCTTGAAGGTATTTCAATGCACGACTTCTTCAAAGCCAAAGTGACCAAAGATTATGCCGGTATTTATGAACGTAGCGTTTCTGAAGGATTTGGTGAAGCCTTTCAATTAGGACCTATTCCTGTGTTTGAAAAGAGCGAATTGATGGTCACTTTCATATCAAGTGTCGGCAGAAAACTAGCCCCATTGATGAGTTCAGTTTCGGGGTTTGCCAAAGCTAATCAAGAACATTACTTCTCAGCAAAGCCTTTTCATAAATCTTTGCAATCTATACTGTTTAGCTACAATATATCTAAGCCCATCAGAAGAAAATTTGATACTCTGTAAGTAAAACTTATCATTATTCAATAATTCAATCATTTAGTTCCAAACATCTAACTTTGCTTATGTTGATTTTTACAGGGGTCTTCGGATAATTCAAAGTGGAATCGTCCCAAAACTAGAAGCTGATATTTACATTGAATTTATACTTTCTTTTTATCCAACTACGTTATTCGAGTTTCACAAATCTGAAGTTTCTCGAAAAATCAATGATTTTACTTGGAAACCATTAAGTTTTAGTGGATTCTATCAGATATTTTATATTAATGTCTTATTATTAATACTGATAACACTTGTTGCACTCATTGAAATCATTATTGGTTTTTGCTTTACTTAAATTCGATGGTTAAATAAAATAAAGATTACTTGTGAACATTATTTTTTATTATTAATGAATGCAATGTCAGCAACAGTTGACAAACTGTCAACTATTCCTGACTATTGCTGCAATAACCAAACTAATGTATTATATAATATATCATCATCTTCGGGAAAAACACTTTAGAGGATCGAAACGCAAACTGAGTAAATTTGGTCTTGATCTGAACAATGTCGCTAAGAAAAATGACAAAATTGGACTTTTGAATGAATTAAATAAAGATTTGAATTACGCTGTGGAAAATTAATGTTAATCATCCCAAAAAACGTGATAAACTTATGCCAATTATTCCAATAATTTTTCCGACCCAGTGACGTATCCTGTTGCCATGAATCAGATAGTCTTTCGTAAATTAATTTTTGGGGCATGACGCAAATTTTTGATAAACCGATCAATGAAACCTTGTATGTCGAAGCAAATATACAATGTATAATATTATCATTTGTCAGGGTAACGTTACTGCTGTGATTGGATGTTGTTCAGGTCCGTGGTGGATTTATAATACTTGTATCGTAAGAGGTGGAGTTAGCTCAAGTGCCAACTAAAGTGGTGGAGTGGGAATGATTAAATGATTAACTCATTTTTTCAAATTTTTTGAATTTGAGTTTCTTGGTTTACTTGGTAAACTTATTTTACTCATGCTTTAGAGAGAAAAGCTTGCGCTTTTTTGAAACAGTATTTCATTTAAATCCTTGCATTCGATGTTAAGAAACAACAACACAACAACTGATACAAAGAATGCAATTTAATATGTTATCAGCGAGAAGTTTTAAACCAAGATCACTGTGACAGATTAATGAATAAAATGAAATCAGCGATCAAAATAGTTTCAGCAGTTTCAAAAGAGTGTGAAGCGTCTCTTAGCCTTTGGTTTGTTTGCAGGCACAAAGGGAAGTTATATTATTATATTTTGAGGCAGAATTGTTTCATTTATGAATTATCAATACATAATAATTTTAATCAAACATAAAAACATCAATAATATTAAGTGAATATCAAATATACGTGATGAAAAATACTGTACGGCTGGAACAATTGTAAGTCTTCAGAACTTTATTTTATTGCTGAAATAGAGTGATTATCAAAGCAATAGATAATTCAAAAAATTGAAAAACTATTATCAGAAACAATATTAAGAGATATATGTGAAATATTTGATAGAATCCACTGTAATTTAATGATTTCCAACTGAGATCAATCACTTTCCGAGGAACTTCAGATTTGTGAAAGTCGTATAAGGTTGCAGGATAAAAGGAAAGAATGAAGTCAACGTAAATATCTCCTTCTATTTTTGTAGCAATTCCACTTTGGATTATCCAACGTGTCCTGCAAAGTATAAGAAAGACAAAGTTAGATTAAATGTGAAATTATTTATAACAATGAGTTAATTAACCCACAGGAGTAGTATAAAATTGCTGGCTCCAGCACAGTGTGCTGGAGCCAGCAATGCACTTTTTGGAAAGAGAAACTTACTCGTTGATTGAAAATTCAAAATATTTATTCTGGAAAGAAAACACAAAAATTAACACTCATATTCCAGGCTATATTCCATAGCAGTTTGCACCAAAAATTCTATTAAAATCTGGGGATTGGTTCCTTTTTGCAATCGTTGGGCCAAAAATGAAATTAAATCAAAAACTTTTGCAAATGGCACGTATCCGGGCACTGAACCATACCAATCACTATCATTATACAAATATTCATCTACATAGTCCTGCATTTCGTCGATTTCAGCAGAAATTTTGTTGATATCGATGGAGCTTTCGCTCGTCGAAACTTCTGAATTATCACAATATAAATAATCGTCTTCATCCATTTCAAACTTTTCAATAGAACCTTCCATCGTTTTAGTTGATTGTTCTTTGGAAAAAACTATGATTAACTATTAACTTAAAACTAAACTTTTGATTAAAATTCACTCAAATAATTTTCAAACTAAAATGACTTGAAATGCAACTCAATTTGAGTGAGCTGATTGATTTTTTTTTTGTGATATTGTAATGCAGACAGGATTAAGGAAGTTGACTGAATGAACTTCTTTTGTTTTTTTTTTGATTCAATTTGATTTTATCTTTGAGATATTTTCCTTATTTGCTTCTTTTTCTTTATTTTACGGAACGTGATTTTTTAATTAACAATCAAGAAATGATGCACAATTTACCTTCCGGCTATCTAACTTATGTTATGTTTACCTGTCTGGATTGATAATTTGATCTGATTTTTTATGGATTTCGAAAATTACTCTCAAATGTCTTTGCATATTTATGGTTTAGACGATCTTTTTTATAATGATAACATATGACATATCGTTCTTCCTCATTTTTTGTGCTGAATACGATTAGCACATTTGCAATATCATCAGATGTATATGCTTAAATTATTAATTTGCTCATTTGCACGTAGCGATTATTGCATATCATAACCTTGTTACTTTTAAATGATTCGATCTTATCTAGTTATTAGTAATTATCATAATTGAATAGCTTATTCCTACAAATTTTTGTATAAATACTCAGTTTGCCATCGACTAAATCATCAGTTCATTTTCCAAAGTTCAACATCCAACTTCATTCATCATTGCTAATCAACTAAAGTTTACTTTTGTTAACAGTTTCAAATTTCACAGTTACCCCAACCGTTACTTCATCTTATTTTCTAAACTGTCTTTGACTTTTAGTTGAGTGGCTGTCTTTTGATTATCGATTGCTGGCTATCATTGGTTTCTGTCATTGGTCAATTGCTGTCTCTTGGATTCCTGACTCTCTCGCTTATAGCAGCCTTTGCTTCATTTGCCTTCTAACCTATCTCGATCGCTAGCTGGCATTGGTTTTTTTTTGATTCAATTGCTGTCTTTTGGTATCTGGCTCTCTCTCTCTATCTATTGATAACTGTTATTGGAAGCTTTGGGTTCAATTCCTGTCTTTTGGTTCCTGACTCTCTCACTCATAGCAGTCTTTGGTTCATTCCCTTCTTTTCGTTCCTGATTGCCTTGTAAATCGCTTCTTCTGGCTCTTCTGGTTCGCTTTTGGTTTATCTTCATCTTCAAAAAAAGCTGCTTTTTCTATATATATTCAATTGTATTTTCATTTTGAATTGTTTTTGTTATTTTTACTGTTATTTGACATTTTTGATTGTGATTATCACATCTCTTAAGTATGTCTGTATCCTCACAAATTCTTAGTTCACAACCTATCAGCAAAAAGATACCGAAAAAGAAGAACAAGAAGCCAACTACTGAAATTGAACTGATTGAAGTTCCTAATTCAGCACAGCAAATGTCGATCAATATGAATGAAACTCTTAAACGAAAAGTTGATGCTTTTAAGGTTCCTAAATTGCCAGGACACTTAAGTAGCTCTTCTTCTTCTTCTTCTTCATCGTCGCCTTCCAGCTCTGATTCAGAATCCCAGGCGAAGAAATCGAAGAAGAAGAAGCAATATGATAACAAACCCATTGAAGTTGACTTATCCAGAATACCTGGTAACGCTAATAGAAATGATGCGCCACCTTTCGATGACAGAGATGCATTCACTGCTTCTTCAAACCTTATTTTCTTCACGGTTCCTACATCAAAAGGTAGAATCGGTCATTTCAGAAAATATTGGTTCAAAGAGTCAAAGCCTCAAGTCAGCTATTATGGTGGAGACATTGGTAAAGATCAAGTTCCTGGACTGATAGATTGGCTTCGTCGAACCTATGACAACTGGGACAAATGATCATTATAGTGACATGGTATCTGGATAATAAATGGATGTACGGATTTTGATTTCAATTGTATTGAATTCAACCTGACCAAAATTTGATATTTTTTTGTGTAACATTTCTATTGTATTGTGTGTTTTATATTTGCTTATAACACTGTGTTCAGAAATGAACATTTGTCTCGTCATTCTCATTAAACAAAATTGCATTATAATTTTGTCTATCTATTTCAATTCTTCGTGCTGAATTTGTTGCGTTGAGTAACAACTAATCAATTTGATTTTTGTTGTAAATGTATGGCTTCATGTTGGTTTGTATTTTCTTCAAATTAATTTGACATTTATGTTTTTTTTTTTGCTTTGAAAATCATTCTGTATTGATGAATTTGTCATCACGGTAAAAAATGTTGAAAAAATACCTGTCGCAAATAATTTGCTTCCAACTGTGCACCAATCTTTGCCAACTATTGATCGTTTTTCAATTGAGGGGGTTTGAGGGGGTTTAAGACTTCTCATTCAATTGACCTTTTTGCTCATTTCCGATCCTTATTGTTCATTTAACAATTATTTTTTTGTTCATTACTAGAGATTTTTGCTCTGGGGAGTGTAGTTAGTATAAAGGGTCTGAAATTTCTGTGAGAAAAGTTTTTTTCGATTTGCATCTCAGTGTGAATTGGTCGATTTCTTGTCAGAGTAAAAAATATTTTGATCCAGAAAAGAATTATACTTATTTGAATCTTAACTGAGAACTGCATGTGAATTGAGAGGCGACTGTATGACTTGAAAGACCATGCTTGATCATTTTGCATTAATTAATTATATAAGAAATTTCGTTCCGCAAACCCGCAACAAAACTTTATAATGAGTGAACAAAATACCAGTGAATCTTTGAAAAAATTTAATGCAGAATTGTTAGCTGAAAATAATGAATTACAAAATAAGTGTACGTTATATGAGAAAAAGATTACATCATTGAACCAATATTTGGAAAAACAAAACAGTTTACTGAGTTTTTATGACTTTTTAGATTTAAAGTCATTAGATCGTTATGTAAAATTACTTGAAGAGCTTCCAGTTAAGATAATTGAAAATTTATATGATTTGAAACAAGAAAAAGAACGTAAAAGAATTGAAAATCTTGATCCGAGATAATGTTACTTGTTGTTAACGGTTTCCAGTAGATCCAAATCCGAGTGCACCACGTTCAGTCTTCAATGGCTCTCCCAGAATGGATGTTGCATTGACTTGAGCTGCATTTTTAACGAAGATAATTATTTTTTCACCTCTTTCGATGAAAATTGGCATGTTTGATCGATTATGCAACATAATCGTAACTTCATCATCATCTGGTTCAGCATTGATTATTGTTTCAATGCAGTCAACACCTTGAAGAGTCAAATCAACTTTACCAGAAATATAACCATAAGCTTTTGATGAAAAGAGGAACTTGACCCCAGTCATGATATTTTTCCTGGACTTTGGTTGCATTAGAAAGGCGGCATCTGCAATGAAATCGAAAGATACACTGTCTTCTGTGTACTTCTCTGGTAGACGAGTGTTTGGTTCTTTTCTTACAACCAAAATTGACTCCTCATCAGGTTGTTCAATTGCATTTAAATCAGTTATCTCTAACATTTTACCAGTGTGATAGAATTCAAAAATCACCTGTGCAAATCGATCGCCTTCTTTGATTTGCAAATCCTCATCCGAATTATTGATGACCAGAACTTTCACTTCTCCAGTGTAATCTGGGTCAATCACTCCTGCTCCAACATCGATACCACGAATAGCGTAAGATGATCTAGTGGCTAAGCGAGCATAAGTTCCTAATGGCATCATGAATGATAATCCAGTAGCCACTAATGATCGATCTCCGGATCGGATGAAAGTATGATCAGGACTATACAGATCAAATCCAGCAGCATGTCTGGACCCCCGGATAGGATGTTTAGCTCTTGGGTTGAGTTTCACAAAAGCAATTTGTTTTGACAAGTTAATAGCCATTGTTGATTGAGAAAATATAACTGTCGCACTTTTAGTTCGCTCAATGAAGAAAGAAGTGAATATGGCATTTTTTAGTAATCTGCCGACTATATATATATAGTATGAAATAAAGTCACGCCTTCTCATTCGGTCAAATTATTTTAAAAACTTATTTACATATTAAAACTTATTAAATACTGCCTTTAATTGATTAATAAGCTGAATTCAATTTAATCTTATTGATCTAAGGACTTTGAAAAGTTTTTCATGGTCAGAAATGAAGAAATCTCAACCAAATGTGTAGACCTTCAGGCAAAATTAAATGTTAAATATTCATATCTGGGTTGCATATTTACATTATTGAATAGAAGTTCAATCCGTATTTCACCATTTTTGCAGATTTATTCATCATGTATGAGTAAATCTGAGAAAGTATTGCATCATGATAAATTCATCACGTTTTCTTTTGATGGCTCAGAATGATGTTAATATTTTAGATTTTGTGTGATAAAATTTTAATTTCGAGGAAATTCAAGATGAATTACACTAAATTTAATTATGAATAACCTTGAAATAATTGATTAATTAATGTGGAAATGAGGAAATTTACGAATTTAATATTTTTACATTACTTGTGAGCAAGTCACTAAAATGTATATAAAGTGAGAATTTTCAGAATTAAACTCAGTGTTGAATTCACTCTTGATTTGTAATGTTGAAAACGAAAAGAAAATGTAAATTTTGTTCTAAGAAATTCAAAAAATTTATGAATTTGCTGCATCACGAAAAAATATGTGAAAATGATCGTAATGATGATGTTATTGAATTAGATTTCACTCTGCCTGACGAATATTTCATACAGAAGTCTGCATTCAGCCGTTCTTTAAACGTTTTTGCTAAAAAATTTGATGAACAGATTTTTGATATTGATTCAATTTTCAAGTCTGAAGAGAAAAATTTGCGAAAGATTTTTAAGAAATGTTTGAAACAACTCAAAGGAATAAAAGCTCAAATAAGTGTTTGCTGTGAATTCTACAAAAACGACGGCGATGAAGTTATTTGGTTGGATCCTCTTTTCTCCTCTTCAATGAAAGTTTTATCAACCATGGAACTTTTTGATGAATTTCTTCACGAATCTGCTCTCGAAATCCTGATCGATTTCGATAATTTTACACATAGAGGTAGTGGTTGGATGCTTCGAAAAGTCAACCTATTGGAAATACGAATTGGTAAATACATCGCACTCTCAGGAGGTTGTCTCTTTTGGAAACTACCCGAACAATTCTTAGCAAAAAGATGTGTAGTACAGCTACAAACTTCAAGTAAGTGCTTTATGTGGAGTGTTTTAGCAGCTCTTCATCCAGCTGAAAACAATCCCGGTAGAATCTCTAATTATCAAAAATTCATTGATAATTATGATTTTGATGGATTCACAGATGATGTCAAATTGGATCGTATCAAGTATTTTGCTCAGAAAAATTCGCTTTCAATCAATGTATATACATTGACTTATAGTGAAGAACTTGGTTTGTACCCTGTTCCTTTGTTCGTGAGCAAAGAACAAATGCCAAAACATGTGAATCTCTTGCTATACGGTCAACATTATTGGCCGATAAAAAATTTCAATAGATTCTGTGGTAGTAAACAATCAAGATATCATCATTTTTGCTATAATTGTATGACGGGATTTTCGACAAAAAAATCATTATGTGATCATGTAGAAAACTGTAAAAACTTCAAGTCTCAAAAAATTATCACTCCGGAAAAAGGTGCCAAGTTAAAATTTGATCAATTCTCAAAACAACTCAAATATCCTTTTGTAGTTTATGCAGATTTTGAAACTTTGTGTAAACCTGTCGAAACTAATCTTCACAAGCAAACATTCGAGTATCAAGAACATGTTCCATCAAGTTTCGGTTATGCAGTCGTTGATGCTTTTGGAAAAATTATTGAATACGATTCTTATCGTGGAGACAATGCCGGAAGAGTTTTTCTGCAATCAATGTGTAGATTGAGCGAAAAAATTCGAGACATGATCAGTGATCGTCAGCGAACATTCGTTATGACGCCAACAGATGAAGCAGCTTTTATAATTTGTGAGACGTGTCACATCTGTGAGATGCAGTTCGAAAACGATGACATAAAAGTGAAAGACCATGATCACATGACTGGTAAATACCGCGACGCTACTCACGTTAATTGCAATTTATCTTTGAAAATGCCTGATGATATTCCTGTAGTATTCCATAATCTTAAAAATTTCGATGCACATATTCTATTACAAGGGATCGAACGCAAAATGTTTGACAAAATTTCAATTGTTCCGCAAAACATGGAAAAATACATTTCTTTCACGTTTGGTAAATTAAAATTCATTGATAGTTTTTCTTTCTTGAGTAGTTCTCTTGAAATTCTTGCTGCTGATTTAGAAGAAACTACTAAAAACCGTTACTTATCACAGTTATTTGATGTGAATGATCTGGATTTCGTATCAAAGAAAGCCAAACTTCCTTATGACTATTTAGACAGTTTCGAACGTTTTTCTGAAACATGCATGCCTGGAATAGAGGATTTTGCAAATAAATTGAAATTTGAAAATCTAGATGAAGAAACTTATCAAAATATGCTTAGTTTATGGAATCATTTCAAGGTGAAAAATCTTGGTCAATTTCAAGATATTTATCAGAAAATCGATGTTGCTTTGCTGGTTGCAGTGTTCGAAAATTTTAGAACAATCAGTATGACACAGTTCAATCTAGATCCACCCCATTTTTATTCAGCTCCTGGTCTTACATGGGCTGCAGCTTTGAAAAAAACTAGAGCTGTCATTGATCTTTTAACTGATATTGACATGATTATGATGATTGAAAAGGGAGTAAGAGGTGGAATATCCTCAGCAATGTGCAGATATATAAAAGCTAATACACCGGGAACTTCAGAGTATGACAGCGATAAACCCCCAAGTTTTCTCACATATCTCGATGTAAACAATTTATATGGTTATGCATTGCAACAAAATATGCCAATTTCTGATTTCAAATGGGTCAAACCCAATAAATTTGATCATGTTTACACAAATTACATCGAAAAAGACCCGCAAGATTCAGATACAGGTTATATACTAGAAGTTGATCTTGATTATCCTGATGATCTACACACAGCTCACAATGACTATCCCTTAGCTCCAGATAAATTGATTATCGATGATGATCTGTTGAGTGAATATCAAAACAAAATATTGCAAAGCACTGGATATAAAAGAACAAAAAGTATGAAATTAATCCCCTGTTTTCTGAAGAAGAAGAAATACGTTGTACACTGTAAAAATCTATCTTATTATGTTAAACAAGGTTTGAAAGTCACTAAAATTCACAGAATAATGCAATTTGTTCAAAAACCATGGTTACGAGACTATATTCTTTTGTGTACAACTAAACGTCAAGAAAGTAAATCGGCATTCGAAAAAAATTTTTGGAAGCTCATGGTTAATGCGATTTATGGTAAATCTATCGAAGATGTTCGCAAACACACTGAAATAAAACTGGAGCTTTCACTTGATGGAGCTATGAAACAGATGCGAAGACCAATGTGTGAAAAGTTCTTTATTTTGGATGAAAATAAAGCACTCTTCAAGATGCGACGAAGAAAAGTTCATCTTAACAAGCCGATTTTTGTTGGGTTCACAGTTTTAGAGTTCTCTAAACTACACATGTACCAATTACATTATGATATTTTCAAGAAGTATTTTGGTGAATATATTGAACTGATTTATACTGATACTGACAGTTTAATATATCATATAAAAACAGATAATATATACAATGATTTCAAGAAACTTCATTACATATTTGACTTTTCTGACTACCCTAAAGATCATTTTTCAGGATTATCGACAGATATCCACAAGAAAAAACTTGGTTATCTTAAAGATGAAATGAATGGAAAACACATTCTGGAGTTCATTGCATTGAAGCCAAAAGTTTATGCAATGAAGACTGAAGATTCAACTAAAAAAACTGCGAAAGGTGTGCAAAAGGCTGTTCTCAAAAGTATGGTCAGTTTAGATGACTATAAGACATCACTTTTCGAACTCAAACTATTCCATCATGATATGAGAGCAATAAGAAGTAAAGGACATGCCATTAAATCCATTCAAACACATAAACTTGCACTTAATCCATTCGATGACAAACGTTACTTGAAACTAGATGGCGTTACTTCTTACGCATTTGGTCATTATGCAATCAACTGGAATAACTAAATACATGTGTATAAGAAAATTTTACTTTGTTATCTTATATAAACACTATGAATAAAGAAATTTGTTACACTATACTTATACTATGTGGTTTAATAATATTATTATTATATTCACAATATTCAATCAGCTTATACGCGTATCATGAACACAATTTTACCATCAGTTAAAATCACCAATGTCGTTACATTATGGGATGTGAATACAAGAATTAATATAAATATAAAACCGAAAATAGGTAAAAAGAAATTCAACGCAGAGATAATAAGAATTGGTAAGAATTGTTGCTTAGTTTTTGCGTCTGGAAAAGTGATAGCAACTGGATTCAAATCAATTGAGGAAACTCGAATGTTCGTGGTTTCAATTTTCAAAAAAATTAACTTTGTTAAAGTCGTCAATATAACTGGAATCACCAAATTTGAAAATCCTATAAAAGTCAACGACATATTTCAGAGTGGGTTGAAGGTGATTTATGAACCTGAACTTTTTCCAGCTCTAACATGGAAAGAAAATGGAACCTGCTTCGTTTACTATCCTAAAGGATCACTAATAATAACTGGTGCTAAGTCAATGAAACAATTATTTGAATCACATTTGCAATTTTGTTACAGATTTTGTAAACTTTCTTACAAAAATTAATGTATAAGAAATGATTTTGTAATAAACTGAAGCTTCAAAATAATGGATCTTTATAGTGTTTATTTGAAACATCCTTTTACTATGTTAGTTGCTGGACCGTCAGGATCCGGTAAAACAAATTTTATTACTAAATTAATTGAAAATGCTCAGCTTTTTTCACAACCTAAGCCCGAAAAAATCACGTATTTTTATAGTGAATATCAACAAGTTTTCTCTACTTTAACGGATGTTAATTTCATACAAGGGTTATCAGAAAATATAATGAAATCTTTCGATGGCAGTGTACCAGAATGGATTGTTATTGATGATTTGATGCATGAATCTGTTAACTCAAAAATGATATCAGAACTTTTTACTAAAGGTAGTCATCATCGTAAAATATCAGTTATTCTTTTAGTACAAAACTTTTTTGTTCGTGGAATTGAAAGCAGAAATATTTCATTAAATTCTAATTATATTGTGCTTTTCAAAAATCCTAGAGATCAATCAATAGCTTCAATGATTGCTCGTCAGATGTTTCCTCGCAAAACAAAAAAATTTCAGACTATATTTCAAGACGCAACAGAGACACCTTATTCCTATCTTTTTATTGATTTGAAATCAGATACCCCTGAGCAATTGAGATTGTTGACTAATATTTGTGGAGAAAAGGAGTATATGATAGCTTATCAAATTTAAAATATTGTATAAGATGTAAGCAATTTCATATTAAGAAAAATGTCTGTGAAACGAGCATTAAAAGCACTACCGCATCTGAAGAAGTTGACAACGATAAGATCGAAAGAGAAAAGGAAAAAAACAATTGAATCCTGTCCTGATCATGTTTTTGATTCAATATCAGACATTTCAAGAAATATCTTAAAAGGAAACATTCATCTGAATAAATGTCAAATTCATAAACTTAAACCGTATAAGAAAATCGTGAGAAAGTTAAGTAAAAAAACTAACTTGAAGAACAAAAAACAGCTTTTAGTACAAAACGGTGGTGCACTACCAGCATTATTAATTCCTGCTGTTTCTATTCTTGCTGATTTAATTTCTCGCAAACTGATAAAATGAATGCCTTAACTAAAATGGTACTCATTCCTGAGGACCAATACAGGAGAAATTGTCAATTTTATAATCCATCTTATTTACAACCGATAATGAATGCTAATATACCTATGGATTTGAAAGTTAGACTTTTTAATGATTTAATGATGAAGAATACACTGAAGCCTAAAATGAATAAGGAGACTCAAACGAATATTAATAAACCTAATGTTATTGAAAATTTCGATGATACACAAAATAATGACAAATTCCAAAGTTTCAGTAATATTGTTGATCATAGGTTTTCTTTTGCTTCACACCCATCAGAATCAACATCTCCGACTTCATGGACAGCCACAACACCGTCGACTTCCTCAAAAACAAATTCACAAGTCTCAACTCCAAAGCCTTCAAACTCATCGCCATTAGCCTCTGCAACCCATTCAGAAAAAGATGAATTGAAGGCAGATGAATTAGAACTTGCTTTGAGAAACATTGAGAGCTTAGTAGCTCCAAACGGAAAAATAATAAGAGATGATGGTACTCAGATTCTTAACAGTAATATAGAATCAATCTCTCAGTTCCTTACTTTATCTAAGGATAAAGAATATGTCGGTATAAGTGCTCCTAGTGGGACTATGAGAGTAATTAATGAAATTGAAAAAAGACCAGAGCTTTTTAAATCTATACGTCATACACCAGTATTGAGAAAATTCGTAACTGCACCGAAAACTTTAGAATGGAAAAATCTCTATCGGATGACTACTACTCAGTCAAAAGCTCCGGAGGATTTGGAGGACTCCAAAGACTATACCGATTAGTTAAAAAAAAGCATCCAGAAATCAAATATAAATTTGTTAAATCATGGTTGTTAAAACAAGATGTATACAATCTTTTCAAAGATGTCAATAAAAAATTTCCAAGATTACCTATTCTCGTAAATTCAATTGATGAACAATGGCAAATCGACATTATGGATATGACTTGGTTACAGAAAGAAAATAATGGTTACAGGTATATTTTGAATGTTATAGATTGTTTGAGCAGATTTGCCTGGTCGAATCCAATGAAAAAAAAATCCGGAAGTGAGGTAGTACAATCTCTAGAAAAAATTTTTGCCAATGGAAGAATCCCCGCTAAGATACAATCTGATCAAGGAACTGAATTCAAAAATTCTGAAGTGCAGGATTTACTACATAAATACAAAATCAAATTCTTTACTTCAACTGATGATGTGATAAAATGTGCAATTGTCGAAAGATTCAATAGGACATTGAGAACAAGGCTATACAGATATATGTATCATGGAAATACCCGTAAATATGTGGATATTTTGCAAGAAGTTCTTCATTCATATAATAATTCCTATCATCGAACAATTATGATGACGCCCGCAGAGGTTAATGAAGAAAACCGGTCTCAAGTAATTGTTAATATAAGAAAATCTCATCCCACAATTAATAATCGTAAAAAACCCTATTCTATAGGCGAGAAAGTTAGAATAAATAGAGCAAAAGGAACGTTTGAGAAAGGCTCTACAAGTAATTTTACAGAAGAAATTTTCAAAATAGCCAAAGTGAAAAGAACTCCTCAAGGATACGTTTATAGATTAGTTGATTTGTTGGGAGAGCCAATAACTTCTATTTTTTATCATCCTGAACTAGTGTCAGTTTCAGAAAAAGAAAAATACAAAATCGAAAAAGTAATCAGAACCAGGATAAATCGGAAAACAAAACAAAAGGAATATTTTGTCAAGTGGTTAGGTTATCCTGATAAATTCAACAGTTGGGTGCAAAATGTGGAATCAACCTGAAGAATATTTCATCGAAGTAGTTTCTAATGCTTCAATGGAAGATTTTCCTGATAATACTCTATCGAAATTCTCTAATAAACTTCCGATACCCTTGGAGCTAGATGGAGAATGGGTTGTTGGTATTCAAGAAATTTTTTATCCTATTGATCTTGAACCTGAGGAAAGAAAAATCCAAGTGCAACTTTTCACATCAGATAATACAGACAAATTGATATCAGATGTTTCTCTCAATGAAAACGATTCTCCAGAAGTTATTGTATCTAAAATCAATGAGGCTTTACATGCTTTGTTCCAAAAAGTAACTGGTGATGTTGTGGATCATACACAGAATCGGGATAAACGTTCTATTGATAAATCAGAAAATAGGGCTTTCTCTAAACCCACATTACCTGATGGTCCATTGAAAAACCCTTTGACATTAGCAGAAGTTAACGCAATCACCCCTGAAATTATGAGAAATATGGAAAAGGCTGAAAGATTGGATTTATATGATCGAATTTCAGTCGGTGTTCCAATAATCGTTGATAAACTATATAAAGAGATGGAAAAATATCGAGCTGAGGCTGCTAATAAATCAACAGAAATTGCGGCTTTGCATGATAATTTGCAAACTTTTACATCCCAACTCGATGCGGTTAAAACATCGAAAAACGAGGAACATCAGAAATACAAAGCGTTGAAAAACGATTATGATAAGAAAATCAATGATCTTAATGCTCTGAACACTAATATTAACAATCTGAAAGAAAAAATTACTAAATTGGAACAGAAATTACAACTCAAGGAAAATGAAATTCAGCAAGCTAAAGAGAAAGCGACAGCAGTGAGCAATAAGTTCACTGCAAAAGAAAAAGAGCTTCTTGAAGCTAAATATTCTTTCTCACAAATCACACAAGTGCAGGCCAAGAGAATTGGAGATTTGGAAGAATCACTACAAAAAAAGAAGAACGAAAGCGACAATAATATGAACACAATATCTGGAAGACACAACACTCAAGTACAGCAAATGCAAACAGAAATCGATTCTTTGAAAAATGAAAAAATCAAAACAGATAATGAAAATAGAGTGAAAATAAAAAAAATTAGTGATGAATTCGATGCGCTGCAGATTGCAAAAAACTTAGTGATCCGTCAGTTGAAAGAAACTCAACGTGAACACGAAATAATGAAGATGGATTATCAGCGTCAACTTGATGATCTGCAAAATGAAACAAAAACTCTTAAGGATGAAAAGGCTCATTTGGAACATCACTTACACCTTAAATCTGCAGAAATAGAAGATATGAAGCATGAAATTCAGTCTTTGAAAACAAAAGAAATTGATTTGGCTTCACGTTTAACTGAAAAAGAACTAGAAATAAAGCGAAAAATAAAAGAAAGAGAAGATGAAAAGGCAGAAATTGAATCAACTCGCCTTGCATTGGAAAACAAAGAAAATCTTTTGGTTAAACGTCTAACCGATCTTGGAATTAAAAAAGCTAAAAAAGACACAAACAACGACAATACTAACGAGTTTTTAAACATGCCAGGATTAGCATATGATAATGGAAAGATCATTTTCTATCCTGGGCGAAGTCAAGGAAAAAATTATATTCCATATTTTTCAGATACTGGATTTTTGAATGCCTTGGGGTTTGATGCTGCTTCTTATTTGCAAATGATTAGTGAATTTTCAGCTGGTAAAGCATCTTTCTCTAGCAATAAAAGATGTAATTTGAACTTGCGATCGCATTTGATGTTCATTAATTCTGATATAGTTGCTGAACATTTCGTAGGAAATAAATCTGCCCGTGTTATGAGAGTTCTTCCAATCAAAAGAGCTAAAGAATATGAATTAGTCCATGAAAAGTTTTTAAAGCCTTTTTACTATCCTGTACGATCAAACCGAATAGAAGATATAAATTTCTTACTAACTGATGAGATGGGACAAAATATCAAATTCAATTCAGGACGTGTTTTAATCGGGTTACATCTAAAACATGTATAATTGTATAAGAATTTGATACATTGAAGTAATAAATAAAATGAACCGTAAAGTATATTGTTCTTGTGATTCAAATTTCAATCAATTTTATCAGCGACAAGCCGGTTCTGGCTTTGCCGATATAGAAGTATTCCGTGGCTTCCCATACCAAAGAGGTTACGGATTTGGTAGCTTGGTAAAAAGATTTGGTGTTCCAATTTTAAAAATTTTAGGAAAACATGCTTTAAAAGCTGGCATCAATGTTGGACAAGATATTTTAGATAAAAAAAATATTAGAGAGTCTGTGAAGATGCACGCAAAAACAGGTATGCAAGATGTTGTACATGATACTTTAAATAAAGCAAGTTCATTAATAAACCAAAAAGGAAAAGGTATCAAACGTAAAAGGTTATATAAGAACAGCAGAAATAAGAAAAAGAAGAAAGATATTTTCGATTAAAATGGAATATTTACACCCAGCTTCAACTCCAGCGAGCAAAAGTGAATTGAACTTATTCACTATTCCTCCTACACAAGTTGCGATAGAATCAACATATGAGACTGACTATAGACCTTCTCAAAATCTAGATAATGGAAAAACATTCGAAATAAACATTCCTGCATCTGAAGATTTTACTGATCTCAGTGCTACAATGGTCCACATGAAAGTGTACATTACTAACAAAGATGCGATATTGAAACCTACAGAGAAAATTACACTTGTAGAAAATTTTGCCAATGCAATTTTCGAGCAGATTGACTTATATCTTGGTTCTACGAATACTTCTCTTGCTAATAACATGTATCATTACCAAGCTTTCCTAGAAGATTTATTATTCAGACATCCTACAGAAGCTGAAGCAGGTTCGTCGATTGATCAGCAAATTGTGCAGGGCCATAAAGTTTTTGAGTTATACTTCAAACTTCATTTACCAATGTGTTCACAAGATAAATTGCTTCTAAATGGTATTCCACTTTCATTCCGTTTCACAAGAAGTTCAGGTTCTTTCCCAATAATCAAAGAGACACTTGTCGAAACTGAGGAATATTCGTTTAAAATACAAAAGTTTTCGCTTCATATAAAAAGAATGAAACTTTATCCTGATACACAAACATCTATTATCAAAACTTTAGAACAATATCCTGCTAAATATTTCATCACCAGATCAGATACAAGAAATTTCTTTATAGCAAAAGGGTTATCTTCTATCTCTGTTGAAAATATTTTTTCTGGAGCATTACCCCGTAAATGTATAATTGGTTTTGTTTATGAAAGAGCAATTAGTGGATACATCGATTCGCATCCTTTTAAATTACAGCATTTCAATGTTGCTCATATAAGTTTGAACATCGATGGGGTTATGTTCCCCAGTATACCGTATACACCTGAATTCGCAAATGGAAATGCAATGCGTGAATTTGTAGAATTGTACCGAACACTGGGACAGGACGAAGGAATTGCTCAATTAAATTTACAGTATGAAAAATATAAAGATAACAAAGTCCTTTATGCATTTGATATCGGAGGAGAATTGGGAGCTGAAATAGGAGTTTTATCTCTAGTTAAACGAGGAAAAGCGAGATTAGAAGTTCGGTTCAGTCAAGCCTTAGCATCCACAATTAAAGCAATTGTATTTGCACAATATGATAATTTAATCACAATTGATAAAGACCGACAAGTAACAATTGATTACTAAAATGTTGAACAGTTTAGAAGTGCAAAAATTGTTGAAAAATGTTAAATGGTTTGGTGGCGTTTATCCGAGTGATCGTCTACCTATAACAATTAAAAGACCTATGTCATGTATTATAAATTTAGATCCGAGTTATAAAGAAGGCTCACACTGGGTCGCAATAAACTTTAATCGTTTCGGAAGAGCATTATATTTTGATTCATTTGGTCGTGAACCACAGGGTAATATTTTAACTTTTATTGAGAAAAATGCACCAAGAGGTTATGAACATTCACCTCATAAATACCAAGGAAATAATTCCACATCATGTGGATACTTCTGTGTTCTTTTTGTAATGTTGGCTAATAAGCCCAAGAAGTTCTTCAATTTGTTCAAGAAATGTCAACATGTTTTAAATGAAAAACGTTTAAAATTAATGATAAAACAATTAGAAGAAAGTGATTAATGTATAATTTTAGTAGAGCCTAAATATGTAAAAGACTCCGAGTTTTGTAATATTTGTTTTTGAAAAAATAAAGAAATTCCAGTTCTATATCAAAAAAAATTATTTCAAAACATTTGATTGCTGGCTCCAGCACAATGTGCTGGAGCCAGCAATTTTATACTACTCACAGGGTGTTAATCTTGGTTCTGAAGGATTTGGAAACATTATAACTGTAGAGCATAGATTGCAATGATCTATGAAATGGTTTCGCCGAGAAATACTGCTCTTGATTAGTTTTTATTGTACCAGATACTGAAGATATTAATGGAGTTAGCTTTTTACCAATACCAGAGACGAAGGTTACCATCAAGTCCCTTCTTTCAAACACAGGAATAGGTCCCAGAGGAAAGGGTTCCTCTAGTCCTGCGGCGACACTGCGCTCATAAATAGCAGCATAATCTTTGTTAACTTCAGCTTTAAAAAAGTCATACATTGAAATGCCTTCAATAAAGAACGGAGTTTTACCCTGACTGATGACATCTTTCAATGTATCAATCTTATAGTCTCTGTTTCCGACAATTGTTTGAGTGTTGAATGAAGCATTGAAAATGAATAAAGGAAACATTAAGATTAGCATTTGAATCAAGCAGAGACTTGTTGAACGACGAGTAAAATGCTGGCGAAATGATGCACCAAACGATCGGTAGATGGCCGTGAGCAATGCATCAATTTTGAAATGTTCAACTGCAATCAATTCCAATATTAATATTGCTAGAATAGCCAATAAGAAAGGAATCACAGTGACCGATGTTAGACTGGAAACAACTGCTGAAGTATTATCATCTAAATTTCGTAATGTGCTGATATAATAGTTTTGCTCAGATATAACTGAAGTGAAATAACCAGGAGCCTTCTGGGTATCCAACGGTAATGGCAAGAAGCACATATCAGCCTTCTGTTATTTACGAAAATAAAAAGACACATTCAATTTAAATTCAACAGTAAAATTCACAGCAATCGCTAGCACGGCTGCAAATGAACAAATAAATGCTAATTTTGAAAATTTTGCTCTTTTAAATCCATTGATTTAAATTGTTGAAAATTGAAGAAACTTACTCTATGTAATTTACGTAGGAGAATCAAATTAATTATCAAAAAATAACAAGACCTTCAAACAGCCTTTTAAAACTTTTACTTACCCCTTCTTGTATTAGACCCAAAACTCCATCATGATAGCCAGTTTCTGTTAATACGCCCAATTGTCCTCCCTCGGGTAGAATGAACTTCAAGCTGCATAACAAAAATCACAATTAATCTATGACTAACTTCCAACTTGTTAGTCGTAACATGAATTGCAAGTGCGATAAATTTCATATTCAATTACACAAATGACCATATCATCGACAACTGAATTGGAGTAACTGAAGTAGAGATGAAGTTTCTTACTTGAAAGGGCCATAATCAGTAAGAATGTCGGCCAGTCTTTTAAGAGATTTCAAGTTAGGAACAATTTGATCGCCTTCTTCAACGAATCCATCAGCAAATGGTACCTTCAATATTAAACAGAGTATATTGTTAAACGGGGAATTCAACCAGAGAGTTGATTTCTTACCGAAAAAGCACCAACTGTTAAATTAACTTTTTGCATTTCAAGTATTACAACATGAAACAATTTTCAAAATAAAAGCCATCAAGACTATCTATAAATTGCGAAGTAAAATATCAATTTGATGCGTCAACAGGCCTTTTTGGCAATTTGAAAAAAGTATTTATTTCCAATGTAATCATTTAATCAGTCAACCATTGAAAATGCATTTTATTAATATTTATCAATAAAATAAAATAACATTTCATATTTTTTGATCATTTGAATTTTTGCAGCGCAAGAAAGGGTGCAATAAATGTTGAAATACTTTTAGTCAATTAAAGCTGAAGGTCAAAGCAGAAAATTTTTTGCGCAACAGATACACAGTAAACATGATTTGCATTTATGCTGCTACGAATTTTACATTCTATCGATTCGATCGCAACCATAAAGCATGTATTAATTGATTGAACAATACCGTTTGAAAATTTATTAGTAGGTGATTAGGTAATTGCTAGGGAGAATACATTTTTTCTGATGACTTGCCCATAAAGTTGGTCATATTGAAATTTCAATCGTAATCTGTTGACAAGTTGAAAAGTTAAAAGTGACACGGACTACGTTGAATACCATGCTGCACTCTCTAGGGCCACAAGGACATTGTTATCATATAATGGATAGAAGTACTGTACTGTAGAAGCACTGATCTGTCAACTGTTCCATTTGATCTGCTCTTAGTGATCTGACCTCAACACTTCTGCGAATTTTTTCAAAATTTTTCTTAATCTTAATTACATGGCTTTTGATTTAATTCTTTGGATTTAAATCATCAGTAGTAACAAACATACACAACATAACACACTTTTGTCGATTCATTAAAAGCTGTAAAAGCAGGCTTTTCTTCAGCACTAACTTTCATGAGATTCTTGGTTGCAGCTTTAGTACGCTTGCAGCTTCCGAAAATCAGATCTAAATCACCACAAAAATTATTCATAATGAATGAACTATTTTATGTTCCTTTAGCAATATTTATTACTGACCGTCAACCTTATTTATACCAATGGGTCAGTATAATATCGCCAATACGCATATTCACCAATTTATTTAACGATGTATTCAAATTCAGTTTATTTAAAACATAATCTCATCGCTGATAATTCCCAGTTCAAATTTAACTTCTTCTCAATTTATAAACCTTTTACACGTTTAAACCATCATTTCAATTAAAAATAACTAACAATTAACTTGACAAACACTCTAACAAACAATACATTCAAGCTTTGTCATTGCGCATGCGTCAAAGTATTCCTTTAAACATTTTAAATAATATCTGGTACTGGTGCCAGATATTAATTTTCACTGCATTTACTTATTATTACTGACTTTTTCTTTTAACCTTTTATTTCTTCGTTTATTTTAAACACTTGTAAACATTTGAATAGTCATGTTATTGACAACAAGAACAAAACAAAAAAAACACTAAGTTTAAATTCAAAATTCATTTATTGTCAAACAAGTTTCAAGAGTTTTACAAGTGTAAAAGAAAAATTATTCCTTGGATTTTGGTCGCCCCTTTTTTTGCTTTCTGCCATCCTCCCTGGGTGTGTATTTGGCTGGAGTGGGACAGTTCGGCGCACAAAACTTTCCATGCACGTGTCCAGGTGCTCCAATAAAATTACACCTTTTTTCGTGTTTATAAATATTTGACTTCAGTTCCAATACCGCACCATCGGCAGCTAAATTTCCACTCGATTTGCTCGAAATTGTTAATGCTTTTAGCACTTTCGTGTTTTCTCCATAGTGCACGATTGAACGGTTGTAATTTCGGTAAACCCAAAACTTTAGCTTCACCGAGGTGCAAATCACTTCTCTTCACCCATGTTGGCGACCATTCAGTCAAACAATACACATTTGTTGCAGTCCGGGATCCAGGGCCATACATACAAGCACTGACTTTCGAAATGGGATTTTCCCCGTCACAAGCACGACCTGTATCGCTAGACATGTTTAAACAAAAGATAAAATGAAAGGAGTAACTGGCGAACAAAGGCAACGTATAACTAAGACTGTTTAGTTTGAAACTGAGGACAGTTTCTTTGTTTTTGTAGTAGAGGGTAATGTAACCCTCAACGAGGACTCACTTAGCCTCCTCTTTTAGTTGTAACCTAACTTTGGTCAGCTGTGCTTTGACTGCTTTTCTTGTACTGTAATCTTGTTTACTTGGACATCTCTTAATTAAACCTTTAAGTTTGTTTTGATTTCTTTTCGTGATTACTTTATTTTTCTTGGTGTATCAATATGAACGATTTTGTCATCTACAAAAAAGAAACTTGTGCAACGAATCGTATTTTCAAAGCAAAGCAAGAAACGTATTGATGGTTGATTACTTGAAACGTATTGAATGCTGAATAAGTCTGTTTCTCGGTTTATTTATACCTTAGTAAAGATAATTAACTAAGTAGATGTTGCAATTCAACAGAAAAATTGTTACGAACCGATACTCTATTTTGATTGAAAATCATGAAATACGCTGCCCGACCAATAGTGTAAATAAGCTATTTCACGAGGGTGCAGTTTCATAAGGGTGACTGTATTCGAACTCAGCTTGTCGAATGAGTATGTTGTTTTATAAGTACACAAAGTTTGATGAAAAAATTCACTGGCTGGATACGGAAGTTTAGCTAAACTGGCTAATGGAATTGTATGCTGATTTGTCGGTTTTTGATAAAATCACTTACAAAGTTTTCAATTGAGTTTCAGATTTCCTTTTGTTCAGCTGTAGAACCAGAATTTATTTACTATTTAGTTTTTCTCATTGACTCATCGTTTTTTACATAAAAATTTGACTCTTTTAAATATGGATTGAATACATCGTGAAAGGTTCACATTTAAGAGAATTCGCGATCAGTAAGTAACACATAACAACCAACTTTTTGTTCGATGATAAATGATATAACCTGTGGGGAAAAAGTTTGAGAATTTTTGGTTTTTTTCTTATTTTTCGTAAGATAATGGTTGAATCTTTCTGGAAATTGCACATTTTATAGTTGAATAGTGTAGCTTTGATATCTGAGAAATCCAGAATGAAAAAAAACATTATCTTACGAGATATAAGAAAAAAAACCAAGAAAAAATTCTCAAACTTTTTCACCACAGGTTAGCATCTATATAATACATAAATGTGAACCCAACTTGTAAAGATATAATATCTTATGTTATAATGTTTTATCGTTCACTGGAAACTTTTCTCGATTAATGAAAAACTATTTGTATTTTATTTTATTTTATTTCAATTCAAATTGGCAAAAAGACAAAAATTATCGAAAATAAAATGAATTTTTTGAAATAAATATTGATGATAATATCCTCTTCGGAATTTCTCATGGAATTGCTCTATTCATTGATCTTTTTGAAAATAAATGGAACTGAGTAAATCTTCAGTTTTAAAATAGCGTTAGGGAATAGCAGTTGAAGGAACCAAACACAGCTTCAGTAAACAGATGAGTGTTCTACTTTTCCCCTTTCAATTTGTTTATCACTTTGACCGAGCGAGGAAAGCAACGATCAACTCAATAAATAGAGCAACGATGGAAAGAATCAACATGAAGATGAATAAACGAAATATCTGATAGAATCCTCTGTAATTTACAGGTTGCCAATTGAGATCATCACCTTTCTGCGGAGCTTGAGACTTGTGAAAGTCATATAAGGTTGCAGGATAAAAGGAAAGAATGAAGTCAACGTAAGTATCGCCTTCTAGTTTCTTAGATCTCCCACTTTGTATCATCCGACGAGATCTGTAAGAATTAAGAAAAGGTAAATGCAAGTGTTAGAGATTGAATCCATAACGATTTACAATAAGTTGATTCACTCACAGCGTATCAAACCTTTTTTTGAGGGATTCGGAAGTATTATGGTTAAAAAGCATAGCTTGTAATGATCTATGAAAAGGCTTTTCTGAGAAATATTGTACTTGATTGGGTACAATTAAATTAGATTCAGCAGCAGACAATGGAGTCAGTTTCCTTCCAATGCCAGAAACGAAAGTAACCATTTTGTCTAGTCTACCTTTATCGGCAATGGGTCCTAATGGCATTGGTTCACCATGTCCTTTGGCAATGGCCCGTTCATAGATCTCAGCATAATCTTTATTGACTTTGCCTTTGAAGAAGTCATACAGTGAAATGCCTTCAAAGAAACATGGTATCTTTCCCTGTTCAATAACATCTTGCAATGTATCAACTTTGTAATCCGAAGTTCCTACAATCGTTTGAGTGCTGAATGCAGAATTGAAGATGAATACAGGAAACATTAGGATGAGTATTTGAATCAAGCAAAACCATGATGAATGGTTAGATGAATGCTGGAAAAAGGAGATACCGAATGAACGGAAGGTTGCTGTAAGCAATGCGTCGATTTTAAAGTGTTTAACAGCAATTATTTCCAATATTAATATGACCAGAACAGCCAATAATAATGGAATCGCTTCGACTGAAGTCAAGCTTGAAATAAGAGCAGATGTAAGGTCATTCAAATTACGACGCGTTAGGATGTAATAGTCCATTTCTGATATGACTGGAGTGAAATAACCAGGAGCCTTTTGGGTATCCAACGGTAATGGCAAGAAGCACAAATCAGCCTTCTGTTATTTACGACAATAAATAAAAGGATAAAGTCAATTTACATTGAAAATACCAAATATCCAAATAGGTACACATAACATAAAGCAGAAAAGTATGAGGATTTTGCTCCACTTTTTAACCATTTGATTAACATTGATGTATTATCAATGCATTGGAAGATAGTATTGAACCAATATTAATCAGACATCACATGATTATTTATGATAAAATGTTTGGTGGGCTATTAGGAATAGTCAAAGGGCTAATCCCACGACGTGATAATTTAAGAAAGTTTACTGTGGTGGGTTTATGATGCCAGTAAAATCGTATCATTTTTTCTGATCTAATTTTTCCATTGATTGTCACAATGAATGTACTTACACCTTCTTGCATTAGACCCGAAACGCCATCATGATAACCAGTTGCTGTTAGCACTCCCAATTGTCCTTCCTCGGGTAGAATAAATTTCAGACTAAAAAACACAAATCACAATTGATTGACAATCATTTATAAATTGAAAGTAGAGTTATAGTATTATAAAATTTTCTTACTTGAAAGGACCGTAATCCGAGAGAATGGCTGCAAATCGTTTGAGAGACTTCAATTTAGGAACCATTTGATCGTCTTCTTCAATGAATCCTTCAGCAAATGGCACCTTCAACATCAAACAGCATTTAATATTAAATGGGAATTCAATCAGAGAGATTCATTGCTTACCGAAAAAGCACCAACAGTTAAATTGACTTTTTGCATTTCGAATGTAACTCTCAGATTATTAATTTGATTAGAAGACAAAATATTAATAAAAACTCCGAGTCTTGATCACAATTTTATTTTCAAATTTTGAATAACCTACAAAATAAAGTTACTGTTTTGTAAATTGTTACATTTTAAAGTATTATATTCCAAATTGTGACATAAATTTGTGTATTTCAAGGCAATTTTCAGAATTTATTCATTTTCAATGTAATTATTTAATCACTAGACCATTGAAAATGTATTTTTCGTAGCAATAAAATTAAATTGCATTTTAATATTGATTATTTTCACTCATTATGATTTATATCACAACTGCATCTCATGGAAACCGTAACCGAAAATGCATTATCAGTTAAATTGACTATTTGCTTTCCAAATGAAATGTTTCCAATTCAGCGTTGAAACAACGAAAACTAGGAATTTCAGTTTCTGACAGATGCCGTACCTTTAATATATTGAACCCAGTCGAGTGAAAATTGCTACACTGAGCCGAGTTTCACACTCACTAACAGCATGGATATAAAGGTGAATATGGGGGTAAAAACAAGATTATGTCCAGCATTTTCGACTAATTGTTGCACATTTTCGGTATGATGAAAAGTTACAATGTCCATAATTAGATGAGCACCTTGAATTGAATAATTGCTGAGATGTTGAATGAAATCACGTAAATAGTCGACAAAACTTGATGAATTATGTGCAGTTTCCTTCACCTCGTAATAAAAGAGTGATTGGTGATTCATTGATGCACAAATCGACTAAGATTTACCTCTGACAGCTTTAATGGTAAGATACGCCGGTTGACCAACTGGACTATATCTGTATCCTTTTCGAGCATGAACTTGGATGCGCGTCTCATCAATAAAAAACATTTTCTCCCTGTCTACATCGATTTGCATAAACTTGATTGCATAATTGTAACGATTAGCAATTGTTTCTAGAGTATTCCGTCTTTCTGGAACTGGAGTTATCCTTTTGAAAGAAAAATGAATCCCACTGATGTACATATTGTTGGTTTGCTTACATCAATATCAAATTCCAATTGATTTTATCTTGAAGATACTCCAAAGTCCGCTGACAATCTTCATTTAACTAATCAGATATTTTGGCACTGATTTGCAAAGCACCAACAGTTAAATTGACTTTTTGCATTTCGAATAAAATTTTCAAAAAATAATGAATGAAATTAATTCAAAGTAAAAGAACTCTCTTTTTCTAAAATTGTATCCTTATAATCGAGTCAAAAGTTCAAGATGACCGGTGAATATTAAAATGAAAGGAGGATGTCAAATTCAATAGGGAAAATTGCCTGAACTCAAATCAATTTTTTATAACATAATCTAATGTATTTTTTTATGCTGATTTTAAAAATCTAAATCATTTTTTGATCCGAGGTACCATTCGTAAGATATTCACGAAAAAAACAAAGAAAATTCATGGTAGAGAAATAATGAAACTTGATGAGAAAAGGCAGAATTTCATGATCAAAAATTGTTTATATACTGAAAAAGCAATGCTGCTTCTATATATGAACTTATTTTTAATCTAGAAGTACGCAAAACTAGTCAATTATTTGAAAAACTGTATTAGGTGTAGTTTGGACTTTTTTAGTTGATCTTGTAGATCGCGGCGCACGATGAAAATTCATCAGGGTATAAAATAAGCAATGCTGATTTCATATCTGAAATCAGTTTGAATCTAAAATGGGGCAAAACTAGTCATTTATTGGAAAAACTGTATTAGGTGTATTTTGGACTTTTTTCAATTGATCTTGTAGATCGCGGCGCACAATGAAACTTCATCAGGGTATATAATAAGCAATGCTGATTTCATACACCGGTATGAACAATCTAATACTAGCACTCCCGCCTAAGCTAG